GTATTATTTTGAGCTTTGATAAGAAAAGGGCGTTGGGTTGGTAACGGCAGGTAGCGTTGGGGAGTTCTTGGGGCGGCTGGTTGCTGATGAGTTGTCGATAGGCGCAGGAGCAGTGATTTTTTTCCCTATTTTATTTTCTTTGTTACATCAAGTATGCTCATTTCCCAATTGCTCTGTAGATTCGCGGAGATCATTGGCGATCCTCTACTCGGCCAGCGCCGTCCACCCTTGCTGCTCTGGCAACTTACCCCAACTACCGAGCCTTGTACTCTCAGGTATATTAGCGTCAAGCGGTTCCCTCGAAGCTAATTCTCTATGGTCGCTGCCATGAGAGACGCTTTTGTGCATGCACAAACTGTGCTGTGGAGCCACTGTCATTTAATTCCATCCACGAAGTCTATGGCATTTATGAGCGCGACGAGACCACGGAAATGTTGCAATTGCATAGCACAGCCGAGCGTACAGCATGGAGACCTCCTTCTTACATTAGACGTTGGTCCTCATGTTGCTGCTGCTGAAGTTGTTGTTAATACGGTACTATGTGGGGCCGTTGTAGCCGACGTTTAAGCGGTATGCTCTCAGACTGATTTGGTAATGAAGAGAGGCGGGAGACATCACGCTGTCACGGGAGAGCCGGAGTCCTGGATAGATTTAACGGTTTGCCCATAGAGTGTGAGAAAGAGTTTGTCGAGTTCCTTGGCTGTCTTAGGCCTCGAATATTCGTGCATGCCCCACTTTCACATACACATACACATCCCGGCTCTCTTCCTTTTCCCTTCCGTCATGGCTTTCCAAACACATATGTATGCTGCATATGCTGGAAGATTCAGCCATAAAAGCCTTAACCCCTTGTGGGTATGAGGAAACGGGCGCACCGGCCCGGCTAACTGTCATAGATCAATGCTCGAACCAGCGTTGAATAGCCTTTCCAACCAAAAATCCGAACCACAACGAGAACCGGCTGCATCGCGTTCGAATAGGCGACCTGACTAGGATGAACGTCTGTACGTCCTCGAAGCCAGGGAAGACGTTTGCCAGGCATTGGAGAAGTCCAATTCAGTCCCTGCTCATGACAGCATCCGTGTTCAGCATGCTTTCTTCCCTTAAAGCAGGGGGACAAATAAGGATCCACGGCATCTTACCCTATCCCTATTGCCCCTAGCTCAATCAGTCATCCTCCCGCAAGGATGAGCCTTGTCCATAGTGGTAGGTACGTGCGGAGCTGCTTATTATAACCGCGAGTTATCCATATTATTTCGGCAATTAGATCATATCGCTCCACGTGTGGAAAAAGAAAGAAGATCGATATTCATGGATGCCATCGACAATGGCAGCTTGATGCCCAATTGGGAAGCCAGCTGCGGCCATGAGGTTGGAATTAGTAAGCTAGATGCCAGGCCCTGTTTAGGTAAACCTCCTTGGCGAAGGCCGTGGTGTGGGAACTGATCTTGATTGGACGCTGGAACTACAAATGCACACTCAACGCCTGTACCCAGCGCCCGTTGGTGCTCACGCTATTCATGGATAGATAGCGACTCCCATCGTGTTTGACGCTTCTTGAGATCGTGATTGTTCTGTGGTTCTTGCGAACTATGGTTGCCCCGTGTCGCTGGGCTAAGTACTCGGGTTCGAGGTGTCGCGGACCAGGTACACATAGCTCTGAAGCTGTGATCCTAGGGCCCCAATCTGGTGGTATCGTCATGACAATGGCATGTATGCGTGGTCTGCCCCCTGCGGGAAACAGGCTGAACGGACAGAAATCAATCCCAGGACTCCAGCACTGACCTGGGGTTTCTCAGGAGCAGAACAGCGGAAACAGCGACTGATCGGTCTGGCACTGCCATTCTGAAATTGGGAGGAAATTCCCGCCATGGACTCCCTTCTTCTGGGAGCGACAACGCTGGCAAGTGGTTGGCTATGCAGCAGTGTGGGGTTAGCCTGGTGATTTATCTCGACCGCGGCTAGATCCCGATTATAAAACGGCATATAATTTATCAGTGTCCCTCCTAAGTCTCCTTTGAGTTCATTCTTATCATGGCGAACTAATTGTTATATCCTCCTTTCTCTCTCTCTCAAGCTTGTCCTAAAATGCTGCACCTACGCTCGTTTACAGCAGCTGCACTCGCCCTCACCCTCGTCTTTCTCCAGGGTGCTGCTCCCACATTGGCTGCTATTGCAACCGCTAGTGTCCCCGTATCCAGTTTGACTCATGACGTCGAGGGAGATTTTTCAGTCATTTACTACGGTAAAAAGAACGCAGAATCCTTACTTGTGGGAAATGACGGGAGTGCGGCAACCGGCGGATGGAAAGCCTGGAAGCTCGTCACCGATCCCACCACCAATACCCTACGGGAGCATACAGCCAGTGTCCATGGACGCACCAAGGTGATAGGCGTGATGTACGATATTGGGGAGAAGGACATTATTGTTTCAATTGCTGCCACAGACTCCGTACTGCGCGTTTACGAGGTTGCCGATCCCGGAGAACAGCCCTCAAACCGGAAGGTCATGTTGGGCGATTGGTCTGCTCTCTGTCCATGGCGCAGCCCCAAAACTGGAAATCAGTATTTTTATTTGTTTGGAAAGAAGCGGGCGGTGCAATTCATTATCAGGAGGGAGGGGAGCAAGTTTGAAATTCTCGAGGTCAGTCAATTGTGCTATGACGAGGTCTTGTACTGAACAATACAATATTTTATTTTTTCGGATACTATTGCTTTACCAGGACCAAAAATAAGAGGATCAAGAAAGACCAATTGTATGTATTCGTACATACGCCTGTGCTAACATTAGTGTAGGTTCAAACATTCGATCTTCCTGTCGAGCCAAACTCCTGTGCTGTTTCTCCCAGGGAAGGGACGGTCTACTTCTCAGCTGACGATGATAAGACTATCTACAGCTTCACAGCCGAAGACTCGACGACGGCTCCTGAAATTACTGTGCTTGGAAAAGCTGAGGATGACATTACCGGATTGGCCACATACGTTACCGAAGCGTCCATCTACTTGTTTGTTGCCAGTGGTGATACCATTGGCATTTACTCACCAAAGCTTGAGCTTCGGGGAACCATTGAACTCACCAACACAGAGGATATCGAGATTGAAGGCTTGTCAATCGGCCAGTCGAAAAGTGCTAACCACCCTGCTGGCCTGCTTAGCTATGTTTTGGCATCGAAAGCACGGAAATCGTTCGGTGTTAGCTCTTTGGAACTAGCATTTAAGAAGTTGGACCTCGAAGTCAACGTGAAGCATAACCCACGCCCATCAAAACATTTTCCGAAAGGAAATAAGCATAACGGGTTTGAAAACCGTGATGGCTCACTTTCTTGTTTCGCAGGATTTGCTGGCAAGAAATGCTTAGACTTCACTTGCAAAAATGATTGTTCAAACCGAGGAAAATGCGTTGGACCTAACGTATGCAAATGCAAAGATTCCTGGAGCGGACCGGATTGTTCATTCCTCCTTGTGGAACCGAAGTTCGAAACAGATGCCAGCGGTCGCGATGGAGATGACCCCGCCATTTGGATCTCACCGTATTCTGGCAACAAGTCAATGGTTATAACTACGACAAAATCCTCTGAGGGAGCGGGGTTGGCTGTATTTAACCTCACAGGAAATCTGCTCCAAGTGATGAAAGCAGGACAGCCAAATAATGTAGACGTTATCTACAGAATGAAAGCTGGTCAAAGGACTATCGATCTCGCATACGCAGCTTGCAGAGAAGAAAACACATTGTGGTACGAGCAAACTTTAGCTATCCGCTGACAGCTTATCCTCCTCCCTCAAGAAAGGCTTCAGTGAAGTAAACACTGCTAATCCTTCTCCCTCAGCCTCTTTGAAATCACCCGCGAAGGCCTCTTAGCTGAAATCCCTGGCAGCTCGCAGCCCACAAAGGACGGCTACAAGGTCTACGGTTCCTGTGCCTATCGTTCCCCCAGTAGTAGCAAACAATATCTTTTCGTCAACTCCAAATCCTCCGAATACCTCCAGTACGAACTGACAGTCTCGTCTAATGGCACCTTGTCTACAACACTCGTCCGCAGTTTCACCGGCGGCTCAGGAGGCCAGCCTGAGGGATGTGTTGCGGATGAGGACGCTGGTGTCATTTTCATCGGCGAAGAAGCTACCGGTGTATGGCGCTATGACGCTGAACCCGATGGCCGCAACGAGGGCACAATGATCGCCCGAGCGGGCGATGGAACTCTCTTCGCGGACGTTGAAGGCCTCACGCTTGTTCCTGGAAAGACCGCGTCGCAGGGTTTCCTGATCGTGTCGTGCCAGGGTGTCAGTGCTTTCTCCGTCTTCCGTCGCGCGGCACCCCACGAGCATGTACTCACTTTCACGATTGGGGTGTCGAGCGACGGCCGAATTGACGCAGTGTCAAATACAGATGGCGTGGCTGCGGTGGGAACGTGGTTATCGGCTGATTTCCCCCATGGACTGATCGTTGTGCATGATGATGCGAATCAGCTACCTTCACGTGGCGAGACGTCACCGTTGACTAGTTTTAAGTTGGTGAGCTTGAAGGATGTGTTGGGTAATGAGGCGCTCGCGGATTTGAAGCTGTTGGATGAAGTGGACAAGGCATGGGGATTAGATAGGCTCCAGGTGGATGAGTGCAGGTAGCTGTAAGAGGCGGGCGTAAATGATACAAACAGAACCTCGGAGCATTGGAAAAAAATGACTGGATACCTGGAGTTGATGTTAGTGTTTATCTTGTAAATATATCATATCATCATCGATATTCTTTATGTATGTTATAAATCGATATTTCTATCGACTCTTCTCCCCTACGTTCTCGATGCATGTATGGTGCATGAAACAAATATGCTTTCATATTTATTTGTCATCCAGCTGATCGGGCCAACACTAAACTTAATATGGCATACGAGATGTTGACGAGAACTGGCTCTCATCTCCACAGACTCGACCAATTGTCAATGGGTTAAGACGTGGCTGGCACAAGGGCCGGTATCACCACCGAGCTGGGCCAGTCCTGTTCCCTAGAAGCTGTGAGGTTGGACTGAGCACCTGTTCCCGGCGAATAGTAAATATAATACACAGAGGCAAATGGCCAAAAGAGGATGCGATTGGAATAGCGGCCAGGTCTATACGGATCGCATCGTTCCCTCCTTCGTTTACCAGTCAGACACTTCCGGACCATCCTGGAGTCATGAATCGCCCTACCTACCGCCTGGGTGGGAAGAAGGCAGTCCCTGCGGCGCCAATTCGTTGAAGCACATGGCCATGAGAAAGACCCTTTTGGACCAGCGGCTACTTACGACCCTTCATTTTGAGAACTTTCCTTGGGAGCTTGCTAGATACTTGTGGGATTGTTTAGGGCGGTGGTGAGCAAAGAAAGTCCTTCGTCACCCTTTGAGGAACCTTCCGGTTTTTTATCTTGGAGAGCTCCCCTTTTGACCCAAGCTTCTTTTTTTTTTCTAGCGAAAGGAGAACCTTGCATCTCTGGAAAATATTCGCAACGGTATATCCCTTGGAGTTTAGGGAAATAGCACCGTTTTATTCGTTGAAAGCGTCCACTAAAAAGATGCCTCTCCGCGACTATTCCCGGCTGATTCACTCCCCGTCTCTGAGATGGGGCACGGTTTTTACCATCTCGACCCACCATGCAGACCTCCACGACCTCGTTGAGGTATCTAAAATTACCAACTTGGTGGCTCTGGATATCACTACCCCTTCTCTTGCCCAATCCACAGCCGGTCAGGATGACGACGCACCGATAACCCACTTAACCGATCGCGTCGTGAGGAGCTGGAGCGAATTAGCCCTCGCCGGTGAAGCTTTCAAAAATCTACGGGTATTGATGCTGCACGTGCAAGCCGACATTTCCCTGCGCGTTTTCTCATACCTGGATCAGTTCCCTTCACTCGAGGCTCTGATTATCGTAGGCTTCCCGCAGCTTGCCGACGACAGCGCAAAGAATGTGGGTCGGCAGCATGGATGGAGCACTCGTAGAGTCAATGCCACCAACAGAACCATATACGAGTGCTACAAGGCGCATATTACATCTGCCAACTCTGCGGACTACTCGGAAGGATCAATGATACGCTCACTGCCATTGCTCGAGTTTTCCTTAGGAGCCCCCGATGTGAGAGAGTATGCGAAGAAGCAGCACCAATCGGTTTGGTTTCATCGGCAGATCCAAAAGTCCAATTTGGAACTGGCGAATAGTAGAAAAAGAACACCCGACCCCGACATCAACGGGCCGGCGAGGAACGACGTGAAGAGACTGCGAGGCAAGCCTGTCCCAAAGGGCCAGAAAGGCATCAACATGGCCGGTTTGCTAGCAGAATTCCAAAGGTTTTATATATCCCTCCCCTCCTGGTAACTCCCTTAGTAAAGTCAAATTTCCCCAAGACTAATGACATGGCTAGAGGAGGCTGATTGGCGGAGGTTCCCGTGCACGACCCAATTGACCACTTAATAAGGACCACCAGCGAGATCAGATGGATGCGGGGTGGATTGACCAATCATACTAGTGTTTTTGTGACGCAGTCTCGATCTCAAATCTCACGTATGGTCTGTTTGGCAGAGTTACGATGGAGCTACTGCGTAGTATTCAAGGAATCGCCCCATCCCCAGCATGCACATACAGTCATATTAGTACACCCCTTCGCCTTCTTCCTTTTTGATTCGTGCTGGGATTACGAAGCTTTTGGCCGATTCACGATGCCTGAGGCACTTGAAACTTAGTTTTTTTGCTCTGTTGGCGCCAAAAAGGAATTGATTCCCGAGGTCTCAGGACGGCGATGCCTTCCCCGCGCTTGGAAGCCTGCCAACGCATCCCGCAAGACAGACTTGACGGGGTCCCCACTCGCTTTTAAGTTCGTGATAGGGCAGTTAGGGCATTGTTCGGCAATTCCCATTTCACGACCCACGAAGCTTGGAAGTTGTCTGCCAAAACTCGACCTTCCACGGCCTTCACATGTAAATATCTGTATACTACTAAAATATGTGAATTGGTGCACGTCCAACCAGACTATTCAAGCCCAACTCAAAAGCTGTGGGAAGCAATCATATAGATTTGTTCAAAATTGAGGTTTGCTGAAGTGTGGAGCACGAGCCCTGGAACCCAGGCCAGCTAAGCCGGATCGGGCAAGACGGCCCCGGCTGCACCAGCCAAAGTGCGGGCGATGACTGAACTGTGATATCAGCGTCCAGCAGCATCGCCCAATTCCCCGTCTGTCCTCTCCTTTGATGCTCCATGTTCGGGCGCGTTGCTCTCCTTTTGTCTTTCTGAATATAGAGGCGCCCCCAGCCGTGACCTCCATGCATTTTCTGCTGGGGATTCCTGCCTGCCCCTCACCTAGCTAGCCGCCTTGAAAGTTTCATACATCCACACCTCCATTTCTATACCATTTTACAGAGTGCGATATGGCAGACCGCGGCAGCCGATCATCCGCGGAGGCTTCCAGGGACTCTCGTTCTAGCACAGATTCACGCTCCCCAACTTCTAGCAATACGCCTTTCCGTCTGGCCTCGATAAGCCCGCTACAACCGCGCCATAGCTTCGGTGATTCGTTACGTGCTTCCCCATCCTCTCCCAGAGCTCGCCGACAACCATCACTATCCCAATCTGCAGTGCAAAGCCTCATCGATAATCCGCCTTCCGGAAATGCGGCAGATCCGGCCTTTGCGGGCCGTGATTGGACCCAGATATCGGTTGGCGAGCTGGTCACCCCGAGTGATCTTCACTTTGTAGAAATGGATACGGGAATCGAGGAGGCCACGAATGTATAGTTTTTTCATTTCATCTCCTACCAGATTAGCCGAAAAGTAAAAAAATCCGCCATGTTTCCAGTGCCCGCTGATAATCTGTCCCCTGCTCTTTTTTGCTCTCCTCTGTTATCCGCAGATCCTGATCGACTCCGGTTCCCCTGTTATTTTAATCCGCGAAAAGCCCAAAGATAAAACTGCCATTGGCACATTCGATTATGCGGATCTCAATGCATATCTACTGCTTGTGGTAGGATTGGTGCAACCAAGCGAGGAGCATGTTGCGTCCATGCGAGAGCTGGCGAGAAAAGCCAGAGAAGGGAAGGAAATCCCGCTGAGAGACGTGAAAAACCTGGGCCTGAACGTACCCATCACGAGCCTTACTCCCGGCGCCAGTCTGATGAGAGCGGTTGAGACATTTGGTGGTGGAGTTCATCGGGTTATCGTTGCGAAAGAAGATACAAACGAGGTTGTGGGTATCTTCAGCCAATGGCGGCTTGTGAAGTTTCTGTGGGAAAACGGGCAGAGCTTTCCTGTCATCGATCAGCTGTATCCGCGGTCTTTGGCAGATCTGAGGATAGGTTCGCAACAGGTAATATCGATCAAGTATGTGCCGGTGATGTGCCGTTAACCCTCGCTCTGAAAACCTGCGAACAATTTGCTCTCAAATAAATATCCTAACAGTTTCTATAGCGGATACAAGCCACTATCCGAAGCCTTGGAATTGATGAATAGTGAAGGGATCTCCTCAATCGCAGTCGTCGACAACCAACTCAACGTCGTTGGAAACATATCTGTTGTTGATGTGAAGGTGTGTTTCTGTAGTTATACAAAGCTATTACTATAAGTTATGCTTGCACTAACCCCGAACTCAGCTACTCACCAAATCAACATCCCTTCCTCTCCTAAATAACACTTGCATACATTTCATCTCTGTTATTCTATCAACCCGCGGCATGCATGAGGGTAAAGACTCGTATCCGGTTTTCCACGTTCACCCTCAATCGACGTTAGCCCACACAGTGGCAAAGATAGTCGCTACAAGATCCCACAGGTATGGCAGGCGGCAGTATCGGGCAATTGTGTCTTTTTTGGCTAACAAATTTAGGATGTGGGTAACCGACCCTCAATCGCCGGCATCGTCAGGACCTTCCACTCCTTCCCACTCCGCCATTCACATCCCTTTGAACAGCCCATCCGTCATACCTCTGTCGCCCCAATCGCCTCCTGCAGCTCCATCTACGTCCTTGCTCACTCCGGGAACCTCGTCAAATAATACTTGGAGCCTCCCCCCTCCCACTACGCCGCACCTTGCGCAACCCTACCACTCGACGCTGATATCCCCCGCTGGCCCACCACAGTCGATGTCCACATCGATTCCAGCCGCCTCGCTACCCGGTGCGAGGCTGTCTGGCCACCTCGTTGGCGTGGTAAGCCTAACTGACATTCTCAACCTGTATGCCCGTGCCAGCGGGCTAAGCCCCGCCGACCCGAGCATATACCGTAGTCAGCGAAGGCGAAGCAGTAGCTCGAGCCTAGGCATACGGAAAAGTGGAGATATCGGGCGGGACATCGGTAGGGATGTCTGGAACCGTGGAAGCACTTAGGGATTTTCAAAACTCAGAAATCATAGCTAGCCTAGATCCCCCGCCCACTTCAGCCCCCTGTGACTTTTTTTCTTTTTTTGCTTCTCTGCTCATCAATGCATTTTCTTTCTTTCCTTTTTTTTTTTGTTCTTTGTTTGCATTGTGGGTTGTCGAAAGGGATTTGGAGAGCAGATATTTATTGGCCCTCTCACATGTTTAAGCGAGAGTTTGTTGCGCAAGACCCTTGTCACCCGGCGGTTCTCGAGGTCAGCCTCCAGCTTCTTAGCTACAATAAATCAACTGTGAACTAGTTCATTGTTGAATGGCTGATATAACTCGCATGAATGTTCATTCAAAAAATCACTATATTTACATACCTGTCTCTACTCACTTGCAGGTTTAAAATCTTACATAATACCTGCACCAGTGAGTGAGTTGGTTACTTAAAAAAGCAAGTTCAAAGGATTCATACAGAGTCAACATCTCGCCTCCACAAGTCCACCCATCAAGCTCAAGTTAAGCGGGAGGTGGGTCGACAAAAAGCAGCCACAACAAACCTCCCCACATCGAATGTTCGGACCCTCTTGTTCAAAAGAGAGAGGTGCGTGCCTAGCGCACAGGCAGGTCCTTCATCCGCCCGCGCAATCAAAGCTCCCTCACTAACTACTGAGTATAGTTTAGTTTATAATATAAGCTCCCAACGCCCTGGGGACTTGCCAATAACTCATTGGAGCATGAACTCAAAAGAGTTTCCAACTACTGTAGGATGGGATGGGAGGATAAGTTCGGCGGTTTGAACCAGCGTTCAAAACTTTTTGGTGCGGGTCCGTTGGACTATTTTTGTCGTTGCTTGCCGAGATTCTTCGTCAGTCGTTTTGGCTGGCAGTTCATAACCGTTCCTTGTTTCGGCGGACGAATGGAAAAGGAAAAAGAAAAGAAACGCAAAGAAAGCAAAGAAAAGGGAAGGAAAAGGAAAAAGAAAGAAAAGAAAAGAAAAGAAAACAGAACGAAAAAACAACAAACACCCTTTTGCTTTCTTTAGAAAAAAGCAAAGGAAAACAAACCCGCATGCCAAATGGTTACTTATTACCTTCTTCTGTAGCTCAACCCATACCGCTGGACCTTCTCGGCTTTATCATCTAAGCACCGGAAACCACATCTCATCATTCTCTGGAGCGTGGAAGCCCAGACCCGCAGTCGCCGGGCTCTTCCAATCCAATCAGCGCCAAAATGGCGGGCTCCCTCCCCGCCACCCCCGAATCCATGATTCTCGCTGGGGATCGGTAAGAACTGGCGGCTGTGGGTGTTGCGCAGGCGCTGTAGGGCGAAACAACTTTAATTTTAGAGTTCTCCAGCAAGGGGGGCCGTGAACCTATTCCTTGCTCGTCGTTCGTCGTCCGTCGTCCGTTCGTCTGCTGGTAACTACTGTATTTTATGCAGGTGATTGTCGACTAGTTTTGTTTTTTGATCGTCCCGGGGACCATCTGCAGTGCATATATAACTAGTGAGGCACTTACTTCTCTGTATGGAAAAAAGGAACAAGGAAAAAGTGAAGACAAAAGAAGAAACAAAACAAAACAAAAAAAGGCGCGGGAGGCGAGCGGGGGCTTGGGTTCAACAAAAAAATGAACGAGACCAATGAAGAGAAGGATTCACCTCCGGGTAACCATTGCATTTGCTTTCTCCTCTCCATAGGACCCAGGCAAAAGGAAAAAAGAAAAAAAACATCCATTGCATGAATGCTTCGTTTATCGCCATTGCCAAGAGAAACGTTGTAGATATTTGGAAGCTTCCCCCGGCCAGGCAACGAACGGCTCATCGAATCAAATCGACTATGCAGGGCAACATCGCCGAACAATGAATGGACGTCCATTTTGGGCCCCATACGGCCGAGAAAGGCGAATGAGAGAGAAGAACAGATTCTTCATCCTCGCTTCTACCCTTTTTGATTGTGGAAGCGGATTTCAAGGGAGTAGACGGTGGCGTGGGAAGTCAAGCGGGGGAGGTATCAAAATGCAGCGATTCGTTTTTTTATATATACTCTTTTCCTCGTTTTATTTTTTTCTTAGCATCTGCCCCGCCGGTAAACTTTATTTATATATTTTGTTTATTTATTTTGGTTATTCAATTCCGAGCATGCTTTCCGCTTACCGTGTTCCCAAAATGGAATGGAGATCCAAAGGAAAGAAAAAGAAAAAAAAAGAATCAAGAGAAGGAAAGTATGAAATAGTGAAAAAAAAAGAAAAAAAAAATCCACATTAAAAACTATTTGCTCCCTACATACATGCATCCACACATAGCCTATATAGCCTTAAACATTTCCTGTTTTCTGTTTTTCCCTTTAAATCATTCCCTTCTCTTGAATCTGCTTCAAATGACCCGCTTCCCAATAGAAGCTAGAAGCGGCGGGGGAGGAGACAAATGAGTCTCGACTTTCCCTCTTTCCGCTTCGGTTTTTTTCCGCCTTCGCCACACAAATAACCATAGATAGATTGCAGACTGATGCGATTGCGCAGTTGGAGTATCATGACAGATATACATATAGCAAATACAGCAAATATGCATGTCGCTCACAAAAGGTATCAGGCGTTGTTCCGGATATGTGGCGAGCAATGAAACAGTAAAAATGAGATAGGCTAAGAGCGTCCAGCACATATAGCAGAAAGTCTCAAAACTAAAGTATGGGTTAAAAAAAAAAGGGCCAAATAAATAATTGATGAATTAGAAAAAAATAAAAGAATTAAGCATGGCGTGGTGCAAGGACATACGTAGCGAGCCTTGGATTAGGAGGTAGGAAGAAGGAAAGAGAAACAAAATTTTTGATGGGCTCTCTCTGGCTTTATTATCATCACCCCTCTCAACATGGGAGCTATGGATTATTCTCAAGGACTGACTTACGGACAAACAGGCTTTCCGCATAGGGAGTATACGCGCTTCTTGAGGTATCATCTTTGCTCTGAATTCCCGGATGGCTCAAGGGGAAATCCCAACATACAAAATAAGTCAAAAAGTACAAACTAAAAATCAAAGGCGGTGAGGGAACTCAGGTTTCCCTAGTTGTAAGAGCTCACTATACAGCTCTCTTTGATAAGAGAAAGTAAATCGGAAGCTCCAGCTGAGTGAAAATTGTTAATAGAACAATTGCTAAGAATGCACCAGGCAATGTGAAAATTAACGCAAAGGAGAAGTAGGTAATGAGTGATTTTATATAGCTGTTTTCCCTTCCCATTGCCAGAACCAGGGAAAGGAAGACACAAGAAATATCAAGGGAGTATTAATGAGAGTATCAATAGAAGTAGGCATACGGAGGAGAAGGATATGAAAAAAGCTAGTGCTCCTGCCCTTTGCTGTTCGCGAGTGATCAATTAGAAGGTGGATACACCAAATGGGTCGGAATATTCATATTTGAGAAAGGCGTTCTCGTCAGAACACTCGTGGGAGGCAGTGTTGAGTTCGAGTCCATTGACGTCTGGGAGCGCATCTTGGAAAAAAGATGATGTTTCTGAACCCACTATTTCTTCCGGGAAAAGGTCGTTGTTGTTCATGATTGAATTCTGAACATATTCACTCAGGCCCATTGGAAGGGCATTCTGGTCGGAAAATCCCTGCTTGACAACCGGCGAAGGAAGAGAAGGGTCAGCAACACTGGAACCCGAGGTTGTCATTGAACCTGCCGAAGAGCCTCTGGAAACTGGGGATGTTCCATGACATGGAGTTTGGATCATAGGGGCCTTGGTGTTTACTGGAATTGGTGTGCACTGGATGAGAGGGTCGAGAGTTTGGTTTTCCATCTCCTGGAAACTACCTGAAGGCAATTTATGATTGTTTGAGTTTTCAATGTTAGAGCCGGAAGTAGAATTTTTAGCGGTGGCGGAATTCAGTGCGGAAGTGTTGGCACCCCAGTTATATTCAGTGCCAGTGCCGGGATAACTGCCGGTAATGCCCATCCCTTCAGCCGGAGAAGTGACAGCAGAAGAATGAGTATAAGGCATACAGTCAAAAGAATTCATACGTATAACCTGGTTCGCTCTAGATTGGGTGTTTAGACGTCGAGGGCGCGGTTGCTGGATATGTTGATAGGACTGCCGCCGAATATTTGGGGCTGGTTTAAGGGCCGAGGTTCTTTGCTGGTTAGTTGGGGACCCTTGCTGCACGGCTCGATATAGCTGTTGAATATTGGAATGCGGTCTTGTAGAATCGTTCCCTTGCTGTCGGGTTTGTTCCAAGTGCTGCTGCCACTGCTGCTGCTGAGGGGAGTGCATCACGGGATAGCTAGGGACAGACTTTTGCGGGTGAGATTCCGGTCGCATGGGCGACGATCCAGCATGATGTAGGTGTGTAACAGCAATGGCGGGATCCGAAGCCACTCTTCGGTTAAGCCTGTTATTTTGACCGTTGAAATTGGCGATTCCTTGACCTTCATAGCTGGGAGCGTTGGGTGAAATGGGTAGAGAATTGGGTCGTCCATGTGGCACTGGGGGGCTGAACGGATTATTGAACATGCCCTCCACACCTGGTAAGCCATTGAATCGGTACATTGCCGGATCATATACGCCCTGAGGTGATATTGGCCCTGCGTGGTACGGATTGGGTATGTTACCGTTCAGCTGTGAGAAAGATGAATTTGCATGAGGTTTGGCAAAATTGGCCAACATGTATGGGTGTAAGTGCACATCCAATGACTGGGACCTGAGCTGAAGACTATCGATGTGACACCGACGTTTTCTGCCGTGCTCATCATCTAATTCGTCGTACATCTCTTCCCTCTCAACAGCTTCCATGGTGATACGCAACCCCTTCCCAGTTCGTTCCTTGTGAACTTCTGAAGCGCGCAGCGCGGACTCAAACCGAGCTTCCATAGTCCTGTCTCCTCTCCTGGAGGCTGCGATAAATGCCCTTATCCAACAGTTAGGTTTACTCAGGAACAAGCATGATCAACGAGTGAAAAGACTAACCTTTCTCGATTTTCCAACCGCCGTTTAACATCCTCTTTCTCTCTTGCTTCTCTCTCTGATTCTGTCTCATGTCTACCCTCCACCTCCTTGGTGTCCCTGCTCTCTTTAACGCGAGTGGAAGTGGGAGAGGCCATGGTTATAAAGAGTCACCGAGGAGCAAGGAAATTATGATCTCTGGGGAAGGGACAGGAAAAAGGCACCCGGGGGTTGAGTGACTATTGATATGGCAGCCGTCCGAATCTGAACAGGAGAAGAACAAGAGAAGGTTTCGTGTAATAATAGAGGGAAAGACAGCGTTTCCTGGAATATATAGATGAACAGGGCGGCAGGGAGTAAACCGTAATGCAGTAACCGAGCGGCCTAGTTTCTTTGGTCTTTCTGACATACGGGGGAGCTCGAAGAAAAAGCAATAATTTCCTCCGATGTGGATTCGGGAGATCTCCTTGGTTATTGCATGGGGGATGAAAAGCAACAAGTTATGACGGAGATGAGGAGACAAAAGTAATAAGGAGGAGCAGTGGGGAGTGCGAAGTTGCAGGTACGCCAAGAAAGCAATACTGGTGGTTTAGGGAAGGGTCCGGGAAGGAGGTCGGGACCGAAAAGGATTTCGCTAGTCCAAGTCCCACCTTAGACTTTCCGTCGTAACCACGGTTCGCAGGATATCTCCTACCTAGACTCTGATGGGCCGCGAGCCGTGTGGGCCCTGTAGTAGCTCGTGCTCTACACACACGGCCAGCCAGAGCCGGGGCCCCTCCATCCACCTCCGCTGCTCACCAACAATAACGATTATTGTTATTATTGAAATTAATGCGGAAAATTTTGAGGTGCCCAGCACAGACCACACGCAGAATGCATGCATGCAGTAGGAATGACCGGCAAGCTAGCCACAGGCTTATGCAGGGGTCCAAAGCGTGAGTGTATACGGCTGGCGTTCCATTTACCCGCAGCAAAAGTCGTCTACTCTTCGATGGCGGGCACTCCATTTTTCCTTCTCAGAAAGAAAAGAAAAGATGAAAAAAGGAGACCATGGAAGTGCAGAATCTGTTAACTGGGTGGCACTAGCAACATGCTTGAGATCCCCGTAGTCGAGCGATACAGGAAAGATGGCTCTGATAGTGTGGAATATTTGCAAACTAAGGTCGAATGGAAGGCAGCAGCCGTATTGCACTTTACAATTTGGCCCTGAAAACCGGCCACGGACAGGGGAACCCTTTCCAGCACAGAGTTTCTCTAAGCCCGAAAGGCCTCCAACGAAGAAGGGCGGGATGTAGATCCAATGGGGTAGGAATCATAGACATTACAAAATGGCAAGCGTTAACCTTGAAATGAGTACAGCCAGCCTAGAACTGGAAAATAGTTGCGTAGGTACCTACCTGAGACTTGGAATCCGTCCCAAGTGTATACACACCCACACCCTCGCTTCCACGAACCCATGTCTGGATAGGAGGCAGGGCACCAGACAGCACCAGACAGCACCAGATGGCGCAAGATGGCACTAGGGGCTCTGTAAGGGCAGACATCAAGGCGCATCCAATGCCCGGATTATGGTTTGCAGGTTCCAAGTTGGCAGAACAAGTTGTGGCCTCAGTACAGCGGCTTGGTTGAGGTCAAAAGTTTCCTGATTGAGCGCTGTTTGGTCTGGGCTTTGGGAGAAAGTTGGTCAGCAAACGCACTAGGTTATTTTGGACAAGAACCACCAGGCCCCGCCCACCTTTAGTGGCTGATCATCTAGCGTGGCCAATCGGAGATCCGCAAATCGCTAAATGCTTTATTATCTAATCATGCCTGGGCTTCCCGTCTGTCCTGGTTTTCAAAAGTAACATGGGGCTCCCGTTTGCAAAAGTTGGACCCACAAACCACCCATCTAAAATACACCCATATATATCACGGGTTCAAAGATGGCAAGTCTGAAAACCCTCGATAGAAAGAAAATAATAGCTCTAATGAAGAGTTCTGCGATCTTAGTTGTTTAGACCTCACTGAGGGGGTTTCTGGCCGAGATTTCAGTGGCGTTGCTGCTCTTCTTGGCCGAGCCGCCATCTTTCTAAGTCACGTGTCCAATATTCAACCTTCCAAGGTTGCCCATGATAAGTCAACTAGAATGCCATCAAGATCCCCACCAATATGGGTGATTTCTTTTCTTTTCTTTTTTTTTTTTTTTTAATAAGAAGCACGTTCCATAATATAGATGGAGGGATGGTGGTAGATAAATTGTTTTACACGGCACAGTTTAAGACAATAAATTACGATGGATAAGCCGATTGATGGTTGATACATGGTGAATCTTATTGCCTGATCCCCGGCACTCAGTGTTCGTACTAGTAACTGCAAGTATACATCACGCTCGACTCACAGAAATGCAACTACACACACATATTCTCTATGAGTAGAAACATGCCATTTATTTATTTAATTATTTCTATCTTTATTTTTGGCCAGGTTGGTTGTTGGCTATTTTGGTACAAAATGTTTCATCGTGGGGAGGCAGCTGTAATTTTCTGTATCAACTGTAAATAGCCGGTGCAGAGATTAAAATGCCGACTTCGTTCCTCCTCGCCGTTGGCGGGATTTTAACTTCTCGGTTTCGACATGCCAAGATTCCTTGGTTAACCTTGATCTTCAGTGGCTAAAATAAACCCGGCGCTGCTGATTTTTACGGTTGCGCACTGGAAAGCGGGTTTTTTCCGGGCCATAAAATTTTGCCTCGTGCTTTTTAACAGGTAGTTTCAAGGAGGACCTTCTGGCTTAGAGGTGCTACGGTGTCGGCGGCGATACCCTGACTCTTAACTAAACCGCTTAACTAACTAACTAACAGTTGACCACGCATTCTTATCTGGCTCTGATGGTAGAAGACTTGGCTGTGATGGCAAGAACAATCATTTTGAAGGGACGAGGCTCCAGCCTCCAGTGCTGTCCGCAAAGCTATCTCTGTTTGGTCACTCCACACCTTCAACCCGGTTCCGTGATGGTCGCAAACCATATGGAGGGAGAAAAAATGAGTCCACTTTACTCCCCCACCTTCCGGAACCAACACCCCCCGCCTTCGAAATCTTCAAAGATGTTCCTCGCAGGGATAGAGTCAATCATGAATCAATGACAGGTATCCCCTGTCAATCTTGTCAGCACTAAAAGACAATCCTCTTGGAGAATCCAGGTTAAATGCGAACAGAAGAGCTTCCTAGGTAGGTACGGAGTAGTCTATATTATCGTATTCGACACTGCAGACGACACTCACCGGCTTAATAGGTTGGAGGTAGCTAAACATGAGCCTCCAACTATTGTACAGTACATGTAATGTCCATGTACCAAAAAACGAAGTTTTCCACAGGATCTGCTGTGCTGCCAAACCGAGGTAGGGATGTGCAGGCCAGATGCCTCGTTCGCCATACTTTGCTTACGAGCCTGAGAACAAGCGTTCTCGTGCATATTTTGCCACTTCATAGGGATACTACATGTACACTCAACGGCCTAGCATCCCGCCTATAACACACTCGCTGTTTGATCTTTGCACGAGAGAGAGGCTTCTCGCGCTTCGGGATTTGAAAGTTAATGTCAGAATATATAAAGATAAAAACGGGCTGAAATTTGCTAGCTACTATGTACGTAAGTTTGGATGCCTTTCGCTAGCATGAGGGTTATCCCGTTTGAGTTCCCCTTCCAACCGCCAACTGTTTGAACTTATAGTATGGACAAGAAAACAACCCCCAACAAGCCTAGTATTGGTAAACTGACCTTGAAAAAAAAAAAGCATCCGACACGAAAAGTAGAGGGTATGGTGGACGAATCAAAAGTCCCGAAAAATATTGTTCCTGCTTTTAGGGCGGTTGTGAGTGTTGTTTGTTGCGGACTTTGCACTTCTCCATCTTTAATTATATGGATATGCACGTTGAGGTCACCTGGCGAAGAGAGACGGCACAAGCAATCCCATAATAATATGTGCGCCCGAACTATTGCTAGAGATCCTCCGCATGCAACCTGCAAATGCACCGATCTCACTGTTGCATGGCAATAGTCACCAATCCTCATGCACAGCCGATGCCATGACAACATGGCAGCTCCAGGAGGATTTAGAAATATGCACACTTAGGCAGGTACCGATGCGCAATGCCCTGCACATGTACTGTACATGTACATGTACGTCCATACCGTACAAGGGACATCGGTACCGGCACAAGAAGAAAGAATGTGATCAAAAGCTGCGGTGTCATTCCATCGCCTTCATGCAAATCCGTTCGACCAAGCTAAGGCAACATGACACCATCATGCTGCACTCCACACCGTTTAGGGCAGGTCTCGTATGCAGGAGCGATGGGATGATTTACCCAATTGCATATTGGATGCAATGCATTATCCCCCATAATACAACGAACTAGTTGTGTTTGTGGAGGGATGGGCGGTTGATTGTCAGGTGTTAGAGCCAGAGATGCCTGTCTTTGAGAGCCACGTCAGGAGAGGATGAGGGGTGTGTGTGATGGGAAAGGAATTCGAAATAGCGGGGGAATATGGTAACTTCGCAGCCCTAGCAACCAGCTGGCTCAGGTGAAGTTCTTTTCCTGGACCAACCTTTTAATTTTTTTCCTAGACCCCAATTTACCTATTTAAAACACGAATATCAACCATTGATTTCTTATGTCCGCTGGCCACCTTGTGTCCTATTTTCAATTCGTAGGCAACAAATTATTCCAACGGATTCCCGAGAGCCGCTCCCGAAGTGATGGCTCGCCAGGAGTTCGGCAAAAGGGTGGATCGACTGGGTGATCACCAGGATGTTTTTGAACTACACAGCGCGCGGGTTGCCTTGCAATCTTTGATTACGATATACTTCGGACATGCGACCTTTGTGCGATAAAAAGGCCTTGGTCACTTATACAATCTAGGGTCTTACAGAAGTTGACAAGGGAGGGGCGGGCAGAAGAAGTACACAAATTAAAGTAAAATAAAGCAAGGAAAATGCACAGGAGCCGCGGAGGTGAAAACTATCTTGGTCCAAATTTATCAAGCTAAAATAACACGAAGAGGTACAAAACCAGTGCCATTTTGAAGGGAACCTGGAATTATAGGACGGGAAAGCTGCGCTAGCTTCGCACGTTTGGCTAGTTATATCTTGACCGGGTTTTGAATTTTCTGCGTCATTTTTTTATCTGTTTATTGTTTCGCTTCCCTCCCTCCGTTTCCGTTGTTTGCCATTGCTTCAACTAACTAGTTTCCAGGAGAGAAGAAGGTGGTGTATTGCAATGTCATGCTATGCCTAAGGGAGGCACACGCCCCTGTTCTTCTTTTTCCTCCGTTCCAAGCTTATACGAAAGCTTATACCGTAATTTAACTGAGTCCCCGGCCCCGAATGGGATCCCGTTCAATTGCATTTCAAGACGAACTCCGTTCTGCTGCAGTGGGGCTATGTGACGTCCAGACTGCGGCGTCAGTTGCAAACTATATGCCTGTTTTAGAAGTTAGCGGCATTAGTATATTGGACTATGTAGGTCGCGGATAAGAGGGGAGGGGTAGAAGATGATTATAGGACGGGAGGAGAAGGAAAGGGAAGGGGAGGACGGGAGTGAAGGAGGGAGTGAAGGAACGAAGCGGGACCACCTATTACCTTCTCAATTGCAACTTGGAAGTGGAGGTCGGATATTGGTTGGCTGGTATTATTCGAAAATGAGACTAACACATGTATCTTTTGATCCCCTGCGTTCCTAGCGGAAGTAAAGTCAACGCCTATCGATGATTTCAGGACTTGTACCTTGCCGGTACTAGGCAGATTATTCTCCGGAAGGGCCGAGGCGAAGGTCCATTCATCATCCCCTGTAGTAGTTGTGGGTGCTGCCGGCTGTGTAGCTGTCTGAGACATTCCCTGGCCTAGGTCAAGAAATGATGGTGAGGAGTTGGATCCCAAAGAGCTTTGAAGGTGGTTGAAGGGTGACGAAGTCTGGGAACGTGCCGAAACCAGAGATGGGAATGGGTCCCCCAGTGGAGGCGTTGCTGCCTTTTGTTGTTGCTGTTGTTGTATTGAGGCTGGCATAGCTGTCGGGGGCTGGGTTTCCAACACTGAGACAGCAGATGTGGAAAGGGCGGGGTCATCAAACAGGTTTCTGGACAGTGATGATGTAGACGACAATCCCAATAACGTCGATGGACCTTTTAATTGTTAACTTGGTTCGTTGATATCCAAGGCTTACTTACTTGAACTAAAGCCACCTCCGAGAGATATGCCACCGCCTTGCGGTTGTGAATTTTCTTGGAATGAAAGGCCAAGGAGATCTCCTTCCGATGACAGTACCTGGCTTTGCGATGTACTGACAGCCGTGCTGCCATTGGAGCCAGGTGCAGTATCATCACCGAAATCGATTAAGGATAACTCATTATCGGAATTCTTCTTCACGCCTGTGCTCGTCCCCAGTGTTCCTTTCGGAATTTTGGCTGCTCCTTCTAGGTCGCCCGACTTCACTAACTTATAACGCTGGATAGTTCGGTGTATACTATCATTGATTTCTAAGAGTTTGGCAACAGCTTCTGAGTCATCCGACTCCTCCTCGCACATCTTTTGGATTTTCGGATGTGCGCTTTGGAGGGCATTGGCGAGTTCCTGATGGTTTTTCATTAAACAAAATCCTAGTTTTTTGATTTGAGGTATAACCTACCTCAAAAACATCCCCTTCCTTTACTTTATCACCGGGTTTGTAACTTTGAAGCATTTCCTCTAAAATTTTTGCTTTTTGTTGGACTTTGGCGACCTCCTCAGCAGCCTTTGCTCTATAGTCCGTTTTATGCCGTAAGTCGTACCCCGCCATTACTTTCATCAACCTGTTCGCCTCCTGTAGGTCTTCAGGACCTCCTCTTCGAATGAGTTCCTGGAGTTTAGCGGATTGGGCAGCCCGCTCTTCTTCTTCCATCTCCTCAGCAGATTGGAGATTCTAGCCAATGGTCAATATGATCCTAATGTGGTGGGAATATATAAAATCCGACATACATCGCTGGGATTTAAAACTGCTGCATCCTCCCGACGAATTTCTGGGAACATATAACCCTTGTAAAGAAGCAGGCGATGCATATCCCTGATAAATCCCAAGTCCTCCTTGTATCGTGACGTCTGACATATTGTCTGCCGCCATTCCTCGATCGACTCTAGAATTCGATGCTGTACTCTGGATGGTCGGATCGGAGGGCGTTCGGGAAATCTCCGTACCAACTCATTAAGGAATTCTTTCGTACTGATTTGGAGATGGAAGGGATATCCGCAGTTTTTCACACATATATCAAGAAGCTAACATCATAACCACGATCAGTATCCCGCTTCTTCGGACTGAAAGCTTCGACATACCGCTAGGGCGAGTAGCGCCACATTGGGATTCCGCGAATTAATGAGATGTACTATGTTGATAGCAGCTTCCCGAGGCCTTATCAATCGTCAGTGCCAATGAAATAGAGGGCGGAAGGTGCTGGTGTAAGCGAAGGAACTCACGCGTTGCCCTTCTTAGAATTTATGAGATCAGCTATTTCGAGATTCAGAGCAAGGTTGGGTTCGTAATTCTGGGGGTCGCATGCATTGTCTACGACCAAAGAATATTAAATTAGAACAAGCGAAAAAATGTAATACTTGGAATGAGAAGTAGTGGAGCAGAGAGAACCTACAGATGTATCTTTGTAAGGTTGATTGCGCGGGTTCAGCGAAGACACCAAATCGATCCCTCGCTGCCATGCGTGCAGATGTCGCCTCCAGATTGACGGATAGGTCAGGGAATCAGAACCTTCAAGAAGGACCTTCGAAAGCGTAGAGTGAAAATCTCTTGCCTCCACCACGAAATAAGAGGATGTGCCAGTCGATGTGTCGTGGTATTAATGATGATTAGGATGAAGTGTACTAGGTAAACTAGGCTTGGTTGGCCTTGAATATTATGGAAGACGTTACTATTTCCTCTTTAATCCAAGCGGGGTGAGAGGCTCAGACCCCATATCTCTCTCTACACCTAGGTACCACACCTTTGATTCAACACCACAACTTCCCATCGCCAACGCCAACACAGCGAACTCTGGATATTAGATATGGAAGCTAAAGTTATCCATCAGACCTGCTTCGGAGCAATTAACCGTGAAACTGGCCGGTTTAATAGAGATGCTGATGGCTTTTCGATTTGTCCCACAGAGTGGGAGCCCCCAACTTTTTGCCCCCGACCTTGCGACCTCATTCTGTCTTCGTCTTAGTGATATATCCATCCGCTGCTATCAAAGGCTGACTACAACCTCTTTGATAAAACGTGACCCGGGGCTGTCAATTACTAGTAGTCATGGCGACGTACTCTCTACTTTGTTTTGCCTACGGTTACGAAATTCCGAAATTCTATTTCTGTGTTGAGCGCACAGCCTAAATTTGCCATGGCTAAGGGGCATGTTGCTCTTGACAATTTTCATTGGATGCCTAGACGGTCGGTAACTCATCCTACTATCGTTCGTTGCAATCTCACGCCTTCTATTCTCACGACGAACCGTCCCGGTATAACATATGACAATTCATACCAGCGATGCCACTTCTCGTTCCTTGGCTTATTATCCCATCTAGCAGAAATACCAGAAATACATATTCTAGTATTTTATGGTAGAACGGGAGCTTCGCCTCATGGACCTTGATCAAGTCTCTCCGTTTGCTTTGTGGCTGTCATCGGTAATATACTCGAACCCGTGGGAACAGAAATATTACTCTTGCACATTTCAACGGACAATCCCATCACACCCTACTTGTCTAGGTCGTCTAGGGATGAGCTACGACAACAGTTTGACAACAGGGAAAGCGATGGAAAGCCAGCAACTTTTTCTCGTAGCGGTTTCCCGCGTCGGTAGCGATACGGACAAGTTCCAGGAGAGAATGCTGGAGCCTCGCAGGTATGCCCCAATCAACGACTACGGGGTAGACAGAACTCGATATGATGCGCGTATCTTAATATATGTACAACCCAGTAATTTACAACATCAAAATCGTTGACAACGCGGTTAATTGCTTCGCATCTTCATATAAGAATTCAATCCGGCTGTGATAATACAGCATGCCCGCTTCCTCCATGCCACACTGTGAGATTTGTAGCCTCAGGTGAATCTGACATATTCGGCATTCATTGCCCTAATTTCCGTTTCTCGATGCATCCAATTGGCCCCTAATAGGGTAGATAACTTTGAGCATCGCCATATCCGCTTGCTTCCCAAGTCACGGAGAATGGTTGTAGCAATAATACTTGTTGCGGGCGAGGGTTTTCACATGAGGATTGACTTCCACGACCAAATGGAAAGCATGCCTGAAAAGCTGAAAAAGTATTCGAATACGACATATTGCCAGATCGCTTGAAGGATTGTAGAAATGTTCCCTACGGCAGAAACCTGCTGTCTTTGACGCGCTGGTATTTGATTTGTTTAAGCTGTGGACCCTGGTCAATTCACGCCTGGCTAATTATTCGGAGCCTTTTACTAGACAAAATATTTGTGGGAAAGATTCAAGATATCATTTGATTGCCTTTGTCAATGCTGCTTCAAGCAAGACAACCTTTCCTGACAGCGTTTACTCGCGGGTTTACTTTAAAAATACTATGACGTATTGAAGCGTCGGAATTAGGTTATTCCCTCTAGTTCTAGTCCAGGTTCGAGGAACCCTAGTACCATGCGACAACCAACTATAATCATCAAAAGGATTTTCCATATCTTTTCTTTTTGGGTTTTCTCTCTGCTTTTATTGACGAAATCATACATTATATCACCCTTGTGGCGGTGAGAGGAATGGTTCGACACAAAAAAGATAACTTTGGTAAACGAGGAAAAGGCAACTACCCATCGCAACCCCGCCAACAAAGATTCGCACGGGGCTTCCCTGCTGATGACGATGGGGACGCGTCCAACATATTCCCTTTTAAAGCTGCATGTTGGGATCTAGGCCATTGTGACCCCAAGCGATGTTCTGGAAAAAAACTGATGCAGCATGGTGCCATGCGTGAGCTCCAGATTGGACAGAAATTTGCCGGGGTTGTGATTTCGTGAGTTCTCCATAAGGCCTATATCTTTTCACTACGTTTTCAGCCTTCTTGCTATATATTTATACATTCTTGCTTCCTCTAACCTTTACTAGACCGAATGCGAAGCGCACGATCTCCCCAGCCGATAACGAGTTGCTAGAGCAATACGGAGCTGCGGTGGTAGAGTGTTCGTGGGTGAGGACTCAGGAAGTCCCCTGGTCGAAAATTGGTGGAAAGTGTGAGAGGTTATGTGAGTACCTGTTTCCATGTTTCCTTCCCGTTCAACGAATGAAGTGCCTTTCTGGATGGTTTGGGAAAAGGGAACTGGGTCAAAGAAACCACAACTTTCTTACAAGCTCCATTAGTACCTTACCTCGTCGCCGCCAACTCAGTGAACTACGGACGCCCCTGGCGACTAAACTGCGCGGAAGCACTAGCAGCCGCCTTCTATATCTGTGGACATGAGGATTGGGCTTCTGAGGTTTTAAAGAAGTTTTCGTACGGCAGGGCGTTTTTGGAAATCAATTCGCAACTTTTGAAACGATATGCTGCTTGTAAGACAGAGGCGGATGTGAAGAATACGCAGGAGCATTGGCTTGAGAAGATCGAGAGGGAGTATTCTGAGAGTCGGGTGGAGAAGGGCGCTGATGATATGTGGACGGTTGGGAATACGAATAGGCGGGATATATCTGATTCAGAGGATGAGGGCGCGGAAGATGAAGAAGGCGAAGTTTCTCGAGGAGAGGAGGAGGATTCAGGGAGAGACCCATATGAGCTCTCTGATGAATCAGACGATGAGGAGATGGCGGAGTTACGACGGAGGGTTCTAAATTCGAGGCCATTTACGAATGTTACAGAACATGAGGCAACATCCAAGTCGCAGTTCGAAAAAATCAAGAGGCCAGAAACGTCAAGGAGTGGCGTCGCGGGGACGGCTTTCGGATCCAAACAAACGAACATTCTTGCTGATGACAACAATGGCGAAGATAGTGAAGATAATGGTGAAGACGAGGCGTTCGATAGGATCATTAATGCCACCATCACTACGGACCGGACAGGAATTGCGAAGCCGCGGAGATAGCACGGCTGACAACAAAGCAATATGACACTTTGCTCCATCACACCTTTATTTTTGGTCCTCAGCAACATACGCTCTAGTCCATGAAAAAATTATTTTTTGAATACTAGCAACAAAAAATAATTACAACGGACATGGTTTATCGTCCTTGCATTCACATATTTAGGTTTTCTCCCCCTATTCGCGTTCTGTGGTGATCGCATATCTGTGTAGACTCGTTACATTAGGTGCTTGTTTGCCGTTCTAAATAGCGTATTATATGATTCGTATCTAGTGCGGAGGATGAATCCTATGCCAATCCTTGCAGGATCGGAGGTACGATGATCCGTCCCACCGCTGCAGCCGAGCTGAGTAAGCTCCATGCCACCACCTTGAGGGCGGCCTTCTGCAACCACTGCTCCAAGCACACCTGGGTATCTTGCTGCCTCCGTTCTCCAATCTACGAAGCCGTTCCAAAGTGTGCGTTGCTTCGTCCAGTTCTGGGGTACCTTGGCCCCTTTCTTGACCCTTGTCTCCCGGCTCTTTATTGCTCCAGATAGGACGACAAACACCCGTCTGTTGGCACAGGAGGGGTTGCTCTTCGGTAAAGTCAACCCATATTATTGCTTCAAGTAGTCGCCTCACGCTGCCTATCTCGGCCCATTTTCCGATGTGAGGGCCGGTTACAATACCCTGTTTTATATACTTAGCAAGAAGCTTTGGCCTGAACACCCAAATTACTGTATACTTTTTAGTTGAACTTTTGCTGCTGTTACAACCTGCGTTCACTGATGGAAATTCATGATGAACAATAGCCTCGTGACCTACAAGGGCGGTTTAGGGGACCATGCCCGCTGTCCGGGAGGACCCAGCTGGGCCTCTGATCTTTCGCACCTCGGGACAGCTGCCGTACCCTGATCCAGCTAATCCCCAGCTGCCACCCAACATATATCCCCGCCAGGTGACCCTTCGAGACCGTGTCACAGTCGCGACCCTTGTTCCGTTCGCTTCCCCCGCAGATGTGCCGGCGTCATTGCTGGGGTACCTATGCGATCAGCTCAATAAAGAGATTGATATGGGAGACACTTATCCCATGATTGATCCCCTCTCCTTCGACTCCTTTGGTCCCTATTGGTTCTCAAACTTTGGTGCTGTAATGCTGCTTGGCGACATCAACAGTATTCATGAAGTCCAAGACACGGGAAATATGGGGACTGATTGGAAAAAGATTTGCCTGGGAAGCTTTAATATTAAGCCCAATTATCCTGGGCGTAGCAGTCATGTTTGTAATGGGAGTTTTCTCGTCACTGATGCGTCGCGGAATCGGGGAGTAGGGAGGTTAATGGGTGAATGTTACCTAGAATGGGCGCCTCTTTTGGTCAGTTATATTATTAATCGTACGTCCTATGTATAAGTTTCTGACTGTCGCTGACTTCACACAACAACGAAGGGCTATACCTACTCTGTTTTTAATCTTGTTTACGAGACCAATGTTGCATCCTGCCGAATCTGGGATGCATTGGGCTTTAAACGCATTGGTAAAGTTCCAGGTTGCGGAAACCTTCGGTCACACCCAAATCAACCCGTTGACGCCATCATATATGGACGGGATTTGGGACCAGAAGGCGAAGATTTTGTGTCAGAGGAGCGATTTGATAAGATTCGATATTATTTGAAGCATTCAAAATATCCAAGTGGTGCCGACCGTGCAGAGAAGAGCCGCCTAAGGAGCGCTGCAACCCACTATAAACTCGTCGGTGGGCAGAATGGAGAACCGGAGAAGTTGATGCTAAAGGATAAAGAGGTGGTATCAGATCCTCAGCAACAGTATGAGATTGCACGCCGAATCCATCTCCAGCAACACGGAGGGATCAATAAGACCACCGCCACCATTGCGTTGAAGTATCACTGGGTCCGTATCAAAGAAACAGTTAGCATGGTCATCAAGAACTGTCCGCAGTGCAAAGAAACTCCAAAAGTTTCCCCTGCCAACTCCAATTCTAACTCCAATTCCACTTCCAACGCAAACTCCAACTCCAAGTCAATCTCCAACTCCATTCCGAACTCCATCCCTGACTCCATCCCTAACTCCATTCCCAACTCAATATCCCAATCTACCTCCAACTCCAACTCGGAAATTTCTCTACCCAGAAGAGAAAAGTCTTCCGGCTCGCGCGAGCAGACAACATACAGCATACCTACAAATGACTTTGACACGCCCCAAGACCAACTCCTCACAGCGCACGATGAATACGATAAAGACAACACATTCGGTAGTACTCACCCTCAACTGATGCACGCACCCGTCGAAGATGCCATGACAGCAACCTACGCCGATATTCCCCTAGATCCCCAAATAATGGACGGCATCCAACAACACCTCCCACCATTCCCGGACCACAATCACCACAACCCCCATCACCATCACCACCATCACAGCACCGTCAACCCGTATGGAGCCAGTAGCCTACACGACCCGCACAGCTTACAGCATGAGTTTGATCATACTGGTTCCGCTGCAGTGATACAACATCATGACCATCCCAATGACTATCAGGTTCCTGGAAATATGACATCTCAGGCCGCTGAGGCGTTACGACAGCAGACGATGCGGTTAGTGAATAGCGGGCGGATGGCAAGCGACTCGGACCTGCATCAAGAATTGCTCAATGCGGCTTTTGGGAGTCCAGATGAGAACCCATTTAATACTTGATTTGAGGTTTTTGGTTTCTTTTTCTTTTCTTTTCCTCTTTTTGGGCGGTTATTATTGGTTTTGATATATATATATATATGTATATGTATATTGAACGTCTGAGAAGGTTGGTATAAATTTGTTATTCTAGACCACGGAAGTCTTTACTCTTTTTGGATTTGCTTCAAGGGCTGTTTTGACCACTACCTCCAAGTCCTCATGCGGTTTTGGGCGTGGGTTCCAATCTTTTTCACTGCCTTGTCTGCATAACTTATCAACGGTCAATTTTGGCGTTTCTCCCAGTATATAGACTTGCATTGGAATGGTACATAAATATGAATTTATGACAGAATTGGAAGATGTGCTTATAAATTAATTAATGTCTCTCCTTACCTGGATATCCCGTCGGAAACTACTGTAAAGTTTGTTGGCATAAATGTAGATAGATATAAATTTTGTTAAGTTTGGACTGTTTGGTGGTGGTAAAAATCGAGGGGTCGCCCCTCGACGTCTGATTGGTTGCACCAAGTGCAGCTCCAAAAGGAAATTTTGGCACAAGAGGATGAAGTAACTTGGTGCCTCCAACCCAACCTCGCAGAATCTGCCATTTCCCTCTGGGACACCTAATCAGTCTTCGCCGTGGAACAGGGCGCATTTCGACAGGAATACGTTCTGTCTTGTTAATTGTCTTGCTTCTCTCGGGTTCGTTTCTTCTGCGTGTGTTCGACCCCTCTCACAACCATGGCTTTCGCTGGCCAGACTCCTACGATCATTGTCTTGAAAGAAGGTCAGTTCGTCCCCGCTACTTACATCCTTCTGCCTACTAAGTTAAACTACAGGCACGGATACATCCCAAGGAAAGGGCCAGATAATATCCAACATCAACGCCTGTCTGGCAATTCAGTCGACAGTTAAGGGAACCCTCGGCCCATATGGTGGAGATCTATTAATGGTAGATGCCAACGGGCGTCAGACCATTACCAATGATGGAGCGACGGTAATGAAGGTTAGTTAACGTTGTTGCCGTTTTATTTTATATCCGTTAACTATTTTCATGGAATTTGGCTTTGTATTTCCATGTAGCCCATTACGGAAGCCCAACCACACTAACAGTAGATGAATCATAAATATTTTAGCTCCTTGACATTGTCCATCCAGCCGCACGCATCTTGACAGACATCGCGAGATCGCAAGACGCCGAAGTTGGCGACGGTACTACCTCCGTCGTCGTTCTAGCCGGAGAGATACTGAAGGAGGTCCGCGACGCCGTGGAGCAAGGCGTCAGCTCGCAGATCATCATCAAAGGCCTGCGGAGGGCAAGTGCACTGGCTGTCAACCGCGTCAAGGAGATTGCCGTTGATTTGCGCAGCACACATGGAAACATTGAGACGAAGGTGGAGACATTGCGACGGTTGGCGGGGACGGCAATGAATAGCAAGTTGATAAAAAGGAATTCGGATTTTTTTACGAAAAGTTAGTATTGCCCCTTTTCCCTCTAAGTGGATCTGGTTACAGGGCATGGGTTTTTGGTCTTGGCCAAAGGGAGATGGGCTGACTCTTGTTCCGAAGTGGTCGTCGATGCTGTCTTATCTCTGGACCAAGACGATTTGAATGAAAAACTTATTGGCGTGAAGAAGGTTACCGGCGGTGCTCTTCAGGAATCCCTCTTCATCAATGGCGTTGCGTTCAAGAAGACATTTTCATATGCCGGTTTCGAACAACAACCGAAGTTCTTCAAGAATCCTAAGATCGTGTGTTTGAACGTTGAACTAGAGCTAAAGAGTGAGAAGGACAATGCAGAGGTGCGCGTGGAGCAGGTATCGGAGTACCAGGCTATCGTCGATGCAGAATGGCAAATCATCTTCAATAAGATGGAAGCCCTCTACAAGACTGGGGCGAAGGTCGTGTTGAGCAAGCTGCCCATCGGTGATCTAGCCACACAGTACGATTTTATCACCCCTTTCTTCCCCCAGTACTATACATACTGATACACAGCTCAGATACTTCGCCGACCGCGACATCTTCTGTGCAGGCCGTGTCGCTTCCGACGACATGGAGCGCGTCTGCCAGGCCACCGGCGCCTCCACCCAATCCACATGTACGGACATCCAAGACCGCCATTTAGGAACCTGTGGCGCCTTCGAAGAGCGCCAAATTGGCAGCGAGCGCTTCAACATCTTCTCCGACTGCCCTGCCGCCAAAACCTGCACCCTCGTCCTCCGTGGCGGTGCTGAACAGTTTATCGCGGAGGCTGAACGCAGTCTCCATGACGCCATCATGATTGTCAAGCGCGCGCTGAGAAACACGAGCATTGTCGCCGGTGGTGGTGCTACGGAAATGGAGCTCTCCGGCTATCTGCACAGTTTCGCGGATAGGAACGTGCCGCATAAGCAGCAAGCGGTCGTCAAAGCGTTTGCGAAGGCGCTGGAGGTCATCCCCCGCCAGCTCTGCGATAATGCTGGCTTCGATGCGACGGATATTCTTAACCGATTACGCGTGGAACACCGGAAGGGGAATGTGTGGGTGGGAGTTGATTTTGATAATGAGGGTGTTAGGGATAATATGGAGGCGTTTGTGTGGGAGCCTAGTCTTGTCAAGGTCAATGCTATCCAGGCTGCTGTTGAGGCGGCATGTTTGATTTTGAGTGTGGATGAAACTATCAGTACGTTCCTCTCGCTGCTCATATTTATTCATGTTATTGTTTGTGGATATATACTGTTTCCCATCCCGCCAGTTTTTCCATTTTCATGCTTCTAAAGATCTCTGCCACGATAACTACTAACCTATTAATTTCATGAACAGAAAATGAAGAGTCCCAGGCGCCACAAGGGCCTCAGCGGGGTCTGCCACAAGATGCTGCTCAAAGAGTTCTGCGCGGTAGAGGAAGGGGAATGCCCAGGAGATAGATAAATTGACTGGCTGTGTTTTTTTGTTGGTACAATGTATGCCATGTCCAATAAACTTATTTTGAGCCACTCGACCAGTGGTCCATCACTTCACTCCTGAGCATCGAAAAATAAATGAATAAATAAATAAATAAAAGATTTATGAGCCCCACATATTTCTTCCCCCTCCGGCTATCTTCTTCTCATTTCATGCTCTGTTTGCTTTTTGAAAAAATATTTAAGAAGGTAAACTAGCTCCTGTTACTTTATCTTCAGTTACTCATCATGATCATGAGAAGAGCATGGGATGTGGACAGGATTATAGGATTGATTTGTTTAGATACAGCTTGAGAATCAGCAAAAGCAAAGCCCTCGTCAAAAAACGTGAACAATCAAACTCTTTAATACGGAATATATTCAGCAGCCATCTTGACTTCCAGTCGATTTCTTGACTAACTTGACTGTGCCGAACATCCGGAGAAAAAAAAAGTTGAGATTGTGCTCATTGCCCATAGTATCTATCAACAAATTCACCGACCAACTATGTGACAGCACGGAACGCTCATCGTCTCCCGTAGAAAGGGAAGAAAAATTTTGAGCAAGGTAGAAAAAAGTATATGATATATACTAACACCGCCACACCTTAACCTCCCTCGCCAGTAAGAATACTTCAATCTCCCAAATCCAGTCGCTTTCCACTCACCTTCCACGTCTTGATCCAATGAGCTATTTAGAAGCACACTGTGGCGTTGTCGTCTCCAGCCGGGGACGAACACCAAGCGCGGAACCGCGTATCGCCGACGCGTTTTTTTTTTTTTTCCCCAGGGCCTCAAGCGGCGGATGTGGCTGATATTTTCATTCTTCCTGAAGATCTCCATGAATGGCTGCATCTCCTATACACATGTCTGATTCATGCACGGAGCCCTTTTCATCCTCCTTCGCCCCTCCGCGGCCGGTGGGCCTACGCAAACCAAGAAAGAAGAAAAATATGTCAATACACCCAACGATCTGTTGCCATGGCTAAGGCACCAATGACGGGGCCCGACTCAGACTTCAAGGTTTCGTTGTGCGTTGTGCGTTGTGCTGAGAACTCACGGGACAAGGGAAATCATGAAGGTTTTCATTGACGTGACAAAAAGAAGTACGTGGGTGTTTTATCTTTTCTTCTTTTTCCTTCCCTTTTCCTTATTTTTTCGGGTTTGTTTTTCTTTTTTCATTTCTCCCTTCTTTCTGTTTCCTTGTTTTTTTTTGGAACACGGCAGGGCTGCAGGTTTTCCACGAAAGGAAGAAAAAGAAATAAAAAACGATAAACCGAGAGGCCAGCCAGCCAACCAGTCAGCCAGGTATCATTGCACTGAGCTCTCAAGGGAATGGCTTGTATGTGCTGAGGATATAAGGGTCTTTCGCAAGCTGGTCCGTCCAATTGCAGGGAGTAATAGAGATTTTGCACGCTGTACATTATTAGGGCACGGTTTGATGGAGCAGGCAAATATTGACCCGACGTTGGGTTCCTGTATGTTCTATCCTGTGCATTTCTGGCAAGTGATAAAGGTTGAGATACATATAGGAGGAAATGCCCTGATTGAGCGATACATATTGCCAGTTTGGGCTTCCAGCGGGTTGCCTCCCGGGAAAACTCAGCAATGACAACTTAACGTCAAAGCCTATGCAGAGGCAATACAATACAGTTTGACCTGTCATCCCAGGAATGGTTTCTGGAGCTACTAATCGAAAGTTTCTTCAAGAGGAGAAATTGTGGTTCGGGCTCTGTCATGCTTTGTTCAAAAACTGGCTGAGTTGATAAACCCCTGTCTTCAGGGGTTAAACATGTGGAGCTGGAAAAGCGTTCTCGCAGCGGACGTATGATTGAGATAGCCCTTGCCTGAATCAATAGCCGTTATGCTTCCTTGGGTGGCATCTTTGAATGTATTTTCTGTAATTCAAGAATTAGAACAAGCATTGCCGGCAACTGTCTGACGGTAAATGAGAGTAGAAGCCATGAAAAGAGGAAGAATTTCAAGACAAAGAATGGGAGAGAAAGCTATGATCAACTCTTCTGACAGCGCCAACAAACCTCTGGTCCCTCCGCGAGTGCTCTTAGTGGCGAAGTTGCTTGTCGTTAGCACCCTTAGTTCGGTTCGTCGCTAGTGACCACAGGCATGGAAACATCGCCACCGTCCTCGTCGTTCGATCAAGGAAAGCCAGCCACAGGGCGAAAAGGAAAGAATAGCTCTATTGATTGGATTTGATAGATAACATCGGGAATCAATCAATCTCGGATTCGGAATGACGACCCCGGGTGAGCCAACGTGGCACCGTAGTGCATGTATGTTTTTTCTGACGATTGTCTCTCTTCCTCACCAAAGACTCGAGGGGACGTTTTGTTGACTAGGGATCTCGGTTTGCGCCAAAAAATATAGTTTTCTTGTTGCTTTTTTCTTTTCTTTTTCTTTTTCTTTTTTTTTTTTTTCCTCGATGATGGGGTTGTTTGATATTTTCTCTGACAGCAACCTTTTCCCCCTTTCCACATCCCTGTTGGAAAGGTTCGTAAAACAGCCGATCATGAACGAGTTCCCCTGCTACACCATGTCAAATAATGGAGCTCACAACCCTCTGGGATTCCCAAAGAACCGAAAGAGGCCGCTTGATTGGATTTTCAGCACTCAGGCTTGAAGGGGCTAAGAGCCTCAAGTCGCGGCTGGAAACCGGGATCCAAGGTCTATGAAGGGCACTGGGCAGGACACTGCTTGATGGGTTCTGATGTGTGCGGACATTCACAATGGAGAATAGGAATGGAGAATAGATTCATGTCATAGTCCATCCATAACTAGTACTTGTAGTAGTATTCCAGGAGGAACTCATGCCATGGAATAAAAACTTTGCCGATGTTCCCGAAACGGAAATCGGGATGGATTCTTGGTGACAGGCAAGTCACTCGTCGCGATCTCCGGGCTGGCTTCAGGCTGGCTTCAGGCTGCCCGTCGCTCTGATGGTCTGGAATGATTGGCGGTGCTGTTGCTAGACAACTGCTAGCCCAGAGGCTCGTTCGTATCCAGCGTATTATTCAGCGTGGTTAGTTAAATAGTTATCAACCTCGCCGACGCCGAACATTTCAGATTTTCCTCCCCTCTTCTTTCCCATCCACCTCCAATCCACCGGATACTCGTAGCCGGGGTGTCCAGATATCCGGTTTGTCTCGCTGATTTTGTTGGTATACCGTACGTGTCTTGGATAGGAGAAGCCGAATAGCCCTGGCAGAAGAACAGCCAGGGAAGAAAGCACCCGCCTCTCCAGTCTGCCCCTCCTTCGCTTCAGTGACATCCTCTGCGCTCTGTGGAATTGGCTGTGGGCCGTCGTTGGAAGCCCGGACCTGGAAGAAGATTCCTTTCCGCTGATTCTGTCTGCCCAAGCACTCCGCCACTCGTGAGCATCAGCCGCCGCTGAGCCTCCGCCGTCTGATTCCAGATTTCTATCCATCAGCTGATCTTTCGTGCCCCTTTGGCGCCTTATCTATCTCTCATTTGGGTTTGATCTGGCGTTAGCCTCGATCGCATCTCTCATTTCTCTCTTGCTTGTCACATATCGCTCTTTCTATCCTGCTGTGTTGTTGCGTTTGTCTCTGATCGTGAGCCATGTCGTACTATCCTCCTTCACAGGGCTATTCGGGTGGTCAAGGCGGTTACCCTCCACCTCAACAGCAATACCCCCCTCCGTCATATGGAGCGCCGCCGCCCCAACAATACCCGTAGGTAGTCTTCTGCGCATTCCACTATCCCAAGGATGGGTTTCTCTCTTTTTTCTTTTTCTTTTTCTTTTTCTTTTTCTTTTTCTTTCTTTTTTCTTTATCTTTTGTGCTAACCATCCCCAAGCCAGCAGGGTTACGGAGGATATCCACCACAAGGCCCCCCTCCCCAAAACCCATATGGATATGCCCCTCACCCACCGTCTCCTCAGCCACCTTACAATGGCGGATATCATGTGAGAACCCGCGTTGTGACACCGTTCAACTTCCATATGCTGACAATCTCTGCTGAAGGCTCCACCTCATCAGCAAGCTATGTACGGTGCTCCACATCCTCCACATCCAAGCGTCTCTCCGGGTCCTCCAAGCGGTGCCCCAATGTATAGCGGTCGCTCAGGTGGTGAGTACTGATCCCACCAGTAATATATTTAATAGACTAACCATCATCAGCCCCTCCTCCCGCACACTCTCCCTATCCGAACTCGTACAACCATGGCCCTCCCGGCCACAGTGCAGGCCATAACGGCCCTCCACCACCCCCGACACAGCCTGTCCAGTTCGGCCATGGCGCTCCCCAGGGATATAGCTTCCAGTACTCGAATTGCACGGGAAAGCGGAAGGCATTGTTGATTGGAATCAACTATTTCGGTCAGCGCGGACAACTGCGAGGTTGCATTAATGATGTGAAAAACATGTCGACCTATCTGAACCAAAATTTTGGCTACGCACGCGAGGACATGGTGATCCTCACTGATGACCAGCAAAATCCAATGAGTCAGCCAACCAAAGCAAACATTCTGCGAGCCATGCACTGGCTAGTAAAGGATGCTAGGCCTAACGACTCCCTCTTCTTCCATTATTCAGGTATGTATTCCTGATATTATGGGATATACCTAAATTCAATTTACTAAATATGGGTGCAGGTCATGGTGGTCAGACGAAGGATCTTGACGGCGACGAAGAAGATGGGAATGACGAGGTCATCTACCCTGTGGATTTCAGGTCGGCTGGACATATCGTTGATGACGAAATGCATAGAATTATGGTTAAGTCGCTGCTTCCTGGTGTCCGTCTAACTGCAATTTTCGACTCGTGTCACTCCGGCTCAGCCCTCGATCTTCCGTACATTTACTCTACGCAGGGAATTCTCAAGGAGCCCAATTTGGCCAAGGAGGCTGGTCAAGGTCTGCTCAGCGTTGTGTCTGCGTACGCGAGAGGAGACGTTTCGGGAATGCTTTCCACCGTTGGTGGACTGATAAAAAAGGCTACGAGCGGCGATGCAAGTCACAGCAAGGCAAGACAAACCAAAACAAGCCCCGCGGATGTTATTATGTGGTCTGGAAGTAAAGACAACCAAACAAGTCAAGACGCTACAATCGCTGGAGAAGCTACTGGCGCCATGTCCTGGGCCTTCATTACTGCGCTAAAGAAGAATCCACAACAGAGCTATGTGCAACTATTGAGGAGCATCCGTGACGAATTGGCTACGAAATATTCTCAGAAGCCCCAATTGAGTTGTAGCCATCCGCTGAGTACGTTCTTAAAAAATAATCCACTCACTATTTTATGCAATATCAACTTCTGCTAACCTGCAACTTTGTAGACACCGATCTTCTATATGTCATGTAAACGGAATTTTTTTTTCTTTTCAACTTCCCCCCAAACTGGTTAGAAAGGGTAAGCTCGCTAAGTCGCGCGCCAATAAATTATCGAAACAGTGATGAATCCAAAGACAGTTATTGACTTTACTGGAAACGACACTTGGTTGTTTTGTGCTTATGACTTTCGCCCAGTCACCCTGGTGCCCGAACCGTTCAACGCTTATCTATGCTTTTTCCGAAAGTGTCATTCCTGTGCAATTTTTACTGCGTGCTTTACAGCTGTATCTCCTTCTAATTGGATATGTGTCTCTCTGCCCTGTTCCCGGCTTTCTGACTGTCTTCCAGTTGAAGTACCTCGACGATTTTCCTAGGTCTCAAGCACGTTTCCATCTCATTCTTTTGGAGGTGATTCCTAAACCGCCTCCTGAGCGGAGACTGAGCGGAGCACCCGAATATGAGGGATGAACAAACCTTGTAACCGAGCTATTCCATGGTTTCTGCTTGAGCGTATATCATCCTATTTATTCACTTTCCGATATCTAGCCCCCTATCATCATTTCACAGAGGCCCGTCATGGTATTGGAAGGATGGAGTAAAGATCGAATTTCGGCCTCAGTCTTGCTGTTTCCTTTCTCTTTTGTACTTTCTTATTTTCATTTGGGATGTGATGCGACTCTCTTGTTTTTGTTATGTGGTTGGCTGATTTGCGCTCTACCTGCCTGTCTCGATTCCCCCGTTTTTTCTTGTTCAGGGATGGTGTTCTTGTTTTCTCTCGTTGATTTTGAAGACACGGCACTTGGGAACGATCTTGGGAAGTGGAGACGGATCTGCTTTTGGCATTGGGAATACGATCTTTTTCTGGCCCTTGGCTTCGTTTAATTAATGCTCATGAATATCCCTTCTTCTCGCCAGATATTATTATGAAATGGTTATTGGATATCCAATGGATTTTTGAGAATGTTCTCGTATTGCCAACATTCCCACCCAACACAGCCGCGACTTTGCCTTATCATAAGTTTGCCCCGCCTCCTTCCAAGGTTGCTATGTCCAGCCCCTGAAGGCCTCCACAAAAGGATCACGTGATGCGACTCGAGAGCACCAAACTGCGCTCAGATATTGATATTCATCCCCAACTTCGCAACAAAAAGGTAACATGTTTCCCGCTTTCTCCCAGAATGCGGGTGCACCTGTTGAGTTTCAGTTTGCGGTATCAGAAACTGCGAACTTTTGCTACCGACATGACCGGCCATGCTCCAAAGTCACATGGGTCAGTGGTTTCAACCCTGTAGCTCAATAAGGATGCTTGCCTCAGAGCCATGTCAGAGCATGCTCCCTGATCTTAAAGAATATTTTCCTCATGCCATCTGCAACGTCGGCCTTCCAAAAGCTCAACAGAACAACGAAACCCAACAGCTGTCTTGGGTATAGTTTGAAGTAAATTATTCCCGGAAAGGTTGGGCAGATCGAATGGAATCATATATCATTCATTATAGGGAAATGACTCGGGCTGCGGCATAGCGGCCGCCATCATCTCCAAAATGCAAGATTTTCCCCCATCATACGAACTCGCTACGACTAGGGATGTCTGGACCATAGTTGCCGATTACATCCCGTCTGCGGATTTATGTGCCGCCTCGCTTGTCTGTAAGAGATGGCATAAGATTTTTGTCCCATTCTTATGGGGCGCGCCAGCATCTCATTTTGGAACAGATAACGACGCTGTATATGGTGTGTTCGCCCCACCACTCGCTTTGCGCAAAATAACGATAATCAAGCTTCGAAATATGTGGTTGGGCTTATTGCTAACATTTTCAATTTATTTGTCCACCGCAAAAGTCGCCTTGACGAGATTCAGACGGACGCTTAAACGGGCCCGCCTTGAGGTGCGCATGTTAACTCATACATTCCACCTGCCACCTGCCCTGTCGGAGATATATGGAGGGCCTAGACGATCATGGCTTCAGGAGGTCCTACAATATCTCCCCAACCTCCAATCGCTTCTCGTATCCCAGCTGCCGTTCTTCGACCACAATTCTCTTATCGCATTGAGGCCAAAATCGAATGATGACACTGCTTACGAAGCATATGGCCTCCGATTGCTGGTGGCACAACGCGAACCGAATACTACATCCCTTGGTGTTAGGGAGGCTCTCCTCCGGTTCCCCTTGTTGGTTTACTTGGACTTGTCGTTCACGACCCCAGCAAAGGATCATGGGGTCCTGTCGGCTATAACATATCTTAGACATCTCCAGGTGTTGAAGTTGAGAGGTATTGGGCTTAGAGATGCCGATCTGGAAGTTGTGGCGGACTCCATCAAAACGCGGGTTCGGTTGTTGGACGTGCGAAATAACATGTTGACAGATGCGTCGTTAAGGCCTCTTTTGCAGAAGTGCTTTTTACCCTTGGATGTTGATGTGTCCTCTCCTACCGATCGAGAAGTTAAATTCCATTTTGAGTGGGCCTGCTCTATAAGCCCTTTTGCGAATATTCTAGGGGCGGATTCATTGAAGAGCGAGGATTTTGACACCCACCTCATGAAACAGTTAATGATACCCCTGACCGGCCGCTCTGATCCTCAGGATCTACCTCACGTTGGCATTACGCATCTTTACATTTCAGATAACCGGCTCTCTGTCGAAGGTTTAGGCAGCTTGCTTAAATCGACGCGTCTTCATGTACTAGATGGCGGGACCGTTAAAAGTGCTGGGTCAATGTGGAAGCGCAAGGGTTTTGAGCCGATTACGGATAATGAGAGCCAGTGGGTTGTTGGCGTAAGGTATCCAGGCGCTGAAAAACTTATACCAGCGCTGCGCCATTCGGCTGCGGAGAAATTGACCTATCTAAGAATCCACCATGCCGTGGTTACGGAAAATGCTTCTACGTCGTCCAGTGAGATTTTTCCTACCAGGAGAACACCTAAGAGACGACCTGTTCCCCCCGCTGCTACTATGGAACTGGACGGCTTTTACAGCCAAATTTACGAATTGCCGGCTGACGCTGAGCCTGTACGACACGAGCTAGCTGATACGTCATTTCAAAGGCCGATGCCTGGATGGAAACATAAATTGCGTGGTAGCTCTGACGCACTATCGCCAACACCACCTCACAGCCTCCCACTAACTCACCCTCAAGCACCACCACTGTCGCAATTTTTATCTGCTCAACCGCGAAGCGACTTAATCCAGTCATTGCTCAAAAAGCGCCCTGAAATTAGCCATGGCATAGCCCCCTTTTATCATCCCTCTCATACACCACACCTCCGAACCCTTGTCCTTACTGATGTTCCAGCCTCTGTCCCACCGTCATCTCATATCATATCCTTCTTAACACGCTTCATTACGTCGTGTGCGGATGAGGCCTACCTGGCCACCCTTCAAGCGCGATCCGACTACTCTCTACCCCCTGGCCGGCTACGTGCCAGTGCAGAGCGACAGCACGTACGATCCCTTTTTTCTCTTGAACGGGTTATCCTCGAGATCACACCTGTCGCCAAGCCTGATTCCTCGAAAGATTCGACGTCCTGGAACCGCAGCGGCGCGGGTTTCTTCTCCAAGTCCAGCACGGAGGATATAGATTCAGAGAACCTGTGGGCCGCTGCGGAGAATGATTTTAGTTTTTTCAGTAGGGAGATCGAGGAGGAGTGTGGTGTTCGAGATGAAGAGGCGAAGGACACGGATAGCGATAGGGAAGGTGAAAAAGATGCTGTATCCGTACACTCACGGCGGATCCCGGAACTGGAAGCTACAACCGCACCATTATCGCATCTTGCCTCCGCAACCCCTCAGCCACCACCACCACCAGAATTGCCACTTTTTTCTCCGCCAAATCAGACCCCGCTTGCCTCACCATCTCCCTCGCCTTCACTGAACGGCCAGAAGAGGCAGCACACCAACCCAGCCACCTCTCCCAAGGACGCAGAGATCGACGTTGTTGCAGCTCTAGCTGCGTTCCGCAATATTAAAAAGGCAGAATATGAGGAGTTGTTGTCACGCACCAATAAAGGGGTGCGGAAGTATACCAATACTTCCACCCCTGTGCTTACTCCTATGCCTACTCCGACGTCACCGCGATCACAACAGTCTTCGGCTTCGTCCTCGTCCTCGACTTCGTCGAGTGCATCACTGAATTATCCGTTGTACGTTGAGGGCCATTGGAAAGGGGAAGTGAAGATTGTGAGAAACCCGACGCCCAAAGGGCGGAGTGGTGGGTTCGTGGATATTTATGGTAACTATTTTGAGAGAGGATATTTGTATCCATGACCCTCTGTAGGAAAGGATGCTTTTTAGGTGCTAGATATATGCATTATGCGATCGACGACCTTACGATAGATATAACGGATACATTTTATAGTTAAATCAAGTAAAACACACACATATATATATATATTTCCAAACTCTCATTTTAAGGTATCGAGAATTGGTCAGAGAACATGGCGTGAATGTAAAATGAAAGATTTCATCCGTTTCCCCAGAAGTCTTACTTTCTCTGAGGTGTATAGTTTTGTGTCCTCTGTTGTATCTATTTTCGTTCCTAAGCCACGTTGATAAAATTATATCACCGTTCACCTAACGGACAGACAGTGCCAATGGCATCAAAGGAGGCGGCCAAAGCCACATGAATTGGGGACAAACGAACATTAAAAAAGGGAGGAATAAGGGTATTGTCGTTTTTCCGATTTTCGTGTCTCATTTCTCATTTCCTCTTCTTTCCCCCCCAATCTTCGCTTTCCCACGTCTTTTAAAGTCTTTGTTGTCACAGGAACCTATGTTGATATATAAAAACCCTGTTTTTATTTTGCCTGACACCGTTGAAAAAAACATACACAGAGCGGAAGAGAGAGATTTAAAAAAGAGGGGAAAAAAGGAAAAATTAGACATGAAGAGAGCAGCAGCCGCATTTTGCCGCCACCTCATTATCCCAAGCATGCTCTCCCGAATATTCCACCGATCCACCGACAGGACTCATATCTATGCCTGGGCAGTCTTGGCGGCTTGGGTCGGGTTCATCTTCTTTCCGTCCCTGTTGTACCGAATTCTTGGGGGAGGGGCACGGTTGCGACGACCCTCTCGAGAACGGACACTAGAAGACATATTTCCTGAATCAGTCCTGTAACAATGCGCCTTTTGTTGATTTTTTCCCCCCTGGACACCACCCCTCTTGTTATTCATTGGGCAACTTTTTTCTCTTCTCTTTCTTTTCCCTAAACATGTCGTGATTTTTGTGTGTCCTGCCTGATCTTGCTTGCTCCGTTTCGGGAGGGGAAGAGGAAAGACAGGGAGGTCAAAAGCTTGAGAAAATGAGTTGGGTTGGGTCTAGCCATACCGCACAATCTTTCCGTGGATGGCGCAGGAAACGCAGTACTGGAGCTTCAAGTACATTTTGGGTACGGCGTAATCGTTGAAGACAGAAGCGTCGGAGATGTCACCTAATTATTTGCGAAAACGGAAGTTGATATTAGCGTTGATCTCTTCCCTCTTCTTCCCTTTGCTTTTTGGAGACGTACGGATGGCGGCAGACTCGACCATGTTGCGAATGGTGAATCTCTTGATGGCCTTATCCTTGGGGGTGCATCGCGAGCAATTGGAGCATCGGATTGGCTTGACGTGGCCGCGGCCCTTCTTGTTACGTCCGCTGTTCAATTCAGAGTCCGATTGTCAGCCCATATATGCCCGCACAATCTCAAATTTTTACTCCGCAATATCGTCAATTTTCCTTTATTCAAAAAACTCTTTTCCAATTCCCATATATTGTCCCGCGTCAAAAGGGGGGGGTTTGAGAGCTCCTTAAATGAACATACTTCGACGACCGTTTCTTGACCATTTTGGTGGATTCTGTATTCGTTCAACGTCAGGGAAAGAGCGCAACAGTAGGGACAGGGTCAAAACAAAGGCACGGGGAATGGAGAAGCGTACAGGTTGTAGCCGGCGGAATGAGGTGGTTGAAAAAGCAGCGCTGTCCTGTCCTGGCTCCGATGTTGGTCTGGTTGCTTGTGTTTGTGGGCAACCAGGACTAGCGGTTTAAGCGAACGCCGCTTATCTAAGCAGGATCCCCGTGACCCGGTCCCCGTGACACGTTCCTGGCCGACTCCGAACTTGGTAGGAAACAAACAAGTGCATCAACAATATCGGACGTAGACGACGCCCCTTTTGTTCTCGTCGTTTTTCTGGATATCGTTGATCCCATTCTAGCCCTTTTGAAAAGACTGATTTCCCCCGTGTTTCTCTTCGTTAGTAATTAAACTTAATCCTTACTTTCGTTCTCTTTCTTTCAAATGTCTGCAGCCGGGGGAGGAACCTTTCGGAATCGGACTGTGGGCCGTGGTCATATTCCCTTCGATGGCAGCCCGTCTGGTATTCCTCGCAAGGTTGACCAAGGGCACCAAGGCATGCCGCCGACGGCTACTCCATCTGATATTGGAAGTGCCTCTGCTCTGAGCACCAGTAGGCAGAAACAGTCTAAACGTGACGAGGTAAAATTTGCACCTTCGGTTTTCCCTTTAACATTCAATTGATTAGATATCGACTGTTTCCTTGCGGGTATGCATGACTAATGACATTTATTTCAATGGGCAGGCTATCAGGAAGAAAATGGAGGCAGACCTTAACAAGAAACGACACGGGAATCCTGCCCGCTCTCGCCATAGCCGCAAGGCACCCCCCGGAACTGTTATGGCTCTCAAACCCAGCCAGGCTCTCCAGATCAAACCCAACACCACGGTTGCAGAAGCTGCCCAGCTGATGGCTGCGAAGAGAGAGGATTGCGTTCTTGTGACGGATGACGACGACCGTATTGCTGGTATTTTTACCGCGAAGGATTTGGCCTTTAGAGTTGTTGGGGCGGGTATCAGGGCTCGGGATGTTACAATTGCAGAAATCATGACAAAAAATCCTCTATGCGCGAGAACTGACACCAGTGCTACTGATGCCCTGGACCTCATGGTCCGGAAGGGATTTAGACATCTACCCGTCATGGATGAGAATCAGGATATATCTGGAATTCTTGACATTACCAAATGTTTCTACGATGCGATGGAGAAGTTAGAGAGGGCGTATAGCTCGTCTCGTAAATTGTATGATGCTCTCGAAGGTGTGCAGTCGGAATTAGGGTCCAATCAGCCACAACAAATTATCCAATATGTGGAAGCGTTGCGGCAGAAGATGTCTGGCCCGACCTTGGAATCTGTTTTAAATGGGCTTCCACCGACCACTGTGTCTGTACGCACGTCTGTCAGGGAGGCTGCCACGTTGATGAAGGAGAATCACACCACCGCTTTGCTGGTCCAGGATCAGGGCTCTATTACTGGTATTTTCACGAGCAAAGACGTTGTTCTCCGTGTTATTGCTCCTGGATTGGATCCCAATACCTGCAGCGTTGTCAGAGTTATGACCCCTCACCCGGATTTTGCTCCTACTGATATGAGTATCCAAGCTGCCCTTCGGAAGATGCACGGTCAGTTGAAATATCCGTCATGGTATATGAGGGGGAAAAGATAAATATGGCTGACCGTGTTGCAATAGATGGACATTATCTTAACCTTCCAGTGATGAACGAAGCTGGGGAGATTGTGGGTATGGTGGATGTACTCAAATTGACCTACGCCACTCTCGAACAGGTACGCTTTTCCTTTCTATTCCCGACGTTTTTCACAACTATTTTTGACTCAACTTATATTTTACCTATGATTTTAGGTTAATTCTATGTCTACAAACGAAAATGAAGGGCCTGCGTGGAATAAGTTCTGGCTTTCGATGGATAATGAGTCTGATTCCATGGTGTCTGGCAGCCACAGCCATCATCCCCATACTCCACTTCGTTCCGTAATGAGCCCCGACATCTCAAGATCTCATGGTGACCGCGAAAACAGCGTTCTTCCCAACGAATCGGCCTCACATAATGGTGACGAGGCTGCCTCCGATGTTTTAGATCCCCGACCAGTCCATCATGAGGACACTTCCTTCCCCTTCAAATTCAAAGCTCCCAGTGGTCGGGTACATAGACTGCACATTACTCCTTCTGCGGGGGTGGAAGATCTTGTTTCCCAAGTTTCTTTGAAGCTAGGAGCCGAGGTTGAAGCTGTGGGTGGAAACGCTATCGTTGAAGACGGCAAAATGAGCCACACAGGATATGCGTTGAGTTACTTGGACAGCGAGGGGGATACAGTGTCCATCACAACTGACCAGGATCTCTGGGATGCCATCAGCCTAGCCCGGAGAGCCAAGCGAGATAAAGTAGATCTCTTCGTACACGATCCCGAAAAGCAGCCCATCATAACTGCGCCTGAGCCACAAGTTCCAGTCACTAAGTCAGCCAACCTCCAGGAGTCTGTTCCGGGATCTGCAACTGGTGAAGATGATGAGCAAAACCATGTAGAACGTGAAAAGAACCAGACTCTCTTCCGGTCACCACCTGCGGAGCAGCAGCTGATCAACGGTGTGCCCAATGAGCTTATCCTTCCCGGCGCCATTGTGACGTTGGCCGTGGCTATCGTTGGTGTTTTTATACTCGGGCGGTCGGGCAAACGGTAGTTGGTGTTGCTGCATACTTTCTGCCAACAAATCAGTAAAGGAATTGACTGTCATATTGGGCATTTCCTACGCGTGTCCAAAGATATTGCAGGTGTCCTAAGCTCTTTCCCCACCCCATCTCTCTCCTTTTTTTTTTTGTTTTTGGATTTCGCTTACGATATTCGCCCGATGTATCATTGCTGCCTCTCCTGTCCCTTTTCGACAATAGTCTCCTGCTCCCACATACATAGCATTGCATGTACCCCTGCTTCGCCATCTGAATATATCACAACCTGACCTCGAACGATTAGCGTGTCCTCCTCAGTGGGTCTAACTTTCTGCTTTTCTTTTCTTTTCACCTAATTCCTCTATATATATTTAGTGTATTTTCCGTTTTTCTTCCCCTCGTATTGTTTTGTTGATTACCATAATAGTCCCAACAGCTCAATAGACAACAGTTTGTAATCCAAGACAATGTCATTCCTAGATAGTAGATACGGGTCCACTGTCCTTGCCGGCTTTGGCTTGTTCGGGACTAGCGAGGCCTGCCCGCGCTGACTAACCGCTTCTGCCCTAGCGCCCTTCTTCTCTCAACCTCATCCCACCTGCACCAAAAAAAATAAACCACCTTCTATGCCTTCTCCTTCGCGTTTTTCTCTTACAACATTCTCTCTCTCTTCTCTCCTCTCCTCTACTCCTCGTAACTCGCTCTGGCCCCGTTCCCTGGTACGGTGTCTCTGCTGTTGCATCCGTGCTTCACTCGCCACTTCCCTTGTCGCGACCAATCCCAACTCGCAACAAACAAAACAAATTCGGGTCTTCGTTGAATGCTGTTAGTGGAAAACCCCACCAACAGCCGCTTCAACGTCGAACTTGGTAATTATAAACCGGGATTCCAACGCACGAATCGCATATGCCTGATATACTGGAAACTCAATTTAATTGATTTTCCCTTTGCGTGATCATCCCTCTTCCTCTATATCTCAAACCGCACGCGTCTCTAGCTGTCTCTCTTTCCCCCCCTTTGCCTTGCACTTCAACAAGCAACATTTCTGGATATTCCCTGTGATAGCTCCGAAGAACGCACGACATCACACTACAAGATAATTAGACAATACCAATACGGAAACAAAAAACTATTGGCCACAACCGTACGAACGATCCAACGTTAAACAGCAACAATGTCGTTGTTGCCGCAGAACGTCCACGTTGCGCTCTCACAGCTCCTACTTGCACTAGCATCTGCCGACAATATAGTGCGGACGCAGGCCGAGGAACAGTTAAATAATGAATGGGTGAAGGGCCGTCCCGATGTTTTGCTCATAGGGCTGGCGGAACAATTACAAGGCGCTGAGGATGCCGGGGTATGCACTAGGAAGGATATTCCTTGCCTTTCAATTATACCTTATCTTTTTCTTTTCGCGAGGTTTGTTGAATATATGTGTGTGTATGTATACATTTACTTAGTTATTGTCTCCTGATTAGACGCGATCCTTCGCCGCTGTTCTGTTCCGTCGGATATCAACACGGTCAACGAACGTTCCCAATACTTCCGAATCTAAGGAGTTGTTCTTCACACTTTCGAAGGAGCAGAGAGTGGCTATTCGAGAAAAACTGCTAGAGTCGCTTGGAAGTGAGAGTTTGGCCCACGTACGAAATAAGATTGGTGATGCCGTGGCTGAAATTGCGGGGCAATATGCCGACAACGGTATGTTTTTTTTTGTCCCGCATCGATTGCCAATTATGAGAACTTAGCTCCTAACTAATTTATTTATCTATTGGGGATGTTCTAGGGGAACAATGGTCTGAACTTCTTGGAGTGCTTTTCCAGGCTAGCCAGTCTACTGATCCTGGTGTGCGCGATTCCGCGTTCCGGATATTTTCGACGACACCAGGTATTATTGAGAAACAACATGAGGAAATGGTGGTGGGTGTGTTTGCGAAAGGTTTTAGGGATGAGAATATTTCTGTACGCAACCTTACATTCAAAGGGACAAAGCGATGCTTCTTGCTTTTACTGATGATCCCGGAATACAACTAAAAGGTCAGGATATCCGCGATGGAAGCATTTTCGTCATTTTTCCGATCCGTCACCAAGAAGAGCCAAAGCAAATTCTTCTCCCTAGTCCCTGATGTTCTCAATATATTGCCTCCCCTGAAAGAGGCAGACGAGAGTGACGAACTGTCCAAGGCCTTCATTTCGTTAATTGAGCTCGCGGAAGTGTGCCCAAAGATGTTCAAGGCTCTCTTCAACAACCTCGTAAAGTTTAGCATCAGCGTTATTGGTGATAAAGAACTGTCCGATCAAGTGAGACAGAATGCGCTGGAGTTGATGGCTACGTTTGCCGATTATTCCCCAAAGATGTGCAAGAATGACCCTACATATCCAGGAGAAATGGTTACTCAGTGTCTGAGTTTGATGACTGATGTTGGTTTGGATGATGAGGATGCGACTGATTGGACGCAGTCAGAGGATGTAAGCACTGATACAATTTTTTGGGGGTAGTGGTGGCTGGTAAACAATGTTGCTGACTCTAGTTTTTTTTTACAGCTTGATCTTGAGGAAAGCGACAAGAACCACGTTGCTGGCGAGCAATGCATGGACCGCCTTGCCAATAAACTTGGCGGCAAGGTAATCCTGCCAGCAACTTTCGTCTGGGTGCCTCGCATGATGTCATCAAGCTCCTGGCGAGATCGGCATGCGGCGCTTATGGCGATTTCTGCGATATCTGAAGGTTGCAGGGATCTTATGGAGGGCGAATTGGATCAGGTTCTCGCTCTTGTCGCACCAGCTCTGCAAGATCCACACCCGCGAGTCCGTTTTGCTGGGTGCAATGCCCTTGGCCAGATGAGCACCGATTTCGCACCAACCATGCAGGAAAAGTACCATTCCATCGTTCTTGGAAATATCCTCCCCGTTCTGGATTCGACGGAACCCCGCGTTCAAGCCCATGCCGCTGCTGCGCTAGTTAACTTCTGCGAGGAGGCTGAGAAGGAGATTCTTGAACCTTATCTTGAGGAGCTTTTGAGACGTCTGCTGCAACTACTGCGAAGCCCCAAGCGATTTGTTCAGGAGCAGGCGTTGTCTACGATCGCTACGATCGCTGATTCTGCAGAGGCTGCATTTGGCCAGTTCTATGATATGCTTATGCCATTGTTGCTAAACGTTCTGAATGAGGAACAATCAAAGGAATTCCGAATTTTGCGTGCGAAGGCTATGGAATGTGCCACCTTGATCGCGCTGGCGGTTGGAAAAGAGAAGATGGGCCAGGATGCCTTGACTTTAGTGCAGCTTCTTGGAAATATCCAACAAAACATTACTGATGCGGACGATCCTCAATCTTCGTATCTTCTCCATTGCTGGGGCCGCATGTGCCGAGTTCTCAATCAAGATTTTGTTCCATATCTTCCCGGAGTTATGCCGCCACTTCTCCAGGTTGCCGCTGCCAAAGCCGATGTTCAGATTCTCGACGATGAAGAGCAACTTAAACAGGTTGAGCAACACATGGGGTGGGAGCTCGTCCCGTTAAAAGGCAAGGTTATTGGGATTCGAACAAGCGTCCTCGAAGATAAAAACACTGCTATTGAACTTATTACGATTTACGCACAAGTTCTTGCTGCTGCCTTCGAGCCTTACGTTGTTGAGACCCTGGAGAAGATTGCTATTCCAGGACTAGCGTTCTTCTTCCATGACCCGGTCCGCGTCTCGTCTGCTAACTTAATCCCCCAGCTCCTGAATTCTTACAAGAAAGCTCACGGTGATCAAGCCCCTGAATTCTTGCAAATGTGGTCCAAGACCGCCGACCAGCTTATCGAGGTTTTAAGCGCAGAGCCAGCCATTGACACACTGGCGGAAATGTTCCAATGCTTCTATGAATCAGTTGAAGTTGCCGGGAAGAATAGCTTAACCCCCGTTCACATGCAAGCATTTATCAAATCTGCAAAGTCGTCGCTTGAGGATTATCAGGAACGAGTAAAACAACGCCTGGAAGAAAATGCAGAACTCGAGGACGGGGACGATGATGCGTACTCTTACAATATTGAAGTTGAAGAAGACCAGAACCTTCTCAGCGACATGAACAAAGCCTTCCACATCATCTTCAAAAATCATGGCCCAGCTTTCTTGCCTGCCTGGGAGCAACTGTTAATTTTCTACGATGCCTTCATCGTAAGCCAGGACCCCACCCAACGACAGTGGGGCATTTGCATCATGGACGATGTGCTCGAGTTCTGTGGCGAGCAATCGTGGAATTACAAAGATCACATCCTCCACCCGCTCGTTAATGGCATGCGGGATGAAAATGCTGCGAACCGGCAAGCGGCATGCTACGGTGTCGGCATGGCTGCGCAAAAAGGCGGGCTAGCATGGAGCGAGTTTGTCGCTGCGAGTATTCCTACCCTATTCCAGGCGACTCATCACCCTAAAGCCAGGACCCAAGAACATATATTCGCGACGGAGAACGCGTCTGCCAGTATCGCCAAGATTTTACACTACAATTCTAGCAAGGTGCAGAACCCGCAGGAGGTTGTGGAGAATTGGTTCAATACCTTACCCATTATCAATGATGAGGAAGCGGCGCCCTATGCGTATTCGTTCCTGGCGCAGCTTATTGACCAGTATGTATCCATTCCCAAACTTTCCTTGAACACAAATTTCCATTCCTCGCGCTTCCCACCATTATTATTGCATTATGCGTAAATTTGTAAAATACAATTTGTCCCGGGTCTGACTCAACAATTCTCTCCAACAGACAAAACCCCGTAGTGTTCAACAATGCAACAAAGGCGTTTACGTTCGTTGTACAGGCACTCGAAGCAGAAACGCTGCAAGGCGCTACAGCCGCTCGCGTCGCGAGCTCAGCGAAGCAACTTGCGGCAGCATCAGCTGTCAACGTAGATCAGATCTTCGCAAATGTTAACCCTAAATACCAGGTGGCCGTGCGAAGTTTTTTTCAATAGAAGCCCTCGGCCTGTGTTAGAAAGCTTTTTTCTTATGTTTAATTTGATTGTTCATTTTTTTCTTTTCAGATTTTTTTTCTTTATCTGTATTTTCCCGTTCATACTCATTTTCATCATGACCCGTCAACCATTATATGATTCTTGTGGTCCATTGCTTGTTCCCTTCCTGCTATTCCCCAGTTTTCGTCTATTTAACTTAACAACCAGCTCCTGTATTTCCGATGTTTGCTACCTCATTCATGTCTCTATTCTTCCTTTATTGCCCTTTCCCCTTTGCTTTTCCTTTTCATATCGACAAGAGACAAAATCGGTTTTTTCCCTTCGTAGCCTTGTTTTTTTCTTCAAATAATGAACACCCCCTTTACACGCAATGACCCCACCAACCGCGGATTTTTTCTGTTTCCCGATTTTCTTGAGAATTTTGAAATGCCAATCATAAATAAACCCAATTACTCACATTGAAAAAAATAAAATAAAATAAAATAAACTGCAATATTTATAGGCTCTTGGAATACTCATTCCCTGAGTTGACGAGTACGGAAGCGTGGACTCATAATCCTTACAAGCACTAGAGATCCGAATAAAAAGCCCGCCCAGCCCAAAAAGATTTGGGTCAATTTAGAGGCGGAATGCTTAAAGCTTGGCTGTCAAATTAGGCGTTAAGTGGCCATGAGGGGGAGCGAATTGTTTGAGCTCCAGTTGAGATTTCCAGATAAATAATACACAGACAACTTGTTTCATACACTACGACTGAAATAGAATTTTTTTAAATGTTGCTGAGTCTAACGGAAATACATCCACAATATCAACGCCTACTTATTAGCTTTCTTCGCCAATAAATTCAACGCGCTTCCCGCGAGAATAAATCCACACTGATCCTTACTCAACGTGTGCTTCATCGGGATCTCGAATACCTCTCCACTCCCATTCTTCGTCACCCGTAGCCTCACCTCCTCATCAGCCTGTCCGCCACTTATCAGCACTTCATATAACCCAACAGTATCAACAGCGTCGCATGCATCAATCCTATCATAATCAGCCTTATCCTTAAACGTCAACGGCACGACGCCTTGTTTCTTCAAGTTCGTCTCGTGGATGCGTGCGAAGCTCTTGGCGGCAATTATGCGTCCGCCTAGATAGCGTGGCTGCAACGCGGCGTGTTCGCGCGCACTGCCTTCGCCGTAGTTTTCTTCGGCAACGACGAGCCATTCCGTCCCTGCTGCTTTCCATTTGGCCGCGAGCTCTGGGATGGAGTAGGTGCTGCCATCAGTGTCGTAGGCGACGTTGGTCTCGCCAGTTGCGGCGTTTATTGCGCCAATGAGTGTGTTGGCGGAGATGTTCGGGAGGTGGCCTTTGTATTTGAGCCAGGGGCCGGCAGCGGAGATGGTGTCTGTTGTACATTGACCTTTTACTTTGTAGAGTACGCGGAGGGATGTGAGGTTGTGAGGGGGGAAGGGCGAGAAGGGTTCAAGGAGTGCGAGGCGGTCTGAGGTTGGGGAAACTACGACGGGGCAAGAAGGGGATGGAGCGGCTATGGTGGGTTGGAAGTCTGGGTTTCCCGATTCGAAGCCTGATTTTGGGAGGTCAAAGCCTGTTGGGGGACGGAATCTAAAGGGTTTGCCGCTGGGGGTTGGGAGAGAGTCGGTCATGGGGTTGAAGGTGGTTCTGCCTGCATATGACATGGCGGTGACGATTTCGGGAGAAGCGAGGAAGTTCATGGTTGCAGTGTTTCCATCGTTACGTCCGCGGAAGTTGCGGTTGTATGATGTGAGAATCGCGTTGCTCTCGCCCTTCTTCACACCGTCTGTCCGTTTCCATTGGCCGATGCAGGGACCGCAAGCGTTGGCTAGGACGGTGCCCCCGGCGGCGGAGAAGGTTGCCAAAGTCTGGTCACGGTCTAAGGTGGCTCGAATTTGCTCGCTTCCTGGAGTGATGAAGAAATCTGCCTTTGGCTTTAAGCCGGCCTCGGAAGCTTGCTTGACAAGGTCTTCTGCACGGGTCATGTCTTCATAAGAACTGTTGGTGCAGCTTCCAATAAGGCCAGCACCGAAAGTCTCAGGCCACTGTTTTTCACGAACTTTTCCCGCAAACGCGGATAGAGGGGTCGAAAGATCGGGAGTAAAGGGGCCATTTATATGTGGCTCGAGGGTTGAAAGGTTGATTGTAATGTGTTGATCATATTCCGCGCCGGTGTCTGTGCGTAAGAGGTTCTGAGGACCAGATGACGCAATAGCCGTTGCGGCATCCGCAATGTTGCCTCGATTGGTGGCCCTCAGATATGGTACCATGCTAGGTGAGAAGGGGAAAAGCGATGTAGTTGCTCCAACTTCAGCACCCATGTTGCAAATAGTAGCCATTCCAGTACAACTAAGGGACTCGACACCAGGGCCATAGTACTCGATTATGTACCCAGTGCCACCACGAACCGTCAACTTCCCAGCAAGATGGAGAATGATATCCTTCGGCGCTGTCCAGCCAGATAGTTTGCCTTCAAGCTTAACACCAAGTACTTTTGGCGCCTTCAATTCCCAAGGCGCATCAACAAGCGCATCCACTGCATCCGCACCACCAACGCCAATAGCAATGGCACCCAAACCGCCACCGTTAGGTGTATGGCTGTCTGTCCCAAGCATTAGGAGACCTGGAGCGGCATAGTTCTCCAAAACGGTCTGATGGATAATACCCGCACCGGGAGGCCAAAACTCAATACCATATTTCTTCGCCGCTGACTCCAGGAAATCGAAAACTTCTTTATTCCCCTTGATGGACGCTGGGAGGTCGACATCGGCCCCTTTTTCTCCCACAATCATGTGATCGCAATGTATGCTCGCCGGCACTGCGGTCGAGGGAAGGCCGCAAGTCATGAATTGAAGCAGGGCCATTTGTGCCGAAGCATCCTGCATGGCGACGCGATCCGGCTTCAGCTTCAGATTGGCCTGACCGCGAATATTCTCCCCATTCCGAGTGTCGGAGAGCAGTGACTCTTCGACATTATGGAGATGCGAGTACAGAATCTTCTCGGCGAGGGTGAGGGAGCGCTCAGTTCCTAAGACCCGTCGTACTTCACGGAGATTGTTTAGGATCTTCGGATATGGGGGAGAGCGGGGGGAGTTGTCCGGGGTGGTGGTGGTTGCGCTTTTCTTAGGGTCTGCCTCAGTCGCAAGACCGCGGCTTAGGATTCTGGCTCCGACTGGCCGGCATTGTGCAAGCTTGGGAGCAAAAATGTCAATTAAGCACCGGGATCCATACTCAATTAAGGGACAGGGCTACCAACCTTGCGTGGAGCGACTGCTCTTTGGCAGAGGTGCTGCCGCATCATTTTGGAGATATCTGCAGCTCCTTCAGAAGTCGGGGTTGGCTTCTGGCGCTGTTGCAATATTTGAGGTAAAGTTTTCAGGCGAACGATGATTGGCTCGTGACAGCTGACTAAGAACGGTTCAGTCTATGGGGCGATACTGTACGGATTACGGAGAATATGGGCTTGCATTCTCTCACTTTCTGGGATTGAAGGACGAGATGCGTAAGAGATAGATTTGGTGGATAGCAATCAGAGATTATGATACAACTCTCATCGTACAAGATTGAGATGAACAAATTATGTCATTGGCAAACTTTGGTAAAGGGACCTCCCAAAAAGATCAAAATGAAAGCAAATCATCAATTATGTCAAGTGTCAGGGGGCAACGGAAAGCCCATCAGTTCATGCTATGTTCTCATATGTTCTCATTTGCTGTCTCCACCGCCCTGTTCCGTATCAGCTCTAAGCTCGTAGCACAGGTCATAACATTGCGCAAGGAGTTCGTTGACGCTCCCTTGGCCTTCAGGTAAGTCGTTTCCAACATAAAATTTCCCATCAACTCTCATGTTATCAATGGAATTGAGCTTAAGAAGTTTGTGAGCATCATATGTATGCATGTATAGTAGAATTTACATTTGCGGTTGATGATAGAAAAGGGGTAGGAAACTGACCTTCATACTATACGGGTAGAGTTCTCTGGCATTAGAAACCCCGCCGGACTCCTTAACTTCAATTAAACATTTCCTCAATGTCTGGAGTTGGTTATATATAGGTAGAAGTGCTTCTGAGACTGGTTCAGACGAGATAAGCAAACCATAAATTAAAGCATAGCTCCGTCGAATCAGATACAGAAGTGTCTGTGTGGAAAGTCAGTACACGAGATTTCACTCAAACTGCTGAGCAAGGGTCATTGCAATCTTGCCCTTTGAGCGTGAATGTCGGCTGGTTTCCCATCGCCATCCAAGAAATTTCCATCAACCCGGGATTCGTCAATCTTGTTAAGATTTCTCTGATACATAAACAAATCAGTTTCTCGTAGCGACCACGCCTGGGTCATGACAAGTCTATCGAGTTGGTTTCGAATCTCTAGGAGTTTGCTATAGGGCTCCTGAAACCGTTCATCGATTTTACCTTTCCTAGAAATGGAGAAATAGAAATTTCAGTAAACCCGATTCTATTATTCCATAGTTCGTACGAGCATTGTTACCTTTCGAGTACAATTTCCGACCATTTCAAACATCTATCCAACAAAGCTTTCACGAGTTCTTGACCTTCAGGGATCGAGCCATGAGGGCCTACAAAGTTACCGTCTTCCATTGAACCCTGTATGGCTTTGAGCTGCTCCTGGAAGCTCATGACCTCAGAGGCAGAAAACTACAAATTTGCAAGAGAAATTAGCTTAGACCACCGGACCGGGGAGACAAAGGCCACGGAAAGCAAGACTATACCTTTGAACGAGTGTTTGCAGCCGATGTAGACCGCAAAATGGAAACCAGTGTTTCATGAGTCGGGGCGAGCTCAGGAGACAAGAACGAAAGTCCATACTGAAGTTCAGCTAATTGCTTTCGGCATGTTTCTAACCGAAGTTCCAAAAGCTTCAATATATCCGGTGAATATGTTTCTTTTCCTCTATTAATGTTCTCCTGCATGGTATCCAACGTCTTCGCGATTGAGTCCAAGTCCTTCTGGCTAAAAAATGCGGCTTCTTTTAGGTGGTCAAGGAGGCGCTAATCGCATCAAAATTAGCAAAATACTGGAAAGAGTAGGTCTATTTGCAATTACCTTAATTGTTGAAGCCATCGCATATCTATTGAATCCACTATAGGTCAGCATTCGACTGTTCGGAACAAGCCAGGCATAAGGCGGGATGGAAGAAAGATGGTATGGTAGCCATGAGGTTCAAGCTCACGCTGCGGGTGCTTCATTGTTCCTTCCAACGGTAAGAAATAGCAATGAGATCAGCTGGAAGCAATCATCCAGCACATTGTCAACTGCGGAGTAATTGCTGAAATTAGATAAATACACTGACCGCAAGTCGAGGGAAGGGAATAACTATTGCGGGGTCACGCGAACCTCGATTATGCTCTAACGTATGTTCCGTTCGGAGGGCGTTCAGCCTCTGGACTTGCTCGACGACCTGGTCATGATAATGCAGCACATCCTGGGACTTGATATACCTCGATTTATCTTGTTTGAGGAGCAGGAGGGCGTCTCGAATTACGAGGAGCTGGTCAAGGATAGGCTGTTCTCGCGGATCTAGCGGGATGGATACGGCGGGGGAATCGGCCATATTTCGATAAAGTGGCGCCCTTTCATGCGCCAGTAAATTGGAGTCACGACTAGTCCAAGAACAACAAGGAATGAATTTCAGTCAAATACAAGTAAACATAGATGTTATGTAGTTAAGTGCCTTAGATGTTGTAGATTGTGTCCAATACTACTTACAACATGGATCTGATAACTCCCAAAGAGGCAACCTTGGAAGATAACCACTGACACGTGACCCGACCATGCACGGGCCACACAAGCCAAGGTTAAGCGAGGGTTTTCTTTCCACACAATTTTGGACACTTGACAACGACTGACGACGAGCTGCCTCCGAATCCGCCTTTCTCTTCCCTTCAACCCACCGTATCGCATCACATAGTATCCTTCTCCGCCGGATACTTTTTCCCTCTCTCGCAATGTCTACCGCCGAGCTCGCTTCTTCCTATGCTGCCTTGATTCTGGCCGATGATGGCGTGGAAATCACGGTATGTTCAGGCCGCCTGGAGATGAAAAAGGGATATTTCTGGAAGAGGAAGAAAGCCACCGCTACGAAAGATGATATGGACTATGGAATGTAGAATCTATTGCAAAGGGAATGTCTGCTGATTCGTCTTTTTGGTTTCTCGGGACGGGAAATTATAACAGGCCGACAAACTCCAAACCCTCTTGAAGGCTGCCAATGTACAAGATGTTGAACCTATCTGGTCTACGCTATTCGCCAAGGTACATACATACACGCTACACCCTAGCTCTGGCGTTTCTTTCTCATGAAATTGCGATATCCGTTGCAATTGGATGTATGGATTGGGAAGCTGGGATTGGAAACATGTATAAAACTGGGACTAACATAATGAAAATTTTGAATATCAAAGGCTCTTGAGGGCAAGGATGTAAAAGATCTCCTGCTCAACATCGGATCGGGCGGTGGTGCCGCGGCCGCGGTCGCCAGTGGAGCGGGTCCTGTCGCTGCTGAAACTGGCGGTGCTGAGGAGAAGGTGGAGAAGGAAGAAGGTACGGTTCATTCAATATTTCACATTTCCTCTCATGTATGTCACGCAGCAAAACAGAACCGGCTGACAAATTACCTTGTGCCATTTATAGAGAAGGAAGAGTCCGACGAGGACATGGGCTTCGGTCTTTTCGACTAAATGACTTTCTTTATTTTTTTCCCTTCGCGTTTACTTCCTCCTCCCAATTCACCTATTGGCGTGTACTCGTAATTGTGAGAAATAATAAAAAAAACATACAATAAAGAGAAATGGGATGCACAGCTACGACCCTTTTACGGACAGATCTCCTCCCTTGACGAAATTAAGAAAATGCAAATTTCACTTGGCAGTTGGACCAGATGATCGGATTCCAATGGATTGAATTTCTTTTTCCCTTTTATGTCAATATGATCTGCTTCTATTAATGTCATATGGTTCATGGTCATGATTGTCGTATTCGTCCATTTTTTTTAAAAAAAAAAGAAACAAAGAAAGAAAACAAAAAAAAAAAAGGCGAAATAGAAAAAGGGTGAAATTGTAACATGCATCCCGCCGCCAATTTTTTGGTTCCTGACCAGTTTTGCTTTTAAATGTGACAGAAATTGAAAAATGAAAAGGAAAAAAAAGAAAAGGCCGCCCAAATGAGGATTTTAAAAAATACAATGGAGGGGGAAAGGAGAGCGAGAGGGAGGATATTTGGGGTATTTTCATATTACAGCTGAGGAGGATGAATCTGCGTATTGGACGGAATATATTCGGAACTGTACAAAGATCACGACATCTTCAACCATCGTCCCGAGGGACCCAATCAGCCATGGAAGGTTCTTAAGAAAGTATCCCTTTTCAGTAGAATGGAACAATATCTAGGCATTCTGTTAGCGAATTGCTCAAAGGTTACGTGAATATTCCACTTGAACAGAAATTGGAACTCTTACCCCTGCACCATACGATAAATTTCCCATGAGAGAAAAAATAAAAAACAGCAAAGAAAGTCCTATGAAAAACAGATCAGGTCGCCTGTTCAACGTGAACTACTGTAAATCGCAGGCTTCGTTGACTACATACCTTCGCAAGATTTTTCACGGTAATTTTTGATAATCTGAGGTATCCGTGCTCTATCCATTTTGTCCCGAATCTGTTAGCCATTGGAGCCGATGCGAAACTTGATATGCAGGCGTGCATAGCTTACCCTAGATAAAAAACGGCGCTCAGATACCCAAATACCTGCGCGCCAATAGCCATTTTCTCTCGCTGCTCGGTAGCAGTCGGCTGCCACACACCCGACTGCCAGGCAATCGCCCACCCAGCCGTCCCGACGGCACAGATCCCAAGAATACTCAAAGTATTCTTCACCCATGTGTTTCCGGGCTCCGTCTCCTCCAGGATCTTCGTCAACGAATCCGGTACGTAGGGATGCGAGTGCCGCCTTCGCGCCGATGCGGACGACCGCCTCCTCCGCGCCGCCGAAGAAGCAGAGGCCGAAATGCCCAGGTTCTCACTCATGCGACGGGAGAGGAGCGGAGTGGTGGGGTCGGATGCATCGGACTCCGCGTCAGACTCGTCGGCAACCGTCCCGCTGGACAAGGTGCGGCGACGGTCACAGCCATACTTGCGTGTACGGGCAGCCAAGGCAGCTTCCAGACGGGCATTCTTGACGTTAAAATAGAGGCATTGGCAGATGAGGATGCCGTCTGCGAAGCAGAAGTAGACAGCAATGGCGATAATGACGGGGACGAGATGGGCCCAGAGGGAGCCTATGAGGTTTGCAATGTCACCGACGAACCAGACGAAGAGGAAAGTGATGGAGACCGCATCCGCTGAGCCACGTTTGTAGTTTTCGATTAGTTGGGGGATCTGCATTGGCTTGTTAGACATATTTCCCCCCCGTTGTTTTTGTGTGTGTGTGTGTGTGTGTGTGTGTGTGTTTTGTCAAACAGTTTTAGCTGTGTGCATGTTCATGTATGTACGTACCAGGAGGAAAATCCAGCAAGCAAGACAAATTGAACCCAGCACTCCCGAAGCAGCTTCACGGAGTGTCAATGGGATGGAATCAGAAGGTCCCGACAGGGACATCATGTACGTGTGCATATCGCAAGTGAGAAGGAGGGTCGCCGGGCCAAATGCGAAAGACACAATATTGAAAAATTGAGGAACAGACTCGGGGGCAAAAGAGGTTTGGACTGCAGACCCCGAAGATGAAGGGGGCGGGCTTCAATGCAAACAATCGCACGGATCCATCAGTCTTGCATGGCTATTTCTGTCGAGGGGGAGACGCAGAGACGCAGAGAGTGAAACATCTGGCCTTTGTTCGGCGACAGCGGTTGCGACAGGTTCAGAAAGTTGCCGGCAGCAGCTCAAGAGTCAAAGGCAAAAAGCGAAAAAATGTCTTGCAGCGAAAGCAGTTGATGACGCTATTTAAAGCGGTCGCGACACAGGGCTGGGTCACGTGATGGCACTGTGGTGGTTCTAGAAACTGAGACGGACGATTGAGGACAAGCATGAAAAAAATCAAGTAAAAAGGAGATGAAGAACACAATTCTATGGGCTGGTTATGGACTCGTCAATTATTTCAAGCCGCTGAATCGAACGTTTCCCACAAGCTACAATCTCCTGCTGCTGCGTACAGGGCTGACAAGGTTAACCTGGCTCAACTTCCTTGAACCATCCATGTTACAGTATCCCTGCCGAATTCCCTGCTTCCCGCAGCCTTGGAAGATGAAACGTTTCATGGGTTTCTTTTTCTCTCTCTAGCGGACTGTGGCTGTTGCAAGGAAATTTTTCGAGCAGGGTTTTTTTCGGAGCTAGGGCTGCGCAGATCACATGATCGTGTATCTTGATAGCCCTGTTGGGTGTCTGAGTGGTTGCGCCCCAACACATACCAATACATCGTTACGGCTCTTTCCTACTCATCAATCTTCCCTCTCGCTGGCGAGGATGAGACGCGAGCAATCGCCTTGTACTGTACCGTACAAGCAGGGAATGTGGAGATTGCTTAAATCCACTCGCGTACCTGTGCATAGGTTCGTGATTGTTGTGTTGCACAACTGCATTTTCTTCTTTTACGGGTTCTTCCATCTATTGCCATGACGCTGGTATAAGAATCACACAACCAAGGGTGCAAGAAGAAAAAGAATAAGAATAAACGGGTGATGCGCCGCGAAGAGCTCGTGGGGTTATCTATTTCCACCTGCTTGAACTTGCAGCTCTTCCAAGAGCAAATCAACAACCAGCGGTGAGTTGAGTTCAGACGCCGCATCCTGTATGATAGAATTCCAAACATCGGGGTCCAGCAGACGTAGTGCCCTAACCCAATCGGTTACCGGATTTGGGTCGTTGTCTACATCCCAGTTCCCGCGATCCACCCCATTAACCAGCAAGAAATCTTGCAAATCACGTAATCCACGGTTGAAGAGATACTCTTCAGGATGCGATAGTGCGTCAACGTCAGCCTGATCTTCATCCAAGTTGTCATCACTCTCGCCTGGATGAGGATGTGGTAGTGGTTCATTTTCAGAACCCCCCTGCCTGTTCTCCAAATCGCCATCAACTGCAACTGCTTGTCTATTGAGCCCAAACATCTCCCTTGCGACGTCAAATATCCTTGCGGGGTGAGTATTGAAAGATGGATCCGCTATTGGCTGGCCTGGTGGCAGCGGGTCGGAGGCCGATATGCGCCCTGCAACAAAGTGGCGAGGAAGATGAGTAGTGACTGACGGGATATCTGACAATAGAACATGGCGGGCGACGCCAAGTGTGATCTCAGGAGGCTCCACATCCCCACTAATTGCTGCGAGAGTATCTCCAACTTCGACGAAGACAGATATAACCTCGGGTGTATTCCAAATACCTTTAGCTCGGGCAATGTAGAGTTCGCAGAACATTTCGTGGGCTTGGTTGGGCGCCTGCACTCCCCATATTCGTTCTGGTATGGGTTCAATGTTCAGTTCCTGTGCCAAACGACAAAAGATCCAAGGGTATCGAGACATTGCTTTTCGGAGTTGCGACCGACATTCGGCTGGCTTGCCTTGTAGGAAATAGGCCAGAGCAAGCGAACATTGAATGTTGGGAAATTTCTCCCAGTGGCTGCTAAAGAATGGATGGGAACACAATTTTATAAAATAATCGTGCTCTCTTCCCCGAATAAATAGTGAATCAATTATCAAATTGATGGAGTATGGGTCATCAGGATCCAGGCTCAGAAGTAGCTTCGCCCACTCCGAAGCGGTTTTCAGAGTCCCCTTCATCTCCAAATTCTTGATATATCTCCACCCTGCAAGCCAAAACTCCCGGTTTTCTGCGATGTTGAAATTTAATCTGGCTTTTCCTTCTTTTAGGCAGTTGCCAAATGAGGAGTGGACGGAACGACCGATATTGAACAAAGCCCTTTCAAGTAAATCCCCAGAGACCGCATGGTCACCCTGGGCCTTCGCGATCTCGGAGACTTGTAACAGACTCAAAATGTGGTATGCTTGTTGAATTGTAAGTAAAGAGCCATACAGCACTACTGCCATGGTTGGGCGCTACTCGACTTACGATTATAGTGTAAATGGTGTATAATTCTCTCTGGTTCCATTGACTCGACACAAATTTCAAATTGCCTTTGAGCATCTTTGTAGGCTGTATTATGAACAAGTTTATATTCTGTTTGGCCGGACGGCAGTTTGCTCACAACTTCCATTCCAAGACCCCCACTCGTCGCCCGCGGCCATTCATCCTTCGCTTGCATCAAAATATTTTTGCGCAGTGCAGCGCCCGCAAGATCCTGTCCACGACTGACAGGGTTATAGCGTCCCGTTAGGGCCTGTCCAAGATCCATAGGCTGATGTCTATTCCTGCGGCTTGTGCCCGTACTTGTTGTTTCGTTGGTATGTTCGAACACCACATTGCCGAACAACTTTCTCATCTCATTGATGGCATTGAGGCGCCGCTGGTCAATCGCGAGAAGCTTATCAAGCTCCTCCGATAGTCGTTCATTCACGGTATTCCCTCGCGTAACTAAGTTGCGTTCATCAGTTTGCAGCGGATTTTTAGTCGACAAAGCTTGGAGTGCGCGGTCAATCTCATCCAACTCAGGTTCCGGTGGGCCAGGAGTATCTGATTTGTGGTTCTCTGTGTCACCTGTAGAGTTTTTGGCACGTTTCTTTTTCTTCTTTTTCTTCTTGATTTCTGTAGGTTTTGAAGGAGTGGAAGGCTTCTGCAAGGTCTGAACCGACTCAGGGAGAGAGGTTTCCGAACTAGACCCGTCTTCAGCATCTTGGCTTCCTAGCAAGTCAAAGGCATTAAACTTCGTTGGTGCCGGTTGAAAATTACGTAGCTCGTCGTCTGACAGTTCTTCATCCGAGACTTCGTGGGAAGCTTTTGCTACCTCTTGTTCTTGCTGCTTTTGCAGCTTCCGTAAAGCCCTGGAGGACATGGTCGCAGTGGGTTGAGGAGCCGTTTACTCACGTTAAGGGTTGACAGCAGCGGGAGAAAGAAAGAGAGTGAGGGCGGGACATGGCTAGCGAAATGCGGCCAGCCGTTTATGTGAGTATATAAGACATCTGGCACATAACTCCGGTGTCAACCTATTTGTATCCTATGTTGACATCAAAAGAATCATGGTGGGACCACAACTTGACCTTCGCTGAGTCATCATCACCTATCCTTGGCGCCCCAACCTTGTTTCCAATCCAGTCGACTGAGTAAATCCACCATCAACTGGCCTTCTCGTACCATCTAGACCCATTCACGAAACATCATCCCCGGGGATAGGCTACTTGCCCAAATTTCCCACCCCAGGCCCCCTTTTTTACGGCTTCGATGCGTCGAGCAGCGACTCACATTTTCCGTGCAGGACGCTGTAGACCTCTCCGTAACCTCCGGCGTGTCCCGCAACCACCCTTCACAGCCAACTATGGAGTAGCACCGCGGGCTATATCCTTCCCAAGGAGAACCGTTGCCATTACTCCTGCTACACTGCAATCGTCCATGCACTTCCGGAACCTTTCTCTGGCATTTATTTCGACTTTGGTGGCATCGGGCGCTTGGTACGCCTACAAAGGTAGCCAAGGGACTGGTGGCATCCCGAGCCCCTTGGGTTCCAACAATAGTTTAGTATCGCCGACTGGAATTCAATCTAGGGGGGTTTCATCCACTGCTGCTTCAATAATCAGTGCAGAGGAGACTGCTGAAGCTACACGCCGTGCCCTCCTGGTGGAAAATGAACAATTCTACGCCAGTAATATTGTTGGAAGCGGACCCCTCTCAAAGGAAACGGACAGCTCGGGAAGACGAGTGCTGGAGATGCTAACCCCCGAACAAGCGACGCAGAAGCTGAGGCGGAATGAAGAGTCGTATCTGGTGGGCCGTGGAAGAGGGGTGGTTCGATACGATGTTGTTCAATTACCCAGCAACGACCCCATTGAAGACGACCATGCGGAAAAAATAGTGGAAGTTCCGCAATCAGTTGCCGCGTCAGAGGATAGTACCACAACGAGTGATTGGATGTTCTGGGGCGTATTTGACGGACATTCGTGAGTTAATTACATGCAACTAACTGTAACCCCGTACTGACTTGTAAATTCAGAGGGTGGACGACATCCGCGAAACTGCGCCAGGCCTTGATATCCTTCGTTGCACGCGAATTAAACGCGACTTATAAGTCTGCCGCCGCAGATCCGTCCAAGACATTTCCATCACCAGAAGCCGTTGACAATGCAATAAAGAGCGGCTTCGTCCGGCTTGATCACGAAATAGTCCACGAGAGCGTGAACAAGGTTATGAAATCTAACTCGAAGCGGGTTGCCGCAGAGCTCCTCGCACCCGCATTATCAGGATCATGCGCTCTTCTCGCATTCTATGATAGCAGATCAAATTTACTACGAGTTGCCTGCACTGGAGATTCAAGAGCAGTCCTTGGACGCAGAGCAGCTAGCGGGAAATGGGTTGCTACTCCACTTTCGGAGGACCAAACCGGCTCAACTCAATCAGAAGTCGAACGGCTTACCCGGGAGCATCCAGGAGAACCAAATGTTGTTCGGAACGGTAGAATTTTAGGTAATCTTGAACCTAGCCGTGCATTTGGAGACGCATTTTACAAGTGGACACGAGAAACGCAGGATAAAATCAAACGACAATTTTTTGGCAGAACACCACACCAACTCTTGAAGACGCCTCCCTATGTAACGGCCGAGCCTGTTATCACCACCACCCCGGTTGAGCCTCGCAACGGCGACTTCGTTGTCTTGGCTACGGATGGTCTGTGGGAAATGCTCTCTAATGAAGAAGTTGTCGGACTTGTCGGGCAGTGGATAGAGCATCAACGCTCCCTTGCTCAGGGTACGCAGGGAGCTGCCAAAAGTTGGTTACAGGGTTGGTTCAGGTCTGAGTCGAATTTACCCGTGGAAAATCTCGGTACGGGCAAGTCGAGTGGGCAGCGCCTCCCAATCCGTCAACAGCAATATAATATTCCCTCCACGAGCGACAGATTTGCCGTTGAAGACAAGAACGCAGCTACCCATCTAGTCCGCAACGCGCTTGGTGGTAAGGATCAGGATATGGTTTGTGCATTGCTTACTCTTCCTAGTCCGTATTCTCGAAGATACAGGTACGTTTGCCATTCCCTGATCCTAACTTGAAATATTGACCCCATATCGCTAACCCGGCGTTGACAGAGATGACCTCACTGTCGAAGTCATTTTCTTCGGCGAAGGCCCCGATACCGGAGATGTAACGCTGAACACCGAAGCCAGCGCCAATTCAACTGAAATGAAAGCTAAGCTCTAGAACAAGCCGCTCAATCAGTTTCGGGGATTCAACTTGCTCGTTGACGCTCCACTATGCGCCTCCCCTACTTTTCTGTTATGCAGGAGAGGTGGTGATCTTTCTCCGTCTTACCATAAGTGGTTATTTGAAAGGGCGTTACGGATAGACGGATGCCAGCCTTCTTGATTCTGTCGTTTGTTATTGTTTCTCATTTTTCTCATTTTTTTTCCCCCAACTAAGAGTCATTGCATCGCAAGTTTTCCCATCTAACTCTTCGTATGGATTGGTCGCTTACATTACCCCTATTACTCACCGCTCGTTTCTTATTATGATTGCGAATCACCCTAAAGCCCTGAATCGTCCAGATTTGAGAGCAATTTCCCAACCCACCCCTCGATATATGATATATCTATCTTAATAGATATGATAAACTCTCTGATTTTCTGTCGTGTTTCTATTACCATATCTTCTGCTCCTTGCCCACCCTCAGGCGAGATACCGAGATGAAATTCCCAATAAACCCATGCAGAGTTGACTGAGGGCCCACAGGAGGAACAGTGTGTAAAAAATATGAAAAACCAAGTTATGTACAAGTCGTCGGTCCCATCCAGATGGGTGACATGAAACGCAAAAGCGTCTCCCTCTTGATTAGTGACATCGCGCTCCCATTGAGTGAGGTAAAGTTTGTATGGTCATAGATTGCCACTTAGCCCTTAATATTCAACCTCTGTCGCAGGGTTTCCTTGATGATTTTTTCAACGAAATTATCCACGGTATCTTCCGTAAGGTCGCTTCTGACAAAATTGGCCTGTTCTGAATGTTACTTTTGACAATGTCTAGCTAGGGGCAGGCTGCTCTTAGTATTAGTGAGATATACAGATTACTTTCTCTTACCGATTTTCTGAGCTATCTATCTACCTACCCACCTACCTCTATATGTACAATATCAAGATGAAGTGATATCTGATGATGATATCTATCGATGGCATGAATATCTAGTAGAATCAATGATTGAGAGATAGAAGACAGAATATTACAAAAAAAGACTTGAAATAGAAGATCACTATATTAGACAGATGATTTTAAGAGTAGATATCACTACTAATTTTGTGATAGAGATTTGTACATATTATGAAAATGATTTAAGAGCTCTATAATATAGTATCAATTTCTCATTTCTACTCTCAAATAATTGTTCACTTACGGGTCAGAAGTGTATAATACCGACTAAATGCAGTGGCTTAAGTCGTTGCGAGATTGCTTCTGCTGTCAATTTCTTTCCCACCGAGAGGACGACTAACTACCCACGGATTAGAAAAAATAGTTTTCTAAACCCTGGCCGAATTTTTGCTGCAAAAGTGTGATGATGACATCTTGTCCTTTTCCTTGAACAACATCATCGAAATGCTCCTCGGTTGTTTCGCAGACTCGACTTTCGGCAAGTGATTTGATGATGGTCTTTTTCCTCCTCGTCAGGGATAGCTAGCATGTCGAAGGGTCCTATTAATAGGAAATTAAGAACAGCCGGACTTTAGAGGGAGAAATCTTCGCTTTCATAGGTCGTTTAGATCTATACTATTGCTACGATCATGACGACAACTTGATTCTCCAAGACCTGAGTGAAAATATCAGCATTGGTCTTTTTATTCCACTTGTGAAATTTCTGAGTGCCAATCATGATCCTGCCGGCCACATGAGCTTTTTGCGAGTTGATCTCTATTTTGAATCAAGAACTTGAAAAATTTCCCCTATATTGACGATGGTGACTGTCAACGGGTGATACGAACCTTTGGCAAGGTACTAGTTCTATGCGTCACCATACTGATATTTCGATTCTTCAAGCACTATTGACCATTTCAAATGCGCAGAACCTCAATAGATTCGCTGAATACTTTTCTATCATATCGAAATACCGGCATTGGGTCCCGGAACAGTCGTTACGTCGTCCCGCCAAGTTTGATTCCTTACTAGTACAGTTGATGCCCCAGGGTTTGTCCATGTTGAAGGATCCGATGTCGAACTGGTTGGTTAGTCCTGTTGTGGGTGACACATTCGCATTATATCCGACGTCCCCATGCTTAATGCTTTTCAGTTAGTTGTTATGCCGAGAAACTGTAGAAAGACTCAACCATGGTTTCAAGATGGTTGAAGTGCCCGAACCGATTCCACTCTACATCTAAACCTTCTCGATTTGGCTTAGCGGGCTTCCTCTCGACTAGTATAAATGTAAACTCTGGGATCGATTTCGTTATATTCCCTACGGCTCTACAGTGTAGCAGTATGGCTGTGGGTATACTTTGTTCTTTTGTTCTTTAAAGGGCGATGATGACTTTCCTCTTCTCAAATAGAAACAGTGACGGATACATCCGGTTTCTCTCTTTCGGGAGGGCTTTGCCTGGAAGTACATGTCTAACTTTCATGAGCTGAATGGATTCTGAGTCCTCCTCAGTCATAGCAGAACGTACCCACGCACCGTGCAAGCTGATACTAAATTGCCGTACCAGTTGTATTACAGAAGCTTTCTTCTTTGACAGATTTCACACATCTCTATATATTTTTTAATACTTACTCTGAGCTCGTCTTAAATATATTTGTATCTGAAAAGCTATTTCATCTGCTCTATCTCAAAATGCTCAGTAGACATGTCATTATAATAATTCTTAGTAATTCACACTCTATTGCTCTGCTGGTCGTAAGGTTCAAAACCGGCAAGATGCATCTCCCAGTCTGCCTTGCTGCATAAAGAACCGTGGGCAGTGGGCGCCAAGATGAGGCGAGGAGAAGGGGTTCAGAGGAATCCGACAACTGAGAACCGGAAAATTGGAACCCAGCAACTTTTGCTGGAAATGATTCATGAATCATGGTAATTAGATCTGCCAGCTGTTACTCTGGAGTATTCATGATAATCACTAGTCGCAGTTGGTTGCCAACAAACACGCTTGGGCCTACGGCTATTTTTAGATTTTAGCCCTGGCACGGATCACGAGGCTAATTCGGGCCTTTTTCAAGGGTTGATGATCTTGACACGAAGATCAGTCAATCAAATGATGAATGAATGACTGATTGACTGACTGAATGAAGGAATGATGGCGGAGATGGAGGTGGAGGATGCTGTGAGAGCTGGTTACCAGCCAAGGAGTATATGAATGTATGCAACTGCCATGAGGCACATATAGACTGACAGCACATCCTCACTCAGCTCATTTTGCTGTGATGATCAACCCTGGGATAGAACGCGGTAGACAACTTGAAACAAGGCATGGCATCATCACCGCTTTTGTGAAGGAGTGTTCAAAGAAGTCTGCTGTGGATGTCTCATCTGCATACAGCTTTTGAGAACAACCAACCAACCAAACAGAAATAAAGACGCTGGAGACGAAGATCCGCTAGGCCCTACGCCGAATTAGCCATATTTCTTGCAACAGAACCTCTATTGGTGGGCCTGGCGGGGGAAAGGAGAAAATAATTACTCCGTAGCTGTATTGGCACTGAGGGTGCTCAGCCTTGTGGCTGAGTCCTGCAGGAAGATGGAGACCAGGAAGAAGCCATTCCTTCGCCTGGTTCCTGCATGGAGAATCGCTGGACAACAGCCATACTACTAATGGAAAAGAATAAGAAGAACACTTGAGATGGAACACTAACGAAGTATGCCTTGCGACGCTATACCCAGCGTCATCCATCCCTGGCTGATACTACACAGGAGAAAGCTATCTGTGAGTTGCAGCCCAACTATAGCGCACGGATTTTCTATTCTATATTAGTTATGCCAAAAAGATCATGACAACTGACCTACACTGGGCCAAAGGGTTGAAGACTACTAGTAGATAGGATACGAGAAGATAAAGCCAACCTGGCTGCTCTAGGGCACAGGGTCCGGATGGCTCAGAACTACTAGTACTAGTATCCATGCACCACGGAACTTAGATGTAGAAGTAGGACACCAAATCATGATATCGTTGTATACAAGCCGGCTGTGCGAAATGATGCATTTTCTGCCTGATGGAGTGCATGGAGTTGGCGGGGGTGAGAGCGTGCAAAGGGGTATCTTTATGTACTCCTGGTGTATTTATAAGCAGTGGCCAATGTAACTTCCGCTGCTGTTCCAGCGCGGGTGGTACATGATGGTACATGGACGTTACTTGGCTGTCTGGCGCCGTTCAGTTGGGCCAGGCCGGGGTAAGGCCGACCTTCCTTTCTTGGCCTGCTCGACCTCATCTCCCCTACTTAACTATCCTCCTCCTGCGAAGACCGCCCCTCCGTTCTCTTCTCATCCCCAACGCCATCGCCGATTGTTTCGTCTGGTTCCCACGTTGGCCGGATAGCCTTTCTGTGCCTCTGCTCCAGACGTATTTCAGTTGCATCTGATTGCCCTGTGCGCTCGGTGACAGTGGGGGTCCATACACCACTGCGCCAAGCAGCCTCCACCAACCCCCCTCCCAACTCAATCCCTTCCATCCTTCTCTCTCTTCTCTACACGCATTGTTCGACTACTTCTCTGTTCTTACCATTGTTGTGCGATCTACTCTTGGAATTGGTACGTCCTATAGCTCTTCTACAAGTGTTGATCATTAGGCCTGATGTTTACATCTGCTTGCGCCACGCATCAGATCTCCCGCAGAATATTAAGCGACCGTTTTTCTTCGCGTCCAGCCGAGGACTACGATATCCATTCCATTACCGCCGCCACCGGTGGTGTTGATCTTCCATCGCCTCGTTCCAGTCCAATTCCGCCCGTTCGCTGTCAGCATAATCAATCACCCCGCTTCATAAGCTCAGAAAAGGTGGATTTGCTTCTCTGAGAAGACCCATTGCTTCGCCGCTTTTTCCAATTCCCCGATCGATTCGGGATACATCCACAGACCAACTTGCCTTACCCACCACCCTGTCCACCGCTCTGATATACACGCGCGCTCTAACCTACGTACGCTATGGATTTTCCACAGGAGAACAGGGGGAGGCCGCTTTCAACGGACAATAAGAATCGCTCCTTAAATCCATCACCCTCCCCCCAGCCCCAATACCACGACAATCAGGGGCATCCACTTGGACACGATCCTGCTGGCTCTGTATTTCCCGGTTCAAATACTTTCACCACTGCTAATGAGCACTTCCCTATAACCACTCCTTACCTGGCCTCATCCGCGCATGATACCAATTTTCTCCACTCTACTGGAGCTCAGTCGTCTGAACCACAACCCTTTGGTCAGCCCCAGCCGTACTCCCAATCTTTCGAGGCAGGTTTCCTCAGCCAGCTCGAGCGTTCGTCTAATATCAAAGCCGCTCAAGAGGAGGAAAACTTTTCTAATCTTTTAAACTCAAACCAACCGCAATTTGAAGATTTTCCTATTTACAATAATAACAACCCTACATCCGATTTTGACTCATCTTTCATGCTTGACCCACAACTTAATCAGCAGCAACAGCAGCAACAGCAGCAACATATAAACCAGTCAGTCAACCCTGCTGACTTGAGCAGAATGTCATCTCCACACAACCAGACTCCCCCACTTTTGATACCACCTGATTCCCACGCGTCCCCTGGACGCCCATCATCGCCCGTCTCCAATCCCGGTGCCTATTTTACCCCAGGCCATTCGCGCCCGGCGTCATTAGATCCCGCAAGCGCAGCCTTTCTAACGAGCCAGTCCCAGTCCGATTGGCATGGGATGTTAGGAAATCCTATTTACCAGACCCATCGAAGAGCGCCGTCGGAACATTCAGATGTTTCCTCTGTTGCCCCTTCGCCCTATCTAGGCCATCACGATACGTTTGATGTAGACACAAACAATCATTCTCCATTACTATTAGCTCAAAATGACCCGGGCCTGTACGAGAATGCTCTAGGAATGGAGGCGTTCTCAATATCGGATCAGGCCCAGCATCATGGGATTAGCCCAGCCCATAGCCCCTACATTTCCCCACGTTTGCTACCTCAGCAGCACGGCCCAGAACTCGGACAAGATGGGTCATTCCACTTAACCCAACATGTGAAAAATCAACTTGGGCCTACCAGCCCTCCCGATATGTATGTTTCCAGGTCTGAGGCTTCGCCAGCACCTGCCACTGCATTTCAAAGTCATAATAGTCCTGGAGATATGGGCCAGGCTGCCCAAATGACGCCCCCTTCTATCAATGTCGAATTTGCACCTCCTTCGCGAACCACGAGTTTTGGTCCAGCAAAACCTGAGACAGATATGGACACTCTAAGCCCTCCCGTTGGTCGTAAGTACTCTATTCCCCGTATCTAAATTTTGGGGCACTGCTTCAAGCAATTGTATACTAAATGACACGGAATAATAGGTTCCCGTGGACGGAGTAAGTCTGATCCATTTGGACACGCCGTCACCCGTCCGATGTCATCTCCAACCACAGCAGCCCTTGCTCAGGGTGCGAGCTCACCATCGCGGTCTCTTTCTCCGTTTAACGGCAGCACAGGCAATCTGAGCACTCCAGCTTCCCGTGATACATCTCCAGCAGCAGCGAAGAATCGCCGCCAGTCGACCTCTTCGATTGACAGTCGGAACTATATCCTGGATCTTGCAGATCCTCAGCGGCCGGGTGCCAGTAGTGCTGATTCTAAGCGTGTGCAAAAACATCCAGCAACATTCCAATGTAGTCTATGCCCGAAACGATTTACGAGAGCTTACAATTTACGCTCTCATCTCCGCACCCATACTGATGAAAGACCTTTCGTGTGTACTGTGTGTGGTAAGGCCTTCGCCCGTCAACATGACCGGAAGCGGCACGAATCACTTCACTCGGGGGAAAAGAAGTTCGTTTGTCGTGGAGACCTGGCCCATGGGGCTCATTGGGGCTGTGGACGAAGGTTCGCTAGAGCTGATGCGCTTGGCCGCCATTTCAGATCTGAAGCAGGCAGAGTATGTATAAAACCTCTGATGGACGAAGAGGCTCTCGAGCGCGAGCGGACCTACGTAGATCAACAACAGATGCACGGCCACTTACAGCCGATAAGCCAACCAATGAATATACCACCGATGGACGGTCAGCCGTCCGGCTTCACACTTCCCGCAGCACTCCTCGCACAGTATCCTGCGCTCCAAACTCTCCAGTGGGACCAGCTTGCACCACATCCAGACGATGGGAGCGATATTGGCGGAGGTGGAGGAGCTAGGAGTAATTATGATGCTAGTTCTGGCGGGGAGTATGGGTTTGGCGACGATGACGATTCAGGGCTAAATAGTGGGTATGTGAGCGGTTCTGGGCAGAATTTCTCTCATGCACCGCCGTCGCAAGATCAGATGATGGGTGTTCCGTCTACGGGGAGCGGCTGGGGATAAGCCCTGGGGGGAATGCAAGGTTGGTTTATTGACTGACCCAGTTGGCGCTATCTACTTTGCGACTTTGTTCTTTCCATTTCTTCATTGTATCCTCTTTATCTGCCTCTTATGATATTTTTTTTTTTTTTTTTTTTTTTTGGTTCGGGACGAATACCCTTTACGGCCGCTTTCGTTATATTAATTATTAGTATTGTCATTTTATCACCATTTCTTATATTTGCTCCCCATCGTTTCCTTCCTGGGTTGGCCCCTGTTTTCCCCCGTTGTTTTCAAGTCCTTTTCTTTCCTCTCTTTTCGTTCTTCCTTTGGCTACGCACGGGATAGAGGAAAATGGAACTTTGGCCTGGATACTATGTTGTTGAGGACCGACAGTAATATCAATTTTCATGGACTCCGGTTGAAACCGGAAGGGTTGTTTTTATATGATATATATTTACTTTTTTTTTCTTTTCTATTTTCATATAGTGTTTATTTTTATCTGGTACATTCGGTCTATCTAGGCTTGTTTTATCTCCGCCTTTTATTTATTTATTTATTAATATCATTATTCAACCAAAGCATCATCTCAGCGTGTGTTTCACGCCCTGTTTTGAACTCTTTTTGTGCGGATATGTAATGTATTATTGTGTAGGTAAATATGTATTGGACGTGTATAGTACTAGCAAGACCTAGATGCCTACACTCAGTATTTTTGGGGAGAATTCCCATTTCGGCAACGATAAGGGATGAAAAGGTGCAGGTCCCGATTGAGGGTTAGGGGTCTCTACCTTAGTTTGTAGATTACATTTCATAGGACATATGGCAAATTCAAATTTCAATGAATGAATCATAATTAATTAATTCGTCGACGGCGTTCGGTTTGGTAAATTACAAGAAAATTAGCTAGCTAAGGGAAACGTATCTCTCTCTCTATAGGTTTGAAGAATCTGAATCTGCGATGCACCACCTTAACAGATGCAAAATAAACCAGCCGAAAAATTCGCCGTTCCATTTTAATTTACCATAATTTCTACTTCTTCTCGCTTCCTCCCCTCTTACTTTCTAACTCAATCAATTTCCCGATCTCCCCCACCCACCTCTCCGCAAACACCTCATCCGTAAACCTCTTCGACGACCTCCTCGCCCTCAACCTCATCGCCACCCTCTCTTCTATCGGAAGCGCCAACACCGCCTCAAACGCCGCCGCAAACTCTGGCTCCGTTGTAGCCCGGAATCCCGTCGCGCCTTCTCCCAAATCCACAACGATATCCTGTCGGGGACCACCGGAATCGTGTACGACACTTATCAGGCCCGCTGCCTGGTACTCGACCACGCCTATGCCGAAGTGCTCGTTCCACATGGCGTTGACGCCGATGGAGGCGTGGCGGAGGTGGGTGAGGATCGTGGGCCAGCTGGCGTCGCAAAGGAAGGTCGTGTGGTCACGGATTTTGAGCTCGTGGGCGAGCAGGCGGAGGTTGTAGATGTGGGTTTCGTCTGGACTGGAGTGGCGCACAGAGCCGATGAGGATTAGTCGTGGATATTGACTGTGTGGAGCGTTATGAGTCTTTTTGAATTCGTTGAGGAAACGGGCGAAGGCGCGAAGGATTAGGGCGTGGTTCTTCTCTGGGCGGAATTGGGCGACGTAGAGGATTGTTGGCTCGCGTGATTCTCGCTCATGCGCGAGATCTATTTCTATTGATTCCAGCTCTGAGACGGCCACGGGGGGGAAGACGACGGTGGGTTCTTGGAATTCTCGCCTTTTTTGCCGCGAGGGGAGCCAGAGAGAGCGTATATGTGCGGCTGTCCAAGATGAGTTGCACATAACTACATCAATTGTGCCACCAACCCGGCCGTATAGCTTCGCGAACGCGTGCCAATATTGTCGCTTGGCATATCCTTTCCAGCCGGCCCCTGCACCGGCGTTTAAACCTTTCGTACCTGAAAGATCATCAAGGGAGCTGAGCATGTCTGTCGAAATAGTGGGGTAATGTACGTACGCCCCGGTCGGAATTGAGGGGAAAAGGAAGTGGCAAAATGCCAGGACGAAGGAATAACCCATAGTGTCAATTAAGATGTCAGGAATTAGAAGAGTGAATGCGTCGTATCCGAGGATTAGGGAGCCCAAAGATTGACCAAGGAGAGTAAAACGTGGGTATATGCTGCTGAGAACATATTTGCGAGTTGAAAGATATAGGAATACTATTGTTGGAGAGTAAAGGCGAATATTGAAACGATTCTATGTTTTACATTTTAGCTACCGATATATTAGGTGCTTTTCGAATAAAAGCGAGCGAAAGGGAGAAAGAAAAAAAAACGGAATAAAATAAAAATTAAAATAAAGTAGATAACCTACCTCGACTCTTTCAAGCATTGTGGTCTTATTCAGGTCATTATCACCTGTGTAGATTGCACATATAGCTTTTGGCCAGCGGTTTTGTGTTGCTCTTACTGCTGCCCAAAGGACACGCTCGCCTCCGCCACCAGCATTGCTGCAGAACAATGAGTCAGTCGACTTCCACCGGGAACGACAATTGCACCATTTTCATTTCTTTTCCTTACCAAAATGGATGGAAGAATCCTATCACGCCTTCCCAATCGTTTCCCGCCGCATCCCCGTTTGTAGCGGTCCCAATGCCGCATGTTTCAACTTTTTCCCAATCCTCATCTTCCTGCTTCGCATACTTGGCTCTTCTTGAGTGGTATTCCTCCTCATCTAGCCGTATCCGCGCACGTATGAGGTCCCGCTTCCACCGGTATTTCCTGGCAATAAGCCATCCAATCGACTTGAAGACAAAGCGGAAGACAAACCCAGATAATCGCGGAGCGGTCAGAAAAAGTGCGAGCAGCGTCACGAGAGTAGCAATGGATGACGCGGATAACAACATCATGGGCCTGCAGTCAGCGGAGGAAATTAGTGGATGCCGACACACAAGCCGTTACCGACAGAAGTGTATGCTGTAGATGAGGATCGGGGAGCTTGGCCATCGATGATAGATAACCTTATAAGCGGTGTAATCACGTGTTGATACGATCTCCGGCGATATAGATTATCCTTCCCCAAAAGCTTGAGATCTCTCAACTCTCCCGAATGGTCGAACCCACCAGTTTTAGTGGTGAACGGCACGATGTCCGCGCCTGGGTATAGGTTACCCCTCGATGCTTTGCGGACTACCCACTGTGGGCTGAATGCCCGGCTCCTTCGGGCATCATGTCCGGCTCAGCAATGCGCCGTGAGGCTGCGCCCGACTGCTCAACAGAGGCGCCATTTCCACCCTTCGCGGCCTACCCAAATGGTTTCCACATCCATTGAGTGCGCACACGATCTCCTTCAAATAGTCCATACATGCACCGGTCTCCCCTGGGTGGCCTCCATCCCCTTGACGGCTATGACAGCACGGGTAGCATTCGGGTTGCCCTTTCTCATATGGTCAACATCGCAGCGAAACAAAAGATTGCTTGCGAACCCGGCGATCCTTGCCTATACCCGTATGAAGAGAAAAAATATTATGGATGCCGCCGCCAAGGAACAACGGTTTCTACCACCACAGTTTGTGAGCCGCCAGAGTGCATTAGAAGCATCCCAGTTTCAAAAGAGCCTGCTTAAACGACATCATCTTCGTTTGGCTCCGTTCGCTCCGTTCGCTCCGATATTACAACTTCCTTTCTGGCTTGCTTTTATGGAGAGTATTCGGTCGATGAGCGGATGGCAACCCGGTTTGCTCGCCATTCTACAACAGTGGTTTAATCCTGATGGCGTCAAGGCTCAAATACCCGTAGAACCCTCTCTTTCTAGCCAAGGGGCTTTATGGTTCCCTGACCTTATGGCTGCAGATCCCCTGGGCATCCTTCCGGTTGCTATTTCGGTTTTGATGTTCACTCACATTACGTGGGGTTCCAAGGTTAGCAAGATGAAAGATCTTCCCAAATTGGTATCACAAGGAAACTTGCAGGGCATATTTTCCTGGGCGATCCAGCGCATTTTTCAAGCAATGTCGATCTGGATTGCGCCAGCTCTATTGTATTCAGAAGCTCCCGCAGCGCTTAGTATCTACTGGCTATCCACGACTTGCGTTGCAATTGTCCAGTCTCGGCTTCTGAAAAAGTATATGCCGACTCCGAACGTCCCAAAGGCTTGCGTTAAAAGGACGATTGTGAGGTATGTGTATGAACGGAAGCCGGGCACCCAAGAACTTCAGAAGGTTGCTCGGCTTGGGATGATGTGGTAATTTTCGAGAAATCTACAAAACGACCTTTTTTTTCTCTTTGCAGTATCGCCACGGGAAGTACGATACCCGTTACTTTTACATCAGCCTTCCACGGGGATGGAATACTGTTTCGCACTACGCGGTTGAGGGTCCTCGGGGCGTGTTTGGCTTATTTGCTGGACTATCACTCCACCAGAAACCCCGGAGGTCGGCTCGTCAGTTGACAGGTTATAGGTCCGGGATAGCATAGCTTATGGAGAGCATAAGAATTGAAAGGTGGACGCCAATATAAACATCTAAGTCCGAAAATATTTTGGGTGGCTTAAGCAGGCCCTGAGGTGATTCCCTCGGAGTATTATTTCCACAAATGATAAAACTCGGTGTTTTGTATAATATGCAAGCGGGGAAAAGTCTGAGGCATGGGGTGCATTGGTGCATTGGTGCATTGATCTTGAAATCTTTTTCTATACTTACAAAATCACAATTCACACAAGCTCAGTGAATAAAAGGAGATTAAAGAATGATAACAGCAAAACTGACAGGACAAACCCCTGCAGTTTACACCTTGATCTATATACATATTTTAAATAGCTAATTGCCAAGAGAAGGAAGAGAAGAGAAGAGGGAAGAAGATGTGAGAAGGGGCATACATATATATACATAGAAATCATAGTAGCGAGAATATAGCAAGGAAAGAATAAACGAAGATATACAAGGAGATATATAAGGAAACAATAAACAAGTGCATTAAAATTGCCCCCCCTTTTTCTAGGAGCTGCACTCAGCAACTTATATAGATGTATCTTGATTACATGTATTGGTGTCGGTTTGCATCAAGCATATACCCCGTTAGTATATATTGCTTGCTCGAAGCCGGTGGGTTGATCGCGTAGCAAGATTGCGTAGACAGAAGGTGTAGATAATACATGTGTTGTTATTCTATCACTCGATGTGGTAGAAATGGTGGAATCATGGTTGCTAGGGGTTGCGAGGGAAAGATAGAAATAACTTCTTTTCCTCTTTTGATTTTTCTTCTTCTCTTTTAACCTGACCACCAAAAACGAACTCTGCCCCCTGGCGTGATTTTTTATGAAATCTAGAAATTTTAACAGTTCTCTGCTGCCCTCCCTCCCGGCACGATGTCTTCCCTGTCATACCCCGATTTCAAGTAAGTGGTCCCCAGCGCTTATCGCGTCTCGTTGATCCCATTCGATGGCTGTGGTGCTACTCGTATGATCACGTGCATTTCTGGAGTGTTCTTGTCTTGTTTGTGCGCTTGCCCTAGCCCTAATTACGTCAGTCAAAATAGCCAGTTCCCCTGTGAGCGCTGCATCCCCAAACTGGGGGACGTGGATTCCTGGTGTGCCTTTGGGCCGAAGGCCCGGAAACGTTGCGAGGCTTGTGCCTCTGCAGGCAAGACCTGCGTCCCCGTGGGTGTTCCAAGGCAATATTCCATATAGCTAAATCGCACTTTGAGTGATATGAATATGCTGATAATTATGCTAGGTGCGTGATTCGCCTCTGGTTAGGCGCATCATGCGCTGGCGTGCGTTCATCTTCTGTGGTGTTGGCGGCTGGAGAGGACATGGCCAACCACAAGGAGCGCCTTCGCCGCTTGGTAAAGCAACTTGATGCCCCGCGCCTGGCCCGGTTGTCTGCCCGTGGCAGGGTGGGGGCTAATGCCCTCTGGTCCCGCCGTCGGGCTGCTGCTGTGCCTGCGGAGATGCAGGCTACGGAGGCCGTGGTTGTGCCTGGTCCGGGGGTGGTGGTGCAGGAGGAAGAGGAGGTGGAGGAAGGGGTTAAGGTGGAGATCAAGGAGGATCCCGGGATCCTCGGGGGTTGGAGCTCGGGGGATCGGTGGGTCGAACAGAGTTAAACACAAAGATAAAGAATGGCGAAATATGCTATGGGATGAACAAACTGGTCATCTGGCAGTGATTGATTTGGAGGACGTAGAATGGGTCAAACGTCGTCCGCCCCTCCAGTCGAAACCCGAAAATACTCAAGGCGAGAAGCCCACCCAGACCAGAAAAACCAAGAAAAGGTGCTTGGTTTCTGCCTCAAGCCGTGATGGTGGTGCACTAGAATCGGGAATCTGTTGAAGGGATTGTCAGAGTGAACGCTGGGTCAGTACCACCCGCCGAGAACCCGGCGTGAAACCTTTTTAACATGTCTGCAATCAGGATTCAGAAACTTCGGAGGCGTGGAGGAGGAGGGGGAGGTGGTGGTGGTGGACGGTGACAGCTTCACCCGTTGGGTAGATCTCTGATTTTTGATCCTCCTTTGTCTTTCTTATTTTTATTCATTCCAGTTATCATATATCCCTCAATCGAATTTGTTACTCTGGTATTCATTCCCCTTTTGTCCCCTTCCCAGTTATTATTACTGCTGTCAAACATATAGATTAACCACGAGGTACCTTAGAAAATAGCTTGCAAGTATAAATACATCACGTTTTCAGTTAAACCCGGTCCATCTTTCACCTCATTGAAATGTTTGGAGAAGCATAATCAACTCAGCCCTAATCATTTTCGCCAAATCGGGTAATTCATGTTACTTAGTCCACGCCAGACAAGGTTCTCGAGAAGTGCATATTCGCCGAAAATGGCCCCTCGCGAGCAAGGAAGAGCCGAGGTGACGCTGGGGGGCAAAACCAAGTTATAATGCCCAGTTTTCCCCGCATGCATTGAGCTAAGAGAACTCCAACATGGAAAGTAAACTCAACCGAGGAACTGTTTGTTCCCTTATATGAGCTCGGTTTCCCTTCCGTGGAATGGACAGTGTGAAAACCAATCAATCAAGCATTCCCCCTGATATATATAGCCTTTTCCTAGAAGGGGTTATCACATCGCATTAGCTTCGGCTACCATGGCGTCCTTCACCGTCGACGAAATATCCCAAGTTGTAGAACAACACCGTCCCGATCTCGGCCCGTATGAAGGCCTGTACAAACATCTGCACGCCCACCCGGAGCTCTCCCACCAAGAATACAACACTGCCAAGACCGTCGCGAACAAGCTGCAACAACTGAACATCCCGGGCCTCCGAATCCACACAGGAATTGGCGGCACCGGCGTCGTCGCCGTCCTCAACAACACCAACAAAGCAGCGTCTCCATCCAGCCAGGTCGGCCCGACTGTCCTCCTCCGCGCGGAATTAGACGGCCTGCCCGTCCACGAGCAAACCGACCTCCCCTACGCCAGCAAAGAAACAACCCATGACGCCAATGACGCAAACAAACCCAAACCCACCATGCACGCCTGCGGCCACGACCTACACATGACCTGCCTTCTTGCTGCGACAGACTCCCTAGCCTCCCCCGCGCTCCGCGCCCGCTGGCACGGGACGCTGGTCGTCCTCTTCCAGCCCGCGGAGGAACACGGCAACGGCGCCACCCGCATGATCTCCGACGGGCTCTTCTCCCCCACCTCGCCGCACAACATTCCAATCCCCGACGTCTTCCTGGGCCAGCACGTCCTGCCCGCCCGCGCGGGCACCATCGGCATGAAGCCCGGCGCCCAGATGGCCGCTTCGGACTGTCTCAAAGTCACCTTCCACGGCCGCGGCGGCCACGCCTCCATGCCGCACTTCACCATCGACCCGATCGTCATGGCCAGCAGCGCCGTGGTGCGGCTGCAGACCATCGCCAGCCGAGAGGTGCAATCGGGCAGCGTCGACGGCCTTGGCGTCGTGTCCGTCGGCAGCCTGCATGCAGGCAGCGCCGCGAACATCATCCCCGCCACGGCGGAGATGGAGGTGAACGTACGCACGGCGGACGAGGCGACGCGGGCGAAGGTGCTGGCGTCCGTGGAGCGCATTGTGCGTGCGGAGAGCGAGGCGAGCGGAGCGGAGAAGGAGCCGGAGATCACGCGGACGTTGAGCTTCCCCGTCACCGTGAACGATGCGGCGGTGACGGGGAAGCTGGGCGCGACGTTCAAGCGGCTGTTCGATGATGATGGCGCATCGAAGGAGGCTGGGACCCTGTATCGTTTCTGGCCCGATTGGCCGCGGAGCAATGCGTCGGAGGACTTTGGGTGTCTGGGCGCTTCGGTGGGGAAGCCCAGTTGTTTCTGGTTTTTTGGCGGCGTGGACCCGCAAGCGTGGGATGCGGCGGAGAAGGATGGGACGATTGCAAGGGATATTCCTGTGAATCATTCGCCGTTCTTTGCGCCGGTTATGCAACCCACGATGCGGGTGGGAGTCGACGCGTTGGTTGGAGCGGCGTTGACGTTTCTGCAGAAAAGGGAGTGAAGCTCCAAGGGCTTTTTATATTTCTCAGCTCTATTCTCTAGGCAGGATGATTAGCCTATGTATTTTTTCCTCTCATCGTTCTGTTTCATTCATGATTTGTCATCTTTATTCCAGAGAAGAGGACAAGGAGAATCCAAAGAATGAGAGGGGCACCGGATACTGCCTGTGTAATATACATGTGTATGTAACTATATACAGTGGTTGTCCAATAAGTCAGCGTACTAGAGGCTCGGCGCTGAGAACCCCTCTTCTTACTCTTTTTCTTCAAAGATTCCTCCATCAACCAACATCCCCCCTATGCAGGCTGATTAACTGATATCTTTTATTAGATAGTATAAAAACAGGTGTAAAGTGAAATGATCTCTCAGTTCACTTTTGGCATCCATTCCACCTCTAGAGAGTATTATTAAATTCAATTCTATGCAATCTCTACAGCGGCCCCCCAACAATCAATCTATTCAATATCAATTCAACAAATCTATATGCTCTATTCTCTCTCTATATCTCAGAGATTGATATTCAGAATATTGTCTGTTCCACTAATGTCTATGCAGAGATTCAGATTTCAAAGAATTCAGTTCATCATTGTAAAGTACACGCTAAAAAAAGACGCTAATTGTGCCTGGCGACGGCTAGACGAAGGGATATCGTAACAACTACAAATCCAACAACTAAACAACCACATACATACATACATACATATATATACATATGCATAAGAAAACGGGGGGGAAGGCGGCGGGGAATAAATAATATGGAAGCAAAAGCTAACGATCCAACTTATAGACAACTCAATTAATTCCTTCATCCCCAGCCAATTAATTTTCCAACTTCCTGCACTTCCTTGAGACATAATGCTATACACAAACCGGATATAGACGAAGGGAAACAAAAGGAAGTGAAAAACAAAAAGGATTAAAGCATGTTCACGGTGTCCCGGTGTGGGGGGAGGAGAGGGGGGGAAAAGGAAAGAGTGGAGAGAGGTGTATGTGACATGATGTGACGGGGGTAGGTAGTTTGGGCTTGATTTCGCATTTTTGATCATTGATTTCCTGGTACCTCCAGTGTGTATCCCTCCATTAATTTTTATACAAAAGAAAAAAAATGCAAGGTGGAGAGGTAGTGGTCAAAGTGCATTAGTACTCTGTTTCCCTAAAGTGTTGCCATAAAGGTGAGGAGAATGGGGTAGGATAGGAGGAGAGAGGGAAGAGCGGCGGGAGGAGGCTCTGAAAGCAAGAATGAAAATGATATACGTGGTGATTATAAATACTCAAAGTGTATATTTGAGTATGTAAGGGAGATGTATAATGCACCTGTTCAATTCATGAAGGAAAGAGCCCCTAATGTAATGTGGAAAATCCCAGCGCTCATAAAACACAGGAGGAAGAACGGAATGGAAAAGAATAATTAACGCCCCGAGGATATATATGCATGGCCCCGATCCTATTCCCAAACATGAAAAGTAAACTGAGAGGATATAAAAATTAAAAATAAACCCATTCCAAATCAGTAAACCAAAAAAAAAAAAAGTGTGTATACATATACTCATTCATGCATATCCCAAGGGGGACTGGTAATAATGAACACAATCATGTTTCCCATGGACTCTTTTCATCCAATCCTCTTCGATTTATTGAACGGGCACGAATTTCGTTTCCCAAAAACAATCCCTTCATCCTCTGACTCATCGTCTTCGTCTTCATCCTCATCATCACAGTCGTACTTACACTCGTCGTCATGGGTTCTGTCAGATGACGTTTTCCGAGCTGTGACTGTTTCTCTAGTGCGAAGAAGGGGCGGTATGTGTCCGAAAGCATCAAACTCCTTCTCTCGCTCTGCTTTGTAGGTATAGAATCCATCAGCGGAGAGAGAAGAGGCGCCCGATATTACTGATGGAATACTCGGGTGCGAGGCAGAATGAGACATTCCACTGGTGAGTTCATCCGATGAGGACATGGTCAGTGCTGATGGAGGTGAAGTAATTGGCTCTCCTATCGGATGCTTGAACAAATAGTTTTGTTCCATGCCTATTTGATGCCATTCGGTGTCTATAGAGGAGAGTGTGCCTCGAGCGGGTAAGGAGCCGCCGCGGCCGCGTTCAGTCGACTCCTTGAACCACGAAGCGGCTCCCTGTGCGTGATGACTTCGATCTTGATGCTGCATCCGTTGTCGTAGAAGTGTCTCGCGGGCTACATGGAACGACTCGGCTGGAGCATCATGCAACTGTTGGTGGAAGCGGGATCGGTGGTGAGATGAGGTATTTGCTCGTGTTGGGACGTCATGGCTTGCCAAAGATGATAAAGAGGTCGAAGACGGACCCCGGGCTAAGTCGGGAGATTGGACGAGGCCTGTAGCAGACGCCGTACTGACTGCAACGACGGGGCCAGAATGGGCATCTCCATCTATAGATGCTCGATCGGTGGATGGAGATCGTTGGCTTTGCCGATCAGGGCTCTGCCAACCCCATCCTAGACGACGTCCAGCTCCCCCGAAAATACCGTTGACGCTGGATGCGAGCAGAGTTTCTGAGACCGGAGTAGTTGCTCGAGACCGCACGGGAGCCACATCCGTAATCAAGGGGCGAATTGTCTTGGTGGAATCGGCACTAGAAAACGTCGAGGATGACCTGTCTGAGAGGTTAGGACGGCGTCCTGCATCAGGGAACTGGTCTTTCCGATATGATGACGAACTGGCAGTGCTGCCCCTTCTGGAAAAACCATGGTCTTCGGATGAAAGGGGTTTCGGAAGAATGCTATGTGAAGGAGCGTGATCGCCATCTTTGGTGATCCGGAATGGTGACCACTGACTCGTATCATCGCTGAATAGCCCCTTTTTTTTAAGGTCTTCATTGTCATGGGTTTTGTAAGAAGCGATATTGCTCGAAGATGAAGTTAATATCGACGCGGAAGTAGCTGAAGTAGCTAAAACAGGCGCTCGTCTCCGGCCATCTTTCCCTCGCCCAAAAATGGAACCGCCCCATTTTGCCACGTTCGACCGAACTCGTTCGATAAAAGGCATTTTCGTGACCGCCTGAGTGACTTCTTCTTTCGAGACCTCGATCCTCTTACCCTTGCTCTGGTAGCCCGGATCCGTCGTTTCGATCCACTTCTGTTTGTCAGAGATATCACGAAGCACCCAAGGGTGGTGCTTAATCTCCTTCAAAGTTATCCGTTTGGCTGGATCTTTCATGAGTAGACGTCTCAAAAGATCACATAACTCGTCATCGATACTTTCGTAGGCAAGTTCATCGTCAGTTCGTTTGTTACTGTTCATCACAAGCTGAGGGTTCGTTGCCTGGCTGGACGATGGGTCCACTTCCACTGCTTTTAAACGTCTGCGTGGAATGAAAACTTCGTTTTTCACGATATTGTGAAACAGTTTATACTCGTCATCGCAAACAAATGGTAGCCTCCCAAAAATCATGCCATATAACGTAACGCCTAATGACCAAACGTCGATGGCGCCAGTGATCTTCGGGACATTGCCAATTTGGGTCTCAAACTCAGATCCAGTATAGCAGAGTTCCGGCGCATAAAAAGCTGGGGTTCCAACGGTTTTTGAGAGTTCTCTGGCATCATCGAGTTCTGTGGCGTCTGTCTCCGTAACTCGCTCCTCATCGTCGTCGCGGATGGGCCGTCCGAGATAGGATACCCCGAAATCGGATATTTTGACCCGGCGATCTCTTGTAACAAGCAGATTTGCTGGTTTGATATCGCGATGTATGATACCTTGATAGTGAAGATACTCGAGTCCAAGAACAGAGTCTCGGAATGCACGACGGGCCTCGGAGAGTGTCAAACATGGGACATACATCTCATCGTCATCAGACAAAGGTTCTGGTTCTGAAGAATGAGAGGTAAATAGACTTGAGACGGTACTTTGACGACGTTCGAGTGGAAGATCGGGGGCGTATGGCCCATACTGCGTTCCTTCTACAGCAGCCAGAGCCGTGTCGCTTAACTTACTATCCAGCTCATCCGCAGAGGATAAGGACTTGCTCGTTACCTCGTGCATTCTGGAGCTGTCATGAACGGCAGGTGGGGCTTCTGGGTCCATTTCGTCGTCCGAAACTCCGCCGTGTTCCAAACTCCAGGCGGGAACTCCCGAGAACTGCGATACTATTGATCGCCGCTTCTGACGAGATATTTCTTTCTGCCGCCTTATTTCGTATTGCCTCTGGATCTCCTCCATGAAAAATGGAGACTCGGGAATTCCTTGTTTCTCGTGATCGAGCCTGTATTTATCTGTGGCCACAATGTCCCGAAGCCCTTTCTTACGCCAGACGATCTCACCATTCTCCACAAACTCTAATACGATATAAACCTTCTGTTGATTTGGGTCGTCAATCACTTCAAGCAGACTGACAACATTCTCATGTCTGGCCTTCTTAAGGATGGCAACCTCCTTCTTAACTTTATCTTCGGGATTGCCCAGTTTACCCAATCGGCGGCGTTTCGAGTATCTTTGGACAATTTTAATGGCCACTTTCTTTCCAGTCCTCATATGGCGACCAAGTTTCACCTTCCCGTGCTCACCTCGGCCCAGTTCATCGAGGATTTCGTACTCGTTAATTAGCTTGTTGCCAGTGAGCATGTCGCGATCGACCTCAACTGTGTGCGTTCTGTAAAAACCATCAGAAATAAGTTTCTACTAATATATAGCAAATAAAGCCAATAAAATAAAGCCACGCAAAACGTTTTGTCATAGCTGTAAAATATTACAAATTATTCTAACTGGTAGCACTTACTCTTTGGGTTCTTGAAGATGAGTAGGATGGAGGTATGAAAACGAAAAACGGCCTTCTGCAGATTTTGGTGGGGATGGATGAGCGGGACGAGAAGAGAAAAGGCCAGGACTCGATATCGGTGTGTGACCAGTTGTGCGCCAGCCTTGGCCGCGAGAACCAGCGTCACTAGTAGACCATGATGGACCGGAAGACGATGAAGGGTAGGGTGATGGGTAGGAGCTGCGGGAGCGGAGGTGGGGTTGAATGCGGGTGGGGTGGACCTGTGATTGAAGAACGGCGTAAGATTGGTCTGGATATATCGGTAGGTCATTCACAGAGTGTCCAGCTCGGTGCGAAAGAGTAGGATGTTCCGTTAGAGGGCTAAGGGGGGGATTAGATATGTCGGGAGCTTTTGGAACCATCGAATGTTGTGATGGGGATGTCCCAAAGTACGAGCTCGTATAGTCGGTCGTAGCAGGTTCCAGACCAGCATGATCTGCTAAGGAGAGTAATGAGCTTGATGAAGTGTTGGTCGAAGAGCTCCGTGATGCATTTGAGGAATGCGGGCGAAATGGGAATACGTGAAGCCTGTGGGCTAAACCACGACGTTCCTCTGGCCGGCCGTCAGGTTGTGTGCCCTTCTGGCGGGTTATCCCGCCCGACATCCGTCCCGACGTGGAGCCGCTTGTGAGAGAGAATCGCCGCGACCTCGATCTCCGAGCAGCGGTATCAAAGGCTTGACGTTCAAGGAGAGTAGAACTATCGAGGGATAGCTGTGAACCTCGTCGACTTCGACTAACCGAGTTATTCGGTGAGTCGGCGGAGGATTCCCCAGTACGACCCATCTTTGCGCAGTAACCGTAACCGCTTTGAAGTTACTTTCTTGCCCTCTCAGATATTTCTTGGTCCCGATTGAAAAACACTTCCGATCCTCTCTCTATCGTCGTCCTCGTGGAAATGTGCAGGCTGATCCGAGTCTCTATGGTATGGGAAACGACTACGGGTAGAGAGACATGATAAAATATCACCGTTCCTTTTGAGCGAACCAGCAGGTGAGTGTTATGTCCTCATCCCTTATCATTTGGTTGCTCATCGATAAGACGATGGAAGTTGTTCTCTTTCGTTGCGAGGGGGGAATTAGGCCAGCTAATCTAGCCCTGCAATCGAAGAACCGAGGATTCACTTGCACATTTAAAGGGTGGGCGAGGGACGAATGCGGGATGTCCGTTTCCTGGCCGTCGGGAGGAAGGCGATAACAGAGGAGCTGTCAGGGAGACAATGGAGGGCGAGTGCCGCAGGAATGATCGTGGATGGGGAACAACAAGCAATGCGATGTGGCAGGGAGGCAAAATGGCCAAAAGGACAGATGATACAGTGGGGCCCGAAGGAACGTCGATCAACAAAGATCGATAGAACGAGAGATTGGAAGACGAAGAAGGATTGGGAATCCGGTCGATTCGGTAAGGAGCAAAGGAGGATGCTATATAATTGCTGAGCACTGGGAACTCAGAGAGGGGATGAGAGAGGAGACGTAAGGAGGATGGAGAAGGAGGGTTCGCCGGCTGAGGGATGATGGAGGAGGAGGAGGAGTTGAGTTTGGCGAAGTCTGGTAGTGGTCGATATGCACGCAGTACCGTAAGGTAAATAGAATACCTGGGTATGTATGGAGGAGTTACAGCTGGGTGTAAGCTGTATTTAATCCGTATGTAAGCAAGCTCCTGCCATGTGCTGTACAACGTTCCAATGTTCCTGGATGGCACGGTGCCTGGTAGCATCGGCCGGCAAGCAGCAAGCAGCAAGCAGCAGCAGGAACACACAATTGTGATGGGTAAAAAACGGAGGTCTCTCCGTGGCTGTTAATGGCTGCAATTCAATGGAGGCCCAAATGGCAGCCGTGCTTCATCACCAGCAAAAGGTGGAGGGAGGGTATTATTATTACTTCGTACCGTTCAGGCGCTAAGTCTTATCTCGTTTTCAGGCCGTCCACCCCCCTTCGCCGCCAGAGCGTAGAAGTGCCAACCGGGGCCGGCAAAGTAGCGAATGGGTCAAAGCCACTTGCAGCTCGAAAGTGGGCAAGCCTACTAGTAGTACGTCCTAGTTGATAGCGGCGGTGGCAGCACCCGCAGATTGGACCCTCTTGGTACCGCGCTTACAGTACCCTAGTAACTTAGCTGGTGAATACCTGAAGCCGCTGGCCATTTGTTACTGGAGTGCCTATGCCTAGGTATTATTGGCTGTGGCGGTCATCGCCAGGTGATTCCTCTGTACCAGGTAGTATTTTACGAGTATTCTTAAACAAATCCCCCAGTTAAAATGTTTTTGGTTTTTTTATCTGGAATTTTTTGCTGTTTGTCTTGTTTCTCAACTCTGTGTGTTTCTGTTAGCCGGTTGTTACATACAGTGTATTGCAGCCCATTCTTACAAGCTCAACACCCAATGCCCCCATGTCAAGCGCCACCTCAGTGTCCGGTGTCTGGTAGGCCTGAAAGACGGGCCAGCATTTCAGGGAAGCACTGACCATGGTAACAACTTGTGTGGACAGTGCACACTCTGGGTTGGTTGCCTTGGACAAGGGTCTCTGTGGCTCTCTCCGGCTCTCTCTGGCTCTCTCACTCTCTCACTCTCTCCTGCTTTGGTTTGAGCAACGAAAGATCATTATCCTTGCAATTTTTGCGGGCTAGTGGTTTTGGCCCGGCTCGTTTTATCAGGGTGAAAATCGAGGAGCTGTATTATATATAGCAATTTGATCCTCTGTTTTGCTCCTCTCTCATTGCTGGAAAGGGGAACAGGATGGGAACAGGATGGGAAGCGAAGCTGACAATGCGTGCAAAACAAGTCTGGGAGGTTGGGCACTTGGGCTGCTGGCACTCGGGTACTTGGGCACTCGGGCCTCCCAAAACTCGAATCATATCCAAACGAAGCCAAAAGGGGAGCCAAGCGATGCAGGTTGCTGAAGATGGAAGCCCTAGCAAGGGTCACTTGGATCAGGGATCAGGATGGATGTTTTGCATAATCATTGGGGTTGGCGCGAAAGTTTCCATAAGCCCCCAGGTTCTTATCTTCTCCTGTTATCTTAGACATCACAAGTACGGAGGTTAGTTAGTTTTTACGCTTTTTACACTGCGTCTCCAATCAGCAAGCGTTCATTGCTTTATTTAGCTCCTTGATAAATTTGCCCCCTTCCTCTCAGCACAGTATCAACCATTTTGAGCCAACACGTCATCACTGTGTTTTATGAACGCGGAGGCGATGAGAGTTAATTGCAGCCAGTAACATGACAACCCTCAAGCCCTGACTCGCGAAGGTGGTTGAGTATTTGGCTGAGGTTCAATAATAGACTGTTAGTCCACCCGGGAGGAAGCGCGAGGCTAACCCGACAACGCGGCACGCATTACTGCATTGCAACTCAGTGGTTGGGTAGGTTGGGCAATTGGAATCTTAAGTATCGGATAAGATAGTAGTATCTCAGCGTGCTCGTTGCGTGTAAGGGCAGTTAGCCAAAGCGCGGTGCGTCCCTCAAGCGGTTCGGGAGACTGGAGCGCTGCAGTTATTCAATTCACCGCCGTCAGGTTTCCTCACGGCCTGTGGTGACCTTCAATCGGCTCCTTGTCGGCGCCCCCCGTCTCCAAGCAGCAGTATGTGGATAGCACAACGCTCGCAGCCATCTGGACGACGACGTGCGGTGACTCTCTGCGGGCCTTCTATAGGGACGTGGAGAGTGCCTGCGGTACTGCTATGTAATATGTATACCTTCCCCGGCGAGGTTTCAGATCGTTCAGCGCTTCCTGGATCCCTAGTTACTGGGCCTACAATGTATCGTGTCTCGCTAGCGGCAGCGATTACTATTATTCGGCCGTCTGTATGGATGCTGAGATGGGCTCTGCCTGTGCTCTGAAATGGTCGCATAAAGAGGGCTGTCCAGCAGCTTTTGACATCATCTCGTTGGGCCACGCGAGTTACGAGGCATTAATAGCATCCCTAATACGACCCATTTACTCTGTGTGTCGAGCAGTATCTGTAGTGCCAGCACTGATCTTTCGACAGACGAATACATTTTTGGCAGAGCTTCCGAGTCAATTGATTCGATTCGGTTTAACCCCACATGAAGGCGGTTATTTACAACAACCTAGAGGAGTCTGATATGCAAATACCTAAAGACCCTGATTCAACCCTCCTTGACCCACGCAGATACAATCCGGAACTAGGCTCTAATCCGTTCCCATAATATGATAAGAAGAAGCCACCCAACACCGTAAAAACAAAGAAAGAAAGAATACCCTTCCAATCACACCGAGATCGTGTCCCCTATCGGGTTGCCGATCCACCATCCTGCAAAATCCTTTAGACCTTTTACATCCTTCTCGCGGAAATCATACAGTCCGGTCGATCGTAAGATAAGATTCTCGCCATCAAAATACGATTCGATGACTCGAGCTCGTTGTATGCCCATGAGTGAGAAAACCAACACCTATAGATACCAACCAAATCAGTATCCTGCCGCAATGAATGGTAGTAAGAGGAGTAATACCGGCGAAATCATATGTTGGATAAAGCGTCGTTGTTTCATCTGTCCAAACATAAGGCGTAGAATGGCCAGCAATTCTCCACGGAAGTATTCCTGCTCATTCTCCTCTATGTTGTTGTAAATGACCGCCTTCATGTGGGGATGCTCTTTGCCGGCAATATCCGTCAACCTTAAAGCACCAAACTCGGGGTCACTGTATTGATATAGGCTTTTGAAGGGATGGTAATCGGCGACACTGTTCGTGGTAGTTAGAATAAATTTACCATAGAGAGAGGATATATAGAAGGCGAGCCTACCATCCCCCACTCCATGGCGTTGGGGTACCCTCGAGCCATTTTCGATTCTCACAACGGCATGTATAGTGCACCAGGTAATCTTCAAGAGCGTATGCACGATCAAGGGGCCGAACAAAATCCCCAGATGGATCAAACTGCAGTGCGGTCTTTGCACTGGGGTATTCTCCAAGGTCAAACTCATCGAGTTCTGGGACGCTTGGACACGCGGCGAAGAAGGTGGGCTTGAGGTCTGATTTCTCATCCAAAACCATGGGGAGGACGGAAATCTTCAGATTCTTGAGCTGTGATGCGCTCAGTTGGTGATCTTGGAGCTTTTCAACTTTGGCTTCGATATCGAACAAGACCTTGCGGCGTCGGAGGCGCTCGGCGGGTTCGGCGGACATGTTGTTTTGAGGGTGAGGGAAAAATTGAAGGTTAAAAGGAGTGTAATTGCTTTGTGGGAGTCTTTATAGGCTTAGATGTAATGTAGTCAATCGTTATAGGATGATGGAATAAGCGGAGTGCAGTTGTGTGTGGTTGTGTAGTTGCCGGGTTGCAGTTGAACGTGGTTTAAAAAAAGTGAAATAAACCATGCCTAAACATCTTTTATACACCCTCACTGTATATTACTAATCAGCTCTCATTTAGTCCTTCTACTTCAACATCTGGGGCTCTTCAACATCTGAAAAGCAGTTATGGCCTAGAATTAACGCTGAAGGTTATTCCGGCCCGAAAAATTAACCATGTTCAACTGTATGCGCGATAGTTGCCCCAGCGACCTGTTGGCCCTAGGCTGCCTATCACGGACTACTATGTAGCGCAACGCACACATATGCCTCAGCTGCCTACATGCTAATACAACCACTCAGACGTCCCGCACAACCAACACCAACCATCGCGCTTTCCCATGATGACCAAGAAAAGAGGACACCGCGTTGTAAAAACTCCGTACACTTTAGACGGGCGAGAAATCTTACTTTACTTTGAAGTTGGAAACACCACTGCTCAATTTCAGCACTGAATAAGACTTTGCCCCTCCTTTCTTCGCAATATCACCTACCATAATGAGTGGCCTCCCGAAGGTATTACCCCGAACAACCAAGGAGTGGGAAGGGTTTGTTGCGGCGAAGAGTCTCACTAACAAGACGATCCACGGGGCTGACCTTGCCTCTGCCTCCAACATCGGATATGAGCAGTTTCTGCTTTTCCGGGTTTTGTGGAGGACGTACAGCGGTCTAAAGCAATTCGATACTATGTTTGGGATGAAGAAATGGATATCGCGCGCGGGGAGAATGCTCGCGGGCCTCAGGTCCTGGAAGATATATTGCGATAGCTTCGGGGCTCCCTATGTGCCGGAAGGAACCTTCGCCATTGCCCGCCATTATCAGATGGAGGTTTTGAAAACTCGAGAAGACGTGAACCCCATAGCCTTCTCTACGCCTGTGGCGCATCGAACTCGCAGTAAGATGCAGCGACTGAACGCGCGGTCAGCCGACCTCCAACTAGAGACTCCTTCGAAAAAGTCTGTCAAATTGTTCCATACACCGTCTCTACTAGGATCTCCCGATGACCCTTTCACTTTGAGTGATGATGAAAGCCCTGATGACCCAAGCCCATTCAAGCTCATCAGTCCAGTTCCCAAAGGATTGGAGAATGTGCTGTATCCGCCGTCCAAGGATGAACAAATTGTGAATACGGCGCTTGTGGTATTTCTTAATGCTCTTACTATCCACTTCAAGTTGTCAAGCAATTGGACCTTACATCGAATGGCTTTTATCGCAAGATTTGAAGCAGCCCAATTCGAAGCAAGGACAGATGGCTATCTAGACACTGGCCATGGAAAGCCCAGTGTGCTTATTTGAGGTGAAGCCTGTGAAAAGGTCGATGAAAATGGTTCCAATTCAAATGCAGGAGAGTGCCCAGATGGTTGCTTGGATTAAGAGTGAGAGTGACTTGGAACAAGGGCGTGATAAGATGTATGGTACTTTCCCACTATTATTCACATTTACCTAGCAGTGCTGACAATGGAATAGGCGTGTTCATGTGTCCCAGGATCGACATGAAATATACGTGACCGTTGCCGAATCCAATGCCGAGTACCTGGCCTATTTGAATGACAAGGAGCCTTGCGGCAATCCTCCATCATTTTTGACCATGCATCAATTCGGCCCTTGGGATACTCAAAAATCCTCGCATATGCAGCATCTGGGGCCCGTTCTTTTAGCTCTCACGTTGCGAGCCGAGGCTGAGAGCAAGGCAGGTCGGGACAAGAGTTAAACCACCCACTAACCGAGGTGACAATCAACAGAGATGGGGGAACACTTTATCTATAATCCCCGAAGATGAGCTATCTGGAAACCTGGGTCCTTTTTAGCCAAATGGGATGCATTTCAGTGTTCAGCAGGAGATACTACATATATAGCGTGCTGAATTAGGAGTAGGTGATTGAACAAGTGAGCATGGTAATTTGTATGGAGAACTGTTCACTGGCCTTGAAATCTTGCCCAGTGATTATACAACTGTATGAAGGATAACAAGTTAGTTAACTAGTTAACAGGCTCCCACTAGTTAGCTATTATTATCCAATAGATTCCTGTGTTGAAGTCCAATACCTAGGCATATTAGAACTTTACGTGATTAACCAATAATAACGTGTCATTTGTAGATTAACCGTACGCACTAATTTTGCCAAACCTACGGACAAGGGGATAAACATTGAGATTGGTGTCATCTCCACTTGCTCCAGAATATGTAACTTCAGCGTAATGACAAAAGTTTCATAATTATGATGTCATACCTACTATTCACCAGACCCACCAATTAGATTAGAAAGGTGTGGCCAGCCAAGTTTCGGCTCTGTTTGGTCGATTGATTTAAAAGTGGTGAGCAACAGAGCACCAAGAGCAGAAAAAGGCCACTAAAACGAGAAGCCAGTGATATCAATGGCGTATCATGTATCCAATCCCAAAGTCCTCTGTAGGTCCAGGGAGGGCCGTCTGTCATGGCCGTCGCACAACATTCACATGTCAAAGGACGGAAGGCTTTGGACCCTAGCGTAATGATCGAATCTCATGAATCTCAGTGTGTCGCGTGTGCTTGCGCGGTTTGAGTCTTGGTTGCGTCAGGAGCTACCTAAACTCATTCGTCCCGGACAGATCTGGACAAGCGACGTAAGCCTGTTTGGGAAGGGTCATCCAGATGGGGCATTCGACAAGGGTCTGTGGATGTTGGCTGATTCGCAGTGATTGGGGGATTGATTGTTGCGTGGTGGTGATCGCCCTTGGGAACGAGGAGGGGGCGCTCCCGAGCTAGTAGTAACGAATCGCTGGAGTTCAGAAGGTTTCACACCTGCAGCCCGAGCAAAGGGCCTAGCGAGCCTAGCTAAGCGAAAATCCTCCATCGCTGGGAAGAGTGACGATGTCTTCGGCAGGCTGCTATTCGTTCGTGTCCATCGAGTAGCCCCCGAACACCAACCTTGGCGCCGGGAGACCCGGTTTTCTGGTCCTCCTTTTTTGATATCAGGCATTATTACGTGGTGCACCCTGCGCCTCCTATTTGGCCGAGTCGCGAGTATTTCAATCTGTTTTGGAATCTACTTCGAGGGCTGTGCTGGCTCGCTGCCAATAGATCATCCGCCATGTCCCAACTGTCCCAAGGGCTGGCAGGAAGACGTTGCGTGGATGACAGAAAACCGGGAACGCCGCCTGTCATTGGCTGGGGCATTGGACGTCACACCTATGCCATAACCGGCAAGGATACTGCCGATCATTTTAAAGGAGGCTCTGTGACGGAATATTGTAAATCCGAGTTGCTGACGCAGTTCTGACTAAACGGGGCCGCCAAATGACGCTATCCCGTATTCGATCGTGCCAAGATGCGCCCGTTGTCCCGTTGCCCGGCAACCGCAATCCGGAGCGTTTGTTTGTCGACCTGGGCCTCATCCCGCAACAGCCCCGCTCCTCTTGATATGGCAGATCTCAGCATTCTTCAGTCTCACAAGCGCCGAAAACTACTGGAGATTGCGACTAGGTCTCCACCTTGCGCTCAATTTCTCTCCTTTCAAATTCACTATTCCAAGTGAGAGAGAGTTGTTTCTTTTCGCGCGCACCGTGCGGACGCTTGACATCAGAGTACCCAGTATCGAGCGAGTGTGTTGCATATATGTTAAAGATGTGTTAACAACGTGGCATCGAGTGAGCTGAGGTATATTTGCGCCTGTGGAATTTGGTCCCGTTGACAAAAAAAAAAAGTCTCAGGCGCATGAGCCCGGCCAATCTACTCTGTCCAATGTTTCTTTGTTGGTTATCGCAAACGTATCGGTAGGCCGCCAAGTCACCTCACGCAACCGTTTGGGAGGGGATCAAATATGCGGAAAACAACCTCATTCGGCCTCGCCGTCGGTGTTCTTGCTATGTTGGCTGGAAGAGTGCCCGCCGAACTGCCCTACAACCCTTCATACATCAGCAACCCGGTTTCACCAAACCAAACGGAGGTCTTCATCCTTTCTCCACAAAATTCGGCCTCTTCGAATAGATTCCGGCTTCAGTCTCTGGATATTTCGACTTCGTTCGCGGTCTCCCAGCTCCCGATCTCAGAGAATTTTGTTAACATGCCTTTTGTTACGGATGATGGCTCAAATTCCTTTATCTCCACTACTGACGCCGCAGGGACCCTGACGGTTTATGCTGGAGACTGCCACACCAACTCTTCTACAGTCTGGCGACTACTGCGTACCTATGGGGATTCGTCCAATAATTTGAAGTGGCAGGAGTTACCAGTTCTTTCTGCCGGAGGCGAACACGTCCGTGGACCTTCATATTTATCTGCAGCTGTTTCATATTCTTCCCCGGTGCCACCGTCACTGCCGGGCCTCTTCGTTTTTGGAGGAATGTGCCCATGGGTGGACAAAAAGGATAATAGCTGGGTCTCTGCGGCCGACTATTCCAAATCTATCACGTCTCTCACTGCTGATAAGGCATCTTCGATCCCTTCCTATCAAGCTGAAATCATAACGCCGGGATCATCTCCAGTTGCTGAAGCAGGATTTGCCATAACACCGTTGGGGCCAGCTTATTCGAATTCCTCCAGTGGTAAAACGATCCAGCATCAAAATTTCGTTCTAACCGGGGGCCACACTCAGGGAGCGTTCATCAACATGTCCCAGGTTGCGTTGTTTTCTCTCCCTGAAGCTACCTGGAGCTACGTGTTAGTCAGCCAGGACAGTGCAACTCCATCTCTACCAGACCTGGACGGTATCGACGGGGTGGAGCCGCGCTCCGGCCATACTGCGTTATTGTCACCAGACGGCAGCAAAATTATTGTTTTCGGTGGCTGGGTCGGTGATATCAGTCGTCCAGCCCAACCTCAACTTGTTATTCTTGAGCTGGGAGCGGCGTATGGAGGATCTGGACACTGGAAGTGGACTGTACCTCGCCAGACCATGCATGGACCAAAGCCTGGTACCGGGATTTTTGGCCATGGCGCGGCAATGCTTCCTGGCGGTATAATGTTTGTAACCGGAGGCTATTCGATTCCCCAGTCGGCTCCGAAACAATCACGTACGGACCTTACCGCTAATACCAAAGGATATCTCTTTAACACGACTTCGGAGACTTGGATCACGTCTTACATTCCTACGAACAACATGAGCCCCTATCGCCATGCGAATCATGGACCTCTTTCGCGGAACTCACAAAAAGCTGGCCTTGGGCTTGGCGTCGGCATTGGGCTTGTGATTGTCACTGTTATAGCATTTCTTGTTTACCGCCGTCGCTCTCGTCACGCTCGCGAACGTCGCAGAACTCGGGAGCAAGTGCTCCGTAGGCTTGCTTTGGGAGCGGAGCGTCCACATCTGGACCCTTCGGGGAACGTTCACCAGCCGACGAACAACGTCACGGCAGAAAAATTGGCTCTCTATCCCAATGCATACTCATGGGTTGGCAATCCCAGCAATCGTGACTCTAAAGATACTGGCACTGCGTCTGCGGAAAGAACAGGGCTTCTGGTAGATATGCCAAGTCCCACAAGAGGTCTTCGACGGAGTGTGCATTACAGAGGATGTCAATCCTCTCCATGCTTTGAGAGTTCGAGAAGGAACGTAGGATTCAGTGGTATACATCCGATCGACGAGGGAGATGAATGTGAGGATGCCATTGACAACAGTGCGATGGCGCTAGAGAAAGGAGCAACTCAACAGCAGAACCGGACATCTGTTATCTCCAATCCGTTTAGTGATTCTTCCCGCTATAGCGATTCTTACAGTGCCAGTTCGTTTCCGCAAGGCATAGCGATCCATGAAAAATCATCCTCAAACGAATGGACGGATACTTCCGAGTCCAACGACACCGCCTCCAGGAGTTACTCTCCAGATAAGAGTCTCCGAACACTATCGGGTTTCTCTGAAGTTTCCAGCTCTTTCATGTCGTCCTCCTCGCAGCCCGCAAATCGTGTTTTTTTGAACAAAAACCTAGCGGACGGTCCAGCTGCGTTCGAGCCCATCCAAAACTGGTCCCCTGAAAGCCACTTCCAAGGGCAGTTACATGCACACTCTACCGGTGGTGGCAGTAGCTACGATCCGGTCAACGAGTTAAGTACACATACGACGTGGTCCTCGGACAACACCATTGTATCTCAAGGCCCTGCACATAATGCAACTTTCGGCCGAACACAAGCAGAAAACGAATTTCTGCTTGGTGTTACGCCGTTGGAGTCATCAAGGAGAGGGTTGAACGTGATGCAGAACAAAGGTCGGGGATTAGTTGGTAATGTCCGCCGCACCCTCCGTTCCGTCAGGAGAGCTGAGAATATCGCAAAGTCGAATTCCGTGAGCCTGGAAAATATGTCGTCAGGCTCTCAACGCTCTCAGCGACTAGAACAACAACAGCAGCAGCAGCAGCAGCAGCAGCAGCAGCAGTATGAGCCATACAAGCCGTATCAGCAGCAAATGAGTACAAGCACGAGTCCCACAAAGAGCCTATATAGTTTTCAGGATGGGAGAGAATCAACAACAACTTCGGATTCACATAGCATTCCCGGACGCGCCATGAGCTCCGCCTCGTCAATCCTGGGGCGCAAGCAGGGTGCGAAGGACTGGGGTGCGAAGCGATCCTCTGCTGATAGTGCGCAGATACGGCTGCTTCAGGCGGCGCGCGCTGCTGATGCTAATAATCTCTACGGAGCAGCATCGTCGTCGGAGAGTGGTGCTGGTATGAGTTTAAGCAGCCATTCACCAGATCTCCTCGACTATGATGACGATGAGGAGTGGGACGTGGAAGCAGCGGCGGAAGGCAGGTTGGTGCAAATTGCCTATACCGTTCCCAAGGAGAAGCTTCGGGTGGTCAATCCTGGCGTTGGAGATTATGTGGACGAACGATGATGATCAGACGCTTCCAGAAATTGTGGAGCTGAAGATGAGACCGCGCCGCGGTGTCGTTGGAGGGCCCCGTAATCAAAGCTCAAGCGATCGGATTCCACTTGGTTGTTTTGGCGTCGGTGCTTTTTTTATATCTTAGGGGTTCCCTGTTATTCGAATGGTTTTGTTTTTTTTTGTTCTGCTTCTATATTCTCCGTTTTGCTTGCGATTTTTCTTTCTTTGGTTTTTTCGCTATATTTGATAGGCCTGTATGGGTGGATTTTTGGTTATTTTGTTATTTCTTTTGATAATATGTGGATATATGATGAATTGGTACGAATCTCATTTTCTGGCATATGGGTGGATGAGATCATGTTTTACGATACTATCGAGGAGGTATACGAAATCTGGGGCGCGGTTTCATCATGTTTGTTCCCTTTCCTTTTCAGAGAGCGAGTCTGCCAGAACCCATATGCGGAGTGATTGGCAGTATGTAAGCCTGAAATCTATTGTTTGTGGTCTGTTTATTCTATATAATATACACTCTCTAGATAAGATATAGTTAGTCTTTTTGAAAGATGTTTCAATACATGAATACACATTGTTCCAGAATTCAAACTCTTTTCAATCGCTGTATTATATACAATGAGTTACACCCTTTAAATGATGTAACAACCAAATATTCGGGGAAGAAAAACAAAATACAATGCACTTGCATATATGCACGGTGATCCCCACTGACAGCTGGCCAACAAACGGCGCTACTCACCGTACATATAGATATGCATCAGTCAGCGTCCAAGCTTGCTGACGAGCCAGCTGGAGACGTTCCGAATTTCGTCCTGAGAATCAAACGCGCCGGAACCGGCGAGGACACCTGCCCAATCGGAAATTTCATGCAGCTTCCTATTCGCAAGGATTTGGCCGGTCCGTTCGGATTGGACGTCAGCCTGCTCGGGGTTTGCGGAGGTGGAGATCTGGCTCGAGATTATTGCGCCGGATTTCACTCGGAGGAAGACACGTGTCTGTGCAGGGGTATGCGTGTTAGTAAGGGCTTTTGTTTTCTGTTTACCAGTGTGACGATAAGACGTAAATTGGTATGTTTGGGGGGGAACCATTGGCTGGTACTCACCGAGGAGGGAAGGTACTGTGGAAAAGGAGGTCTCGGTCTGGGATCTTCGTCCGTGGGATGGGTTGAAAAGGTAAATTGCGGTGATTGGCAGTATTTCCATTCCAAAGACTAAAAAACAAATAAATAAAGAGAGAGAGATTAATTCAAGGGGTCCGACTAATTTTTGCGAAAAGAGTCGTGGGGCTACAAACATGAAGTTCTTGGATGCCTTGAACTATTTCTGGCTCACCGAGTGCGTGGATGTCAGCAAGTCCACCAACCGCCCAGTTCTGTGCCATGTGGACCTCCGGGTCAATTGCATGCGCGCGCTGAGCCCTTAGAACGGCATCTGGATGGATGCCGTAGAGTTGGGCAAACTCCTCCATAATGTTGGAAATCACCCGGTCCATGAGAAAGGTTGAATCAACCACACTTGAAACATTTCCTACTGGAGACCTAACACTATCGACTCCTTTTGCTTTCAAGTAAGGTCGAGCTGGCGATCGTAGGAATGAGGTTATATTTCCGAGATTGGGAGAGTCAATCAAGCAAGTGCCGTGATGCAGAGCTCGAAATCGTGTCAGTTTATAAGCGGAGCCAGAGATTTTGAGGGAATGCGGTATTATTTTTTCGGTTCGAAGGCTTGTCGGATGCCCTGTTTCAACTTTAATTGTTTCTCTAGATAGCGTTTCTGGATCCTGTCCTAGGACAATATCATGACGCCCATTGACCCTTGTGTTGACTGCGCCGACGCGCTGGAGAGCCCTGACCACCATCTCAGCATGCTTGTCTCGATAAAAGACGGGTTTCGGACAGATGACACAGTAATTCAAATTGCCTTCGTCATGAAATACAGCACCACCTCCAGATCTCCGCCGTACAAAGGGAGCGTTGCTCGTAGATCCATCCGCAATGCTCTGGGGCCCACGATCCAGCTCTCGAAGATTGATTTCGAGCCATGGGTTCTGATTCCGGCCGATGACGACGCAGGGTCGATTTATGTACAAGAAAAGTATACTCGAGTCCTGAGGGGAGTGCTCGAGTAAAAAGTTCTCAATTGAGAGGTTCACAAAAGGGTCGTTAGAGAGGGATCGGTAGATCTGATGCGTGCTGGATTCCCTGTTGACTGCTGCTGCAAGGCTCGACGCATATTTTCTGCTGATAGAGAAGCCCTTTTGTTGGAACCTATATCGCCATGGCAGATTTGCAAACGGCGTCCATTGCGGAGGGCGCAATGGAAGCATTGATGGATAGCAAGCTCATAATAAGGAATGCTCCCTCGAAATACAAACTTCATCAGGATTGTTGGTTGATATCGAACCGCAAGAACTAGGCCCGAATAGGCAACGTTCAGCCGGAGCTCCAATCCATGGGCTGAGTCATCCACATCATGGCCTGGGAAATTTTTATTTTGCAATTGGTGGGGCTATGACAATTGTTTTCGCCTTCGGAATGAAAGACGATATTGAGAAATTGTAGAATATATATATCTGGCGACAGTGGCAATATATCACCCGGTCGATTGCGTTACCTTAAACTATCAGAAGTTGCTCGCGCAATACTCCCGCCGCCAATTATTTGGTGCCCCTCCTCCAGTTTGAGAGCCCCGCGCCGCAATGTCTACATTCGGGGAATATTTCAGAGTGACGACGTAAGCATTGACTTCTTATTTTCACCTCTACTCTTGATCTGAAAATATTTTCTAGCTATGGCGAATCCCATTGCCGGTCCGTTGGCTGCATTGTGGATGGCTGCCCTCCAGGAATGGCCCTCACCGAGGAGGACATTCAACCACAGATGACTCGCAGACGGCCAGGTCAAAGTGCTCTTACCACGCCTCGAAACGAGAAAGATAAGGTGGAAATACAATCTGGGACGGAATTTGGCATCACTCTGGGCACGCCAATTGGTATGGTTGTCCGGAACGAAGATCAGAGACCCAAGGACTATGGTGGAAGCACAATGGATCTTTATCCCCGCCCTAGCCATGCGGATTTCACTTATTTGGAGAAATACGGTGTGAAAGCTAGTAGCGGCGGGGGTAGAAGCAGCGCTCGTGAAACTATAGGTATGTTCGCATTGAAGCTTGGGTTTTTCCGCGCTTTTTTTTGGGAGCGGGCAGGTGAATGCCAGGACTACCGTTGCTGACCATCACAAATTATCAGGTCGGGTTGCGGCGGGAGCTATTGCAGAGAAATACCTTAATCTATCACACAACATTGAAATTGTCGCTTTTGTTTCATCTGTGGGAAACGAGCATCTCTTTCCCCCGACTGCGACACACCCCAACCCAACAACAAACCCCGAATTCTTAAAACTCATCGCTAACATCGACCGACCAACGGTTGACTCTTTCGCTCCCGTAAGGTGTCCCGAAACAGCGGCGGCGAAGCGCATGACCAAAGTCATCGAACATTTCCGGGATCAGAGTGATAGCATAGGGGGAACCGTGACGTGCGTTATAAGAAATGTTCCTGTCGGGCTCGGGGAGCCATGCTTCGACAAACTTGAGGCCAAACTTGCACACGCGATGCTTTCCATTCCGGCAACAAAGGGCTTCGAGATCGGGTCCGGGTTCCTTGGCTGTGAAATCCCAGGCTCCATTCATAATGACCCATTCGTCGCAACGGCCGATAACCAGAATGGACAGACACCTGGTCAGAAAAGATTAACCACCAAAACTAACAATTCGGGTGGTATACAGGGAGGGATTTCAAATGGAGCATCAATATACTTCCGGGTCGCATTCAAACCTCCCGCCACAATTGGCCAGGCTCAAACGACGGCTAGCTATGACTTCGAAGAGGGCGTGCTTGAGGCTAAAGGCCGACATGATCCTTGTGTCGTTCCCCGAGCAGTCCCCATAGTCGAAGCTATGGCTTCCCTCGTTGTTATCGATGCGTTGATGGCTCAAAATGCCCGAGAAGCGGCTAAAAACCTCCTCCCCCCCCTTCCTCAAACTACTCCTACGCATCCTACCAGCCAAAGATAATTTTTAACATATCTGCTGCTCTTGGAATATACGTTGGCGTGATATATAGAAAATCAAACACGAGCATGTAATGGGCGAGAATAAATATTTTTACGGTTTCATAAGAGTGATGCGACAAAAATCGCATTCAGTAGGAGTCGAAAATTTTTGGCAATTACTATGTTTCGGGCTCATGCAGAGAAATAGATTTACGTTTCTATATATGATTAACTTATGCTTGCAGAAACGTCAGTGAACCTGCAATTTCTGCCAAGCTCACAACTTGAACTCTGAACTCTCCATTTGGTTAAATATACAGCCATTGATGCATCTTGTTATTGTTTCTTATCATGATTGCCACGCTAATTAAGTGACTCATTTCTGTCTCCTGCAATGATAGCTCAGCTCTACTGTCTTACACCACAACGAATCCGTCTCCTCTTCTACCGTCGTCTCATACCAATTGGCGAATAGCTCAATGGTCGTGGGACCTCCAGCGCAATGCCCAGCAGTTGCCTTTCAATCTCTATATCAAACGGACCTGGTTTAGCCGTCTCCAATACGAAGCACGCCGCCAGCGGGAGCCTTGGAATGGGGCGGCTTTTCAAAACCAACAACATTTGTGTCCCATCCTGCGGCATAGTGCTTTTGTCACTTGGCACCGCATGCTTTGGTTGTATATACGGATCCGCCCACACTATCAGATGGACCACAACAAAATGCCTACGTCTATGAAGCGCAAGTGAGGGTGCAATGCGAAGTGTCATGAAACCCCTCCAGAATTATCTATATAAACCCTCTTTGCGTCTGCTCTACTTCCCAAATGCGATGTTTATCTTTTCTAATTCTCCAGCCTTGTCTCCTGCTCTGCCTATATAACAATACATGCGGTCTGTTCCTATTCGATGCCAAATTCATTTCCAATTGTGGATTTTAAGAGTTTCCACCCATCCCTACTCCATCCTAAAATATCATCGGCCCGGGACAATATCATGGAACCCAACGCGATCTACTTTAGTCTTTCAGTTCTTTCAGTTGAATACCATTGAAGGATATACGTCTCTGAAGACGTGGAAAGTGGCATCGTTCACCACGCAAATAACGAGACGGGCCGCTGGCTGTACGAGCGCAAGCACACCAAAAGAGCTGTCCGGATAAAAATGTTAGTATTGGTCTTGAAGATAGGGACTGTCTCTCTACCACAAGCGCACGTCCAAATCGACCAAAATCTTAGGCGATCCAAATATGATCACTCAGGCTCCTGAGTTTAGATGCAGGAAATGGGCATGCATTAGATAGGGTGGTACGCTTGTGCAATATGGGCATTGTGAATGCTTCCTGAAATATCGGTGGTGATGCCCAAAGCCATATGAACTCGCAGATGCGAATCGAGCCGAGATAGTGCTGCTCACGCGGGAATATACCGTTGCATCGTCGTAGTTGTACTTTTTGGAAGGTTCTCTTTTTTCTTTTCTTTTCTTTTTCTGGTCATGGAGGCTTGTGGTGCAACACATGGACATGAGACGGGTTGTCTTCACTTATGCTGAGGAGTGATGCGCTGTCACTATGGCTACACTAGTTCACTATGTTTAAGTTTTTGATCAACCTACAGTTTTCATGGTTAAGGTTATTCAAGATATGAGATGGCCCGTTGATTGTCACAATTCTACACCATAAATTTAATACCCTTTCAGCCACAAGTCAGTTTGGTGGATCGATTTGGCCAATTTGGCATGTAAAAAGGGATTCAATCTTATGTGACAGCATTGCAAGAGACAAGCAATACCCTCGTAATAATTTTCAATATCATTTTCTAAAAGTCAATGAGGTGCTGCTGTATCTAATCTAAATACATATAATCCAGAGTAATAAAAACATATACCTGACGCCTAACAATTTTCATCAAAATATACATCATGTTTAATTTCTTGAAAAACGCTTCAAACATTCTCTGCATCGTGGCCCCGAACCGTAGCGGTAAAAACTACGATCCCAAAGCGCTCAATTGGTGTCATGACAAGAGGGTGTAGGACCAACCTACGGAGTTCAAGCCCGACGCGACCGCAACGCATACCGTGTCGGCCGTGATTGCGCTTGCACTTGTTCTTGTAGCCGTACGGGAGTTTGCGTTTGTTGTTGCCCTTGCAACCACGGATCATCTTCCAGAGTCAACCGACTAATTCCTGGGCTGGGGAGGCGCCTGCCCGGAGAGGGAGGAGGGAGAGATGTATATTTCTGCCGAGGGCTAGGGGATTCAGAGGCAGTATCTGATGCATAGCTGATGGAGGCAGTAGATGTGGTGGTTGAGGGTGGTGAAAAACGGAGGCTGTCCGGAAGGGTAGAGTTGAAGGACGGGAAGGAGGGAAAGGAGGAGACAAAGGGTTGTTGGCGGGGAATTGAGGTGTAAGGGGCTGGATGGGTTGCTGTTGGGTCGCTGGAGAGAGATGTAGAATGACTATAGGAGGGTTTATGATTGTGTTCGGTGAGAGCCTTGTGGTGGTACTGCGTAGAATCGTTGAAGCTGTTCATAAAGCTGTTGCTGTTGTTATTGATGGTGGCGATGGTGGTAGATGGTGTGGTGTGTCCGCCTCCGAGACCGGGATTCGGTTTGATGCCAGGGTGGGTCACAGATGAAATGAGCGTTTGTTGGCTGGAGGACGGGAAACTGGGTGCTTTTTTGTGAGGGTCTTCGTATGTTTGAGATTGAGGTTGGGTTAATTGGCAGGTTTGCTGTGATGATTTTTTGTCCAGAGGTGGTTGCTTCGTCGAATTTTGAGGTGACTGTTTTGTATTTCGTTGAGAGAATGAGTCCTGGGCCCTCACTTCCTGTCCTATCATGAAAGCCACAATCGATTTTTCTGCAGCGTCAAATTTGTACTGATTATATAGACCCTGGTAGCGATAAGTGGCTAGATAGATGCACACAATCAGTTCGATAATTGATAGGATTAGGTTGACTGCATTCCCGGTAGTTAGGGGCCTCATAAGAGACTCAAGGAGGGAGAAGCCCGCAACAAGAAATGAGATTCCTAGGATTGCGGTTTCGACAGAGTTTCTGGGCCATTTAAACACTTCTGCAACAAGGAAAATAAAGACGGAAATTGCAAGCAACACCCATTTCAGAATTTGAAAGGAACTGCCGGGGTGCTCTTTTGACCTAACAGCCCATTGTTGCCTCTGTAAATCTACTGGTTCATCTCTAATCGAAAAGGCTTTGTCGAAGAGGCTCTCCAGACCTGTATCATTTGCAAAATCACTGGGAGGGAAAAACTTTGGAGGAGCCATAATAGTTTCCAACGACGATACAGCTTTGCTCTCCTTGCTGGCTGATAATTTTGGTTGTAAAACTGGGGCATTATGGAATGGATTAGGTTTATGTCCTAGGGCTTTGAGAATGGACTGGACTGCGCCCGGGCTCGGTAATCCCAAAGGTGGCTTTTGGGCTGACGGCAATTTATTTTGTTGTTGAACTGGAATAGGTTTGGGGGCAACGCTTAATTGCAATGATTGTTGAGATGGTGTCCAGTCCATCGCATCGGCGTCATCAACGATATCTGTCTGGGGGGACGGCGGAATAGATGGCTCCGGGGCAGTTGGTGTAGCCGGTGAAAGCCTATTAACCGGGAACCGATGTAAGCTAGCCTGTGAATTAAGAAACGAGGTCTGAGAGTCCGGCGAGCTCGCAAGCTGTAACTGGGTTGAATGCTCCTCTCTTGGTTTCTGGGGTAGTAGAGGTTTATCGTCCTCCTTCCATGAGATAAGCGGAGTGGTATCATTTTTGATAACCCGTCTCGACACGATCACAGACTATCATACGAGTTAGCAATTATACGATTAAGACTTCACGATATTAGAGAAACTCACAATTACAGTAAAAATGCCCATGAAACCATGGATAGCAGGAGCAATTTTGGGATTGAGGCCAGTGATTGAAGGGTCCTGTAAACTAGCCCAAGCGACAAATCTGATCACAAGAACAACGATTTGGGCCTTGTAATACTCGCCCAGTCCAGTCAATCGTCCACCTCTCCCATCCACCTTAAGCCTAAGTTTCGGATTCCACCAAATTGATAGTATCGCTAGGGACAAAGCCAGTCCTGCAACTGGCGTCAGAACTGAAGAACATTCGCCGAAAAGCGGTTGATGCTTCCAGAGCCTGTCAACACAAAATGGAACCAGCCTTAATGACAGATCGGATTCCAAGTTCTGAGGGGCGTTGCCAGCAACCATTGTCCCCATGAGGTTCCAGGCAAGTTGACCAGCAACGCTAGCCCAGAAGCAAACAGCACCAGCGAAAACTATCATGCTCCTCCAGCTCCAGCGATTCGCCTGGCGAGTATGTCGGAAAGCCCGGCTTTTCTCCATCATCCGCATCAGGTGGTCCGACTTCGCCGCATATCCAGCTTGTCGGATGCGATCGCGCACCTTGGGCTCGCAGGACTCGCAGACTTGAGGGTAGCGCTCCTCTAGACTCTTCCGGTACGCGGGGTATGACACTTCATAGACTTCATAGTCAGGATGCGACGGCGACGGTAGGTATGAAGCAAGAGTCTGGGTGAGGAGATGCTGGTTTTTCAAACACGTTGAACAAAACAGCGACGAGTCTGGCACTGCGATTTCAAGAGAATTTGCTCTGGGGAGTGGTTGTGCGTATTGTGTGTATCGACTGCCCGAGGAAGCTTCGATAACCGGGGGATCGGTGATTTCGCCATGCTATTTTGATCAATATCAATCGCGCGAGGTGAGATAGGATATCAAAACGCGCTCACCTCGTCAAGGTAGTTCACTGCCAGGCAATGTTGACACTGCCACTTACGGAGGGAGTCGGACTGCGACTGAGCAGATCGAACGCCGCAGTAGAAGCAGCTCAGTCGCTTTTTGAAGAGGGATGGCATGGCCGGCGACATGCGACATGCGACAACGCGTTGGGGGTCGAGTGTCGCTGGCGTGCGCAAAGGGGAGGGCAATATATATTTTTTTATGTTCTCAGGTAAATAAACGCGGAGGAGTTAAGCCAAGTCAACACAGCAATTGCCGAGAAGCTTGGCAGCGTCGCCTGGAGAGGAATGGACGCTGTATATTTATACAATTCACACCATCCACACTGCTTGCTTGAAAGAGAGGGAATAGAAGATAAATACGACAATTAATGAATGCGGGAATTCACAGGTGTTCAATACTTCTATGGCCCGGCTACATAGTCGATTCTTCACAATGCGATCAATGGGATCTTATGTGAATGACTATTGACAGCGTCAGACACAGCATTGGGGATTGGGGAATATAGTCCTCTCTACGGCCATTCACTCGGGAGCTAGTCTCCCAATCGCATACTATATGATTGGAATCTCTAATATTATCTATCTTGTTTGTTTGTGAGGGACTAGACTCAACCCGAAGTCCGTGGAATGATTGAAAACGTGAATCTATTACGGACCAACCTCGAAACACGGCATCACCTTCACTTCCAATGGCTTTGGTGACTCTCGTGTCCATCGGGCTTACGACAGGTGCCCTGGGTATTTGGCTGGTAACGCTCCTGTCTTCACCGAATGAGTTGCTGCATTCATTCAGTTCATCTCATGGGCCGGAGAAGTTACATCCTAGCTACGCACGAACGAACTCCAGCTAACCAATTTTCCAGATTACCTGTTACTACTATTATCGCACATCCAACGGTAGCCATAGCCACACTGATGGACCGCCGTCGAGCCGAGAAAATGCATCCCGTCATGCTCACCTCCTCGTCGTTCTGGGCAGCGGCGGGCACACAGCAGAAATGCTGTCCATGCTAGCGCGTGCGCCTCTGGATCCTAATATCTTCACCCACCGCACCTATGTCGTCAGCTCAGGGGACTCATTCAGCGCTCTCAAAGCTACGGAATTTGAGAAGGACCTTCTTGAGCAACATTTGCCTCCTGCTTCTCCTGCTGTTACTGCTGCCACTAGTAAAAGAGGGCCAATCCCGTCTCCGCCTACAACTCTGCAGAAACGCCGCCGACAGGAAAAGAAGCCTGAAGAAAGGAAGCCTTCAGATTCGTCTGCCTCTAAAACACTATCGGAAACACCTTCGTCGTCATATACAATCATCACCGTTCCTCGCGCAAGAAAGGTACATCAATCATTCCTGACAGCGCCGGTATCGACCCTTCATTGCCTGTGGGCCTGTATAAATGTTCTCCGAGGCACACATCCTGATCAACAACCGCAGAAGGGTCATGATATATCCTCTCCATTTCCAGCTCTAACCTCAACGGGGCTTTCCCCACCAACAACACCCTATCCAAACATAATCCTGACAAATGGCCCCGCCACCGCCGTCTGCGTCATCCTAGCTGCAAGGATCCTACGTGCCGTCGCCTCCATGTCCATATTCCCCCTCTGTAACTCCTTCCAACAAAAACCGTCACAACAATCGCAGTCCTTTCCCAGGCCCCAGGAAAGATATCTACGCACCGTATTCGTCGAATCATGGGCACGCGTCACTACGCTTAGTTTATCAGGGAAGATAGTGCTGCCGCTTGTGGATCGGTTTTTAGTGCAATGGGACGGGCTGGCAGGGCGTTCGAGCTGGCTCGGTGGGAAGAGTGAGTTTGTGGGTGCGCTTGTCGCATAGTACTAGAATTTGGGGGTTGGGGGAACAAAACCGGAAACAGAACACACATCGCAAAGCAAAGACCAGGTATGCACGGTTCTTGTTATTGTCCTTGCGCCGAAGTATGCTGTACAGTACATATCGTGGATCAGGAGACTGAGTACTCTACAAGTCCCATCCTTGAAAAAGAAAGAGCACTTGAGGCTGCCATGGGCACAGTGAAAGGGAAAAGGAGAAGAAATGTTTTGAGACGACGATCGAATCTTGCGTGCAGTCAGTTTGTCATACCGTCTGTCTCCCTTACTATGGTCGTCGCTTAAGTAAGTGCGCGCGAATGTAAAAAGAGACTTCAAGAGGAAGCCTTCGCCCAAAAATGAAAAAATAATAATTAAAAATAAAACCATGTAATCTTTCATCTTATAAAGTACGACTTGCTTCGCGTCTTGTATACTGCGTGTAGCACATATCACAATGTACAGTACATGCAAACCACATTGAGAGTTCCCTGGCATCCAGCCCTCGCTTCGATCCATCCCCGTCATATTGGGAAGGGGTAGCAGTTCAAAGAACTCGAGATATTGAAGCACGTAATATTATCAACTTAAGATCATTATATAGCACATGTACCATTAAGCTTATTCCGTGAAATCTCGGTTACAGTAGCATTTTTGAAGGAGTGTGAGCGCGATGAATTCCTGGAGAAGACAAGCGGTTTGCACTTTTACACATCATCGTTTGAGCACGTAAGAGGATTCCCTCCTTCAAAAGATAACTCCCCAGCAGGAATAGGTTGAAGCATTGACTTCTCTGCTCACAAGGACTCCGTAACATGGCTAATAGCTAATGTGAAAGACAGGGGAAAACGAGGGCCCAGGCCTCTCACCAGCCAGGGAGGGTGGTTGAAGATGTGATGAAGGAAACAGCTATATGTCGTCATTGTCTTTGGGCAACAGATGAAGTATATTCTGCCTGGATTGCGGGGGAATGATCTGGCCTGTGTCAAGTATGTCTGTCATCAATCAAAATTCAGTCGATGCCAGCGTAAAGTAAAGATCAAACACAGAAAACAAAGCTCGCATATTCCAATCAAGCTCGGGCCTCTGGTTTTGCAAGGAATATAGCTCCGTAAGTTAGCTCCTCTACGAACTAGAAATTACGAAAAGGAGAGGAAAAGGGAAAACATAATTGGAGGTAGTGTCTTGCGGAAAGGTTGCCCCGTCGCCTCTTCCATTTGTTCCTTGACTTTTAAAAAGGAACTTAGACAGGGCAGCACCTCAAACCACTGGATAACAATCAAGTCTTCCGGGACTACTCTCGACTGCGTTTCGGGTGCCCTGACGATCAACCTTGAGCTGCTTGACAGTTGGATGTGATGACTTTCTCCCCATCCCTGCTAACTCCTGATGGAAAAGCGCTATTGGACCGCTGCACTGGGCAACCTGTGACGTTTGCCGTATGACAGCAGGACATGTGTGTTTCGGGAGAAGAGAATGCTAGGGCGGAGACGAATTCAGGGCAATAATAGCAGGTCTCTGTTTGGTCAATTCTCCGAGACGATGTCTCCTAGGGCCTGACAACAGACCAGCTTCCTTTCGACCAGGAAATGTGGAGTGAGAAATACGCGTGCTACGATGGAACCCTCCAGGCGGAAAATGCAGTCACAGGCCTTGGGGTGGACCGAACGAGACTCGGTCAAACTGTGTGCACAGTCAGGATGCCTCGTTTTCACGCCCAGGGTTGTCACAATCTCTCGGCGAAAGAAAACGCGGAGAATACTAGTATCATGCTGATGGCTGGCTCAAGAGGGGCAGCACCCTAGAAATCCAGGACAGGCACCATGAGGCGGCCATTGGGCAATTGGCAACAATCGGCAAGTTGACAAGAATCACAAGATGACGATGGTTCCTCAAAGATTTGGCTGGGGCATCGGGTCGAACAAGACAAGAGACGTGGACAGCCAAGGAATAATTCCCGTTCCAATACACACATCGCTGCCCAGTGCCCAGGCGGTTAAGGCGTCGCCAGGCACGCACTACCCAACGCCGCCGACATCATTCTCGAGAACAAGTTTTAGGGTTGAAGTTTGAGCCCAAAATCATGGGGGAAATGAAGACGTTGGGGATAGCAAAACTCTCTACACCCAAGCGGGATCCGATCGCAACCAGGCTGACTTCAACATTTTATACGTTGTCACATCGTGTCTCATATTACACTGTTATCCCAACGCCATCCCGAGCGCTGACGCTTCCGGAAGAAAAATGTCAAAGGGAACCGACGCGGAAAAACACTCCTTGTGAAGCCCGCGATGGTATCTCCAAAGTTAGCGAGGCTTTGGTTCTTTCCTCTACTGCGGGAAGGATATCGGGTGATTAAATATCCAATGGACATTGATTGTGTCTTTTAAGCAAGCCACCAATCCTTCGGGGACGGATATGGGATTAAAATCGCGGGAACCCTGTTTCTTGCCCTATTCCTGTTCCTGCTTTTGCTCTTGCATTGCTTTCTGTGGCTGGGTGGACAACGGCCGCTCATGCCGGAGCGTTTTCGTCTCTGTCTGTACATGTTGTGGACCAGCAGCAATCTGGTGGTTGCGTGGGGGTCATCATCTAGAGTGCATGGAGTGTGCGAACCTGTCAGATGTCGGGATACAAAGGAAACATGGTTGAGCACGTATGTTTTGAAATTGGAGATTTCTCTATTTGACCATTCAACATCCAAGTCATAACGCTGGCATACGTGATTACCCCTGGAGAGATGCAGCACCTTTCATGGGAGCCTGAATACCTTCTCTTCTGTCTTTCTGTTCCATAAGGGCAACCTCAAATGAGAGACTGAGATGAAGAATTTGCTTTTCTCAACTGAAAGAAAGGAGATTTGATTGCTTGAAATACGAAGGTACGCTGAAAATGCAAGAGCACTCACAGCACCAGACTCCCGGCTTGTTTGCTCAGACCATTAGGCATATTGACCTTCCCATCAGCTATGCTGGTATGCATTGGCTTTTAGCATGCATACTCGTGATATGAACAAATGTATAATACAGTCAAAGTTGTGGTGCAATTTCTTCATTCCATTTTCCACGCCTGTCCTGCCCACATTGTTTAAGTATTTTTCAATCGAGACACCATCCATCGCCGGAGGCTACCAGGAATCAGAAAGAGCTGAATAGCTTATGTGAGAAGACGGCTAGATCAAGCAAGTGACTGAGAACAGATCAGCCTCCATCTCCAAGCCCTAACTAGACGGGTCTCATGAGTGTACTCTGTATAGTAAATCAAAAATTTTAAGGCCTCTTGGTGACACTAGTCCCCCCTCCCCCCCACTTCATCCCCCCTCACCTTGTATCTCGTGTCTAGATCATTGAACTGACCTTGAACCCTACACGTCATATCCACCCCTGCAAGCCTTATTAGGCGGTGATGATAAATAGTATGTTCTAGACCTCCAAGGATCTATTCCGGAGTTCAGGGTTCTGAGTGATGTCTTTCTATGTATGACACCGCCTGGTCTCGGAGTTCGTCTATCTGGGTGGGAAAGAAGAGACAGGTGGAGAAAGTGATAGTATTGAGAAGAAGCAGAAGACCAGAAACACTCTCTGTCTCCGGCGTGTCGTGCGTTGTTTTTGCAGCCCAATATCACACCAGCTGGCCCCACGCCTCAGAAGCTGCAGCAGGCCTTGTCCTTGCAGTATAAAATCGCAATTATAGCTCGATACCAGGCAAATCAAATGCGCTTCCGACTGGCCCCCGGCCGCTACGGCCGCTACGGAACAGACACAGGACCAGTGGTTTAGCAAGGGGGTACGACGCTCCAGGAACAGTTTTTTTTTTTTCTTCTTCTTTGCATCCTTTGCTCCTCTGCGTTCTTTCTCTCTTGCCTGACCGCATTCTTCATGTATCGCCCTGTCGTTGACCGCGGGAAAATAAACTACTACCACTACGACTACTACTACTACTCCCAAGCGCAACTCAAGCCTTTGACCCGACCAGGGCCGCTAGCCCGATGGAATGTTACAATGGAAACAGCTTCGCCTTGTTGCGGTCTTGTTCTGCAACATGTTTAGCATGTCTCTCTCTGTCTAGGACTAAGCGGGATGGTGGAATAAAGAAAAGTCTTTTTATGAGCGACGGTTGTAAAAGCATATGTTCTTTCTGATATACAGATATGTATGCAGGTTCTCAAGCAAACTAGAATCTGCTAAACTCATGATTTCACATGGGATAGTTAAGTCTCTGTTTCTTTTTTCCCTATCTTTCTCTAAGCCGAAAGCCTGGTTCCCCTCCGCCAGCTTTCTTTCTTATAAAGACATGGTTCCGGATCCCATCCCATGCTCGATGGGGACCCCCCCGACAAGCGAGAAGTCTCATCGCCATGAACAACACTGGGACAGACCACCTGCTGTGTCTCCACCGATGGTGGGGCGACAGCACTATCAGTGCTAAGTGTCAAAGTCTGCGCAGCGTATGTTGAAAGGGCGCGTGAAATTGATACGCTGTAGAGCTCCAGATTGTCTTCTCTACGCTCCAATGGCCCAGACAAGATCCTTATAGAATCTTCTTGATAGATACTAATATAGGTGCAATGCAGTGAATTTCCTTCCATACTAGTAAACATTAAAGCCATGTCCGAAGTATAGATACGCAATAATCTACACAGCTGGGCGCCGGGTGCAAAATTTTTACTCTTCGGTTAAAATCAAACAAGTAGTCATATATCCGTGGCCATGAGAAGAAGAAGTGAATTTTATTTTATTTCGTATCCACAGCACAGCATTAACTTACTTATCTCGTTTTTCTCCAATTTTTTCCAATTTTTTTCCAATTTTTTTCCATTTCGCCCCCATCGCACCTCGCTATCCCCCATCAGGCGATCCAAACCCACGGAACCAGCCCCGATCAACGGCCGCCGTGCTGCAGGAACCAGCCTGCAAGCGGAAGGTTTAGGTTTAGGAAGGGGGGGGGAAAAAGCAAAAAAGGGGAAAAAGAGAGAGAGAGAGAGATAGAGAGAGAAAGGGAGGGAGGGAGAAAGAGCGAGAGATCCTGTTAACCACTCTCTACCTGTCTCCTACGGCCAGAAGACGGAAGCCGTTTTGCTTGCTTCTTCCTGCGCAATTCACATAAAAACCATAGTAAACTATAACTATCCAATAACAAAAAGAGAACATCTCTTTCTGTCGGCAAGCCGCGCGCGATGGGTTCAAATAAAGCCATCATCTATAACTACATCATCTATAACTATAACAACACATTATTAATTTTGCATGTCTAATTCACATTCCCCAGAGAGAGCCACGATATGCCCGGCGACCTGGTTCAGACGAACAGCCATCCCGCGGCCCCACCGCCCGCCCACCGCATGCAAAGCAAATCATCACGACAGCAACGGTGTAAGAACTTTCCCTCAGAAGTTTTTGGTTCTGGCCCTATCGGCCGAGGGGACTGGGACCTCGGTGCGACTCCAGCAGAGTTCAGCGATGCCTGGACCAGAGGAACAGGAGCGATGGAACCATGCTGCCTCGAAGTTTGTTTCCCTGACCCGGGCCCGGTAACGAGATGGCTCCTTTGGGGGGGGGAGTTTTTTCCTTTCTTTTTTTTTCTTTTTCTTTTTCTTTTTCTTGGTGTGTTGTGTGCTTCTTTCTTTTATTTTCTTTCCTTTTTCCCCTTGCCACCGTTTCCTTCTGCTTCTTTCCGCTGGCGCAGTACGTCTCTTTGTGTGCGTGGTGGCCGGCAGGTTTACTAGATATCTGATCCGTGGACAGTGTGTGTTTTAGCCGATAAGGTTTGGAAGATTCTGGCGGATGCAACGGACAGAATCCTCGAGATGGTTACAGGATAAATAAACAAATAAATAAACAGATCCGATAAACAAATAGAAGAAACGGGAAGATACAAATCGCACCGGGGGCTTTCAGTACGGAATCCTGTCAGCAACACAATTAGCAACAACTAACTAGCTAGTTAAACTAGTTAACTCATGTCGCCATATTGTTAGAAATTCTCCGCCGCTTCTTTTGCGCCTGTTCGCTGCCTTCTGCTGCCTTATTCTTCCACTTTGCTTCGTTGCGCGCAGACGACCCGCATGAAATCGCACGAATCGTTCAAATCAACTGAGAATAATAAGGAATAATCCACGACTGGCTTTCTTCCGTGACGAGCACAAATCCTCCCTCTCTAACACCGCTTAGTGACCTTCACCTTGGCCGGAAGCCTATGAACGAGCTCGCTCTGTTGTCCTGCACGGTTGGTGACAGTTCTCCTCCAGAGTCAAATAGTTGCTGTGCTGTGCTGCTACTGGCTGCAGCAGCATTCTTCTTGCTGGACAATCCGTAAGTGGCTGCTTTGTCTCCTCCAAGGCTCCTTTCTTTGCTTTTTCCTCCCTCGCCCGTCGGAGTTCCCAGTTGTTGCCCGATTCCTGCCTTGTCCTCTGGCGCGCTGGACAACTCAGGAGGACCGTCGCAGACTGAGAGATACATACATGCACCGCTACTGCCAGCCAGCCAGTCACCGTCCCGCCCGACGCAGTACGGGAGTCCATCCCCTCCCGCAGCCGTGTTGTGAACAGCTCGTCCATGACGTCTGTGACATCTGTCTGTCCTGGTTGTTCCCCATCTGCGTGCTGTCCCGACTCTGCTG